GGCCTGTGAGTCCACATCAGGGACAGAGCCTGATGATGATCTGACTCCAGAGCTGATGTCTCTGGACATCAGCCGCGAGTCTCCGAGAAAAGCAGACTGATGAGGATTCTGTAGAACGGGATGCTACATCACAGTCCCAGCTGTGCCTAAGAGAACTGTGAGTGGGAAGTTTTAACATCGACGCTTATCTATTTTCTCCAAATCATGGAGAAAACAAAACAACTTTTTTTTTGATGGGTAGGCATAGGGCAGTCTAAGGGGGAAACCTGTATTCTATAAGCTATAATTCCACTTATAATAAAAAAAAATGGTTAGCTAATGTTCATGTAGGAACACAACGTTTCTAGAAATGTAGTCATTATTTTCATGGGTATTAAAAGAATGGTAAACACTTTTTGTAGTTTTATTTTTCTGGATTATTTATCCACATTTTGCTTTTCAAAAAACTGGTATGGTGGTGGGTGTGTTTAAACCCAGCATGTGGAAGGCAGAAGAGGCAAATCTGTATGAATTTTAAACCAGCCTGGTCTACACAGCAAGGTCCAGGCAAGACAGGGCTCCTTCTACATAACAAGAAATGAAGCAGGACAGAGGGGACCTCGAGGACAGGTGTGCACACGCTGTGTCTGTGACAGCAGGGACCTCTAGAGGACTCGTGTGCGTGCACTGTGTCTGTGAGATGGATTCCCAGAGCGGGGATCAGAGAAAACAGGCTCTGCTTTCAGAACAGGACTGCTAGGCTTCTCATTATAAACATAATTGTGTTTAGGGGATTTTGTTTGTTCCCCCTCCTCTGCCCCCCTCCACAACCCCCAGGCTGGGCTTTAATTCACAGAGAGTCTCCTGCCTCTGCCTCCTGAGTGCAGGGATTAAAGGAGTATGACACTGTGCTGGCTAGTGTGTTTGAGTAGGTATTACCTTTACAATAATAATAATAATAATAATAATAATAATAATAATAATAAAAAGATTAACAAGCTGAATTAGAAATAAGCAGTTAATACATACTTCAGAATTTTATTATTCTATGTGCCTGACCTATTCAAAATAATGCAAAATGTTTTTGTTTGCCCCTTAAGCTGGCAAACTTGCAAACTGAATGATTTTCCCTTCCTCCAGGTCAAAGCTAGAATAGAAGCTCAGTCAGAAGCCAAAACCAGCGGACTACTCTGGGCTGGCTTAGCTCTGCTCTCTGTTCAGGGAGGGGCACTGGCCTGGCTCACTTGGTGGGTGTACTCCTGGGATATCATGGAACCGGTCACATTCTTCCTTACGTTTGCAAATTCCATGGTCTTTTTTGCATACTTCATCATAACTCGTCAGGTGAGTAGTTAGGGAAGTCAGAACACCTGTCCAAAGACTTCCTCCTCTAAGCCAAGCATCATCTTGGTTAGGGTTTCTACTGCTGTGATAAAACACCATGACCACAGGTACCTTGGGGGAGGAATGGGTTTATTTCTCAGCCCACTGAGGGAAGCTAAGGCAGGAAGTCAAATTGGTCAGGAACCTGGAGGCAGGAGCTGGCTCAGAGACCATGGAGGAATGCTGCTCACTGCTTGCTTAGCCTGCTTCTAGACCACCCAGGTCCACCAGCCCAGGGGTGGCACTGCCCAAAATGAGCCTGGCCCTCCCATATCGCTGATTAAGAAATGCCCTGCAGGCTTGCCTACAGCCTGGTCTAGCTTCTCAATTGAGATTCCCTCCTCTCAGATGACTGCACATATCAAATTGACAAAAAACTAGCCTGCACAAGCAACAATCAATAAAACTCTTTCATGGTCTGAGTATTCTGCAGCTAGAAATTTTGTTTTGTTTTTCTTTTCTACAAGGATGGATGGCGGCTTTATCAAAGCGAAAATGTTAATTCCCACAGATGAATTAGTGTAAACACGTGATGTTGCGTGTTCTCTGTGCCCTCGTTAATCAATGACATTGAACGGCACCACAAAAGCTAGCGATAGCCAGTAACTAGCTTGTCACAAAGTGGCTTTGCCAAATCTTCCTGCTTCCCCTCTTTCGCAATGTGAATATTTTCTCTCCGCAGTTTGCTCCTAAGAGGAGCAGCTACTCCCAACCCCAGCTGCTTCCATCTCCCCACTTGGCCTTGCTGGTGCTGAGTTAGTATCTACATTCCAGCTGCGCTGTCTCCTCCCTCTCTCTCTCTAGAGCTACACTTACTCGTCTGTTTGGAGCAGGCAGTATCTCCAGTTCTTCCACAAGAAATCGCAGCAACAGTGTTTTGATGTGGAACGATACAACAAGTTAAAGGAGGACCTTGATGAGGTATTGCATTGCAAGGACATCACTGAGCTGCTTTTGTCTGGGGGACAGGGAAATGCATGCAATTGTTGGCTCACTTTTCACAGGTCAGTAAATGTTGGCCTGAGATTTTCATGGATTGTTTAGCAAAAGGTTGGGGTGGATTTTAAGTAGGTGAACAGGCCAGGCAGTGATGGTGTACACCTTTAAACCTTTAATCCCAGTACTTGGGAAGAAGAGGTAGGTGGATCTCTGTGAGTTTGAGGCCAGCCTGGTCTACAAAGTGAGTTCTAGGGCAGCCAGGACTACACAGAGAAACCCTGCCTTTAAAAAAAAAAAAAAAAAAAAACCAAGGATATGAACTGAAAAACCAAACCAAACCCATGACGAAAAGGATCACCCAGCAGTTTCTTTACAGAGCACCGGGATGAGGTCAAACGAAGCCATAAACTCATCTTTTAAAAGTGAGTCACAAGGCTGGGCTCGGTAGCACACACCTTTGATGTGTCCCAGTACTGGGGACGGGCAGGTACATCTTTGTGAGTCGAAGCCGACCTCGTCTACATACTCAGGACAGCCAGATGTACACAGCGTGACCCTTTCTCAAAACACAAACCAAAACAACAACCAAACAAACAAAACCATCAAAAAAGTATTCAAACAAGGCATTTACCTCACTAATTTAAATGTTTTCTTATCCCAAGGAGAGGTTAACATTTGTACAGTTCCTCTCAAACATAATGCTGATAGCATTTCTTTTCTCTGATCTCAAGTTGTTTTTTATTATTTTTCTTTCTTTCTTTCTTCCTTTTTTTTTTTTTTTTTTAATTGTTTTACTTTTTTCTTCGTCACAGGCTACACAATCCCTGGAGAAAGTACGCCACTCCCTCCATTTCCAAATTCCAGGAGAAGAACTCAGCCAGAAGAATTAGTCTCAGGTTCTTAAACATTACGGGGCTATGTGCCAATTTTGTAACTTACCAACTGGGCATTTTTTTTAAAGGTCATGTTCATTTCCATTTGATTGTTTCAGACACTGTTTGGCTAATAAATTTGTGTGGAACAGAAGCATCCTTTGACATTCTCACTCGAGATGCTTGGTTGGTTGGTAGGTCTGTGTGGATTGACTGACGTTACAAATGGCCCGTGTGCCCTGGCAAAGCTGGTGGTACCCAAACCCCTCCCCTGCTGGCCCCACGTGGAGGTAAAATGATGAGCATACTGTCATTCATTCACTCTGGTCCTTAGGTTCAACTGGAATCACCTTGTTTTATTTCTTGAGACAGATTTTCACACTGCCTCATATTCTAAGCAATCCTCCTGCCTAAGTTTCCTGGGTGCTATAATCACAAGTATGATCCACTATATTACTCAACAATTGTATGACTGTACTATTTTATCAAGGGTACAAACGACCACTGCAGCTGGAGCAAGGCATCTATCTCATCCAGCCATGGTATTTCAAGTTGCACTGAGACGAGGCACCTCCTCTTCCATTAAGGATGGATGAGGCAATGGCTATCCAGTAGGAGGAAAGCAGGCAACAGGGTCAGAGGCGGCACCTGCTCTCACTTTAGGAGTCCCACAAGACCAAGCTACACAACTGTAACAATATGCAGAGGGTCGTCCAATGCAAGCTCTCTGCTTGTCAGTTCAGTTTCTGTGAGGAAATCATTGCTTTTATACCAGCAACTTACGTGTTTCTGTTCCCAAAGCCCCAGATATAACTAATCAGCTTAACCAGCAGGTTATTAACCAAATATTATTGTTCAAAATGTGTGTCACAAGAAATGAACCTTAAAAAGTAAAATTAGTTCTCTTTTTAATGAGTCTGCTCGTTTTAAGTTACTGCAGAATCACATTTTGGCAGATGTTTTGCCTACGGTGGCTAGAAGTTACTGTATGTATGCCAGTACACCAGAGTGGCCAGGCATCACCGTGTGTGTGGGCCTAGAGTGGCTCAGTGTCACTACATGTGGATATATACACAGTGGCTTAGAGTCATTGCATGTGTGCTTCCAGTGGCTTGGTGTCACACGCTTGCCTAGTGACTCTGTCACTGCTTGTTTGACCGTATGGCTAGGTGTCACTGCACGTGTGCTTATATTAGGTAGGTGACAGGCATGTGTGCTTATATTGTTTGTGTCACTGTGTGTGTGCCTAGGTATTACGAGTCTATCTACAGAGGTTAAGTGTCTGCCACTGCGGCGTGTGTCTATAGTGCCTATGTGTCACTGTGTGTGTGCCTAGGTATTACGAGTCTATCTACAGAGGTTAAGTGTCTGCCACTGCGGCGTGTGTCTATAGTGCCTATGTGTCACTGTGTGTGTGCCTAGGTATTACGAGTCTATCTACAGAGGTTAAGTGTCTGCCACTGCGGCGTGTGTCTATAGTGCCTATGTGTCACTGTGTGTGTGCCTAGGTATTACGAGTCTATCTACAGAGGTTAAGTGTCTGCCACTGCGGTGTATGTCTATAGTGCCTATGTGTCACTGTGTGTGTGCCTAGGTATTACGAGTCTATCTACAGAGGTTAAGTGTCTGCCACTGCGGTGTATGTCTATAGTGCCTATGTGTCACTGTATACTATATTTAATCCTCAGAGTGCCACAAAATAATTCCTTAAGGTTTGTTTATTTTTTTCCAAAATGGGGATTAAATTCATACACAAAATACCTTAATAAGATAATAAACAGATATATGACCAAGTAAGATAGTTGTCACTATAAATTACGTAAGCTATGAGTTTTAGACTTTTTATTAAATGAAAACAATCCCATTCTGAGTTTCAAAAATCTTTAAAAACATTATCCAATCAACTTGTATAAATGTAAGGCAAACTGGCTGGTGTTTTGGGTAACTTTGCAGTTTACCACAAGTGTAACAAATGATAGTAGACATCACACATAGTCATTTCCTGAGGATTTCTTTTAGCCCCTTCAGCATCTCCAACATGATTAAAAACGAACAAAGAAGCAGCACTTTTCCCACGGCATCTTAAACCTTGAACCATTACGTTGCTGGGCCAAAGGCTTCAACCAATTGGCAGCTGGATAAGACGGAGGTGTGTGTAGACAAGACCAACGACCCTACTTGCTAGATTTGGGACAGAAGTGCAGCTTTTTGGTCAGCATGGAGGCAAAGCAGGGAACCTGCTTCTTGCCAATCGCACCTGGGTCTTTGCAGAAGTCCACGCGGCGCTGAGACACCTTCCTGTTCACCAGTGTGAGCAGCTCCGTGAACTCTAAGGAGCTGCCGTACCTCGCCAGCATCTCACACAAATCCTGGATGTACCACGAGCCGTTCACAGTCTCTCGGTGAGAGTAATACCCTAAAAGAAGATTGGGGGGGGGGGCTTCACTTCCTTGTGCTTCAAGGTGACTAAAAGGACACTTTTATAACTAATAATACAGTTACAGATGTGAAAAGTTCTCGAAAGTCCTTGGGAAAGAATAAAGGTCTGCTGCTCATCATGTGTTCACAGTTTTATCTAGTGCTTAATCTCATGTAGGAAAACTTGTTAATTCTATGTTTTTACACGCATAGAATTAATGAAATTTCCTCTACTCTCCAAAAAAAAAAAAAAAAGAGAGAGAGAGAAGAAAAGAAAAAAGAAAACTAGAATAAGGTAACAGCCAGTGATACTGCAAGGCCAGAAAGTAAACAAAAACCATTCAGTTCACACAGTTCACAAACAAGGAAATTAGCAAAATGTTTTTCAACAATGTTTCCCACAAATCTATCAAAATAGCACTGCTACTTTATCACCAAATGACAGCAAGCTGCTAATACCCAATATAATTATACAGCTCTGCTGCTGATGTTATTATTATAACACAATTGTATGGGAATGTTGTTATTCTGTGTGGTATTTTACATCTCATTTATCAGAAAGGATTTCTTCAACATGACTAGGTCTGTGACTTTTTCCACAGAGCGTGGTGATTTAACCGCGAAAGACCCGATCCATTTCTAAGGTGACACAGGCTTGGGCCAAGGGTGCATACAGGTCACAGGCTTCTATGCATCACTCTCACTCACCTTCGGCCACGGAGTAACACATGAGGAAGTCCGCCCCGGCGGGCAGCGTGTACACAGAGGCAGCATCCACCTGTGTTACGTTGTTCGCCGTATCTGTCTGGTGATCCACCACGTCCAGAGGAACCACTGGAACGTCGTGCTGGTTGCCCCGGCAGGCCTGAAAAATGGAGGGAAGAATACTTTTCTCTGCCAGCTGTTTTGTTCCCAATCTTTGTTGTTGATTTTTTATTCATTTTACATTCCAACCACAGTTCTCCCTCCCACCCCCTCCTCCCCCAAAAGCACATGCCCCCATCTACTCCTTCCAAAGGGTAAGGTTTCCCATGGGGAGTCAACAAAGCCTGGACCATTAAATTGAGGCAGGAACCAGAACCCCCCACCCCTACCCCCGCATCAAGGCTGGGCACAGCATCCATAGGGAATGGGCTCTGCCAAGCTAGCTTGTGCACCAGGGATAGATCCTGGTCCCACTGCCAGGGGCCTCACAGACAGACCAGGCTATACAACTGTGTTCCACATGTAGAATACGGAGTTCGGTCCCAGGCTGGCTCCACAGCTGTCAGTCTAGAGTCTGTGAGTTTCCACCAGCTTTAATCCAGCATACCCTCCAATAGTAACAGTAGCCACATAAGCAAGTCAAACACAATGAGATGCAAAGCTAACACAGCTGCTTCCCTGGTAACATTTCCTTTTAGACAGTGTTTACAACCTTGTCCCTCAATAAACACCAAACTATGTGGAATGATACATCCTTCTTTTTAAAAATGGTCATGCTAACCTAAACGTGTACATTCAATCAGATAATTACGTCTGTACGGTGTTTTCCCAGTCCAGTTTCAGCCATAATTTGTCAATAGTTGAAACAGCATTGTCTGACTCAAAAAGATATCTATCCACAAGCCTTTACCTGTTCACAATGAATTTTTCAATGTTTAAGAATTAAGTTTCTAGGGCAGTGGCACTTGCCTTTAATCCCAGCACTCAGGAGGCAAAGGCAGGTGGATCTCTGAGTGAGTTGAAGGCCAGCCTGGTCTACAGAGTGGGTTCCAGGACAGCTAGAGCTGCCCAGAGAAACCCTGTCTTGAACAAACAAACAAATTAAGTTTGTAGTGAATGTTCATATGTGAGTGCAGGTGCCCCCAGGGTTCAGAGGAGGATGCTGGGATCCCTGCACCCTGGGAACTTAGTTGCTCTGCAAGAACAGCAGGAAGCATCATTAACCATAGCTGAGTCCTCCTTCCCTCCCTCCTCAGCCTATTCCCACTTTAAAGTGCATTCTAAATTTATAAGTACTCTGATTCAGAAGTTAGCATTAAATTCTTCTATTTTCTGGTTTGAGGACCTCATGTTTGCTAGGCAAGTGGTCTGCCATGCAGCTAAATTCTACTCTTCTACGTGACAGGCTAAACTGTGTTCCACCCTGAAAAACATAGTTGAAGTCTCTAGTACCAAATAATATTTCTCATGCTCTAAATGTTTGCATTTTATTTCTGAAACTATCTGGCAGCTTGCCAGTGAGCTTGGGGAAGTAAAGAAGGGGTGAGGCAGGGGAGGGTTAGCCTGCTTATCCCTGTATTACTTCCACTGGCTTGCAGGCACTCCAGCTCCCACAGACCCAAGCCCAGGCTGCCTTGCATGGTTCTGTGAAGAAATCAGCTCTTCCCTTCCAGTGGAGCATCCCCCACATCCCTTCCAGTGGAGCATCCCCCACATCCCTTCCAGTGGAGCATCCCCCACATCCCTTCCAGCGGAGCATCCCCCACATCCCTTCCAGTGGAGCATCCCCCACATCCCTTCCAGCGGAGCATCCCCCACATCCCTTTCAGTGGAGCATCTCCCACATCCCTTCCAGTGGAGCATCCCCCACACCCAGCCCAGTCACACAGAGGCATACTGGTGATTATCTGTCATATCAAACGTTAATAAAAACACTCTTGATTTTTTTGTTTTGTTTTGTTTTTTTCTTTAATTTAGACAGGGTCTCACTATGTAGCTCTGACTGTCCTGGAACTTTCTCTGTAGACCAGATTGGCCACAAACTCAGAAATCCACCTGTCTTTGCACTAGGGACTAAAGGTGTATGCCAATACCTCTTGGCTCAAAACACTTTTATAATAAATGTTAATGGTTCAAAATACAACTCTATTAGACCAAAACACTCAAAAAGAGCCTTTCCAATTAGTGGGGAAATTTATTTTAGAAATTGACTTTTTAACCTTTATGATAAATTGCATTTTATAATTAAAATAATGATATGATCGGTCTTACCTGAATGATAAATATCTTGGGTTTTCCAACCAAGCTCTGACACTTGTCTCCTTTGAACAAGCCAGTCAAGGTCTGGATTTCAATTTTGGCGTCATATGCATAAATGTGGTTGCCTTCACCATGGCTCAGGAAGACACACAGGAAGCAATCAGCATCTACATGGCTTGAGGTCGACACTACAGATGCCCCCAAAATACGTGCAGAGGTGAAAATAAGAGTATATTATCCACATGTGGAACTTCAAGTTATGGGTATTTAAAAAAATATGTTCCTACAAAACATCAGGAGAGGGACCTACTTTTTTTTTTTTTTTTAAATAAATACAAGCTTCCTGTAATAAAAACACATCTTGATACTTTCTTCTTATTTTTTCTTAAGATTGGGCCTCATTCTATAGCCAGGCTGGCCCTAAACTTTCTTTCTAAATTTTGGTTTTTTGAGACAGGACTGACATTCTTGCCTATGAAGACTGGCCTTAAATATCCAATAATCCTCCTCCCTCAGCCTCCTGGCACTGGGATTACAGATGTGTGTCCTACCATGGCTGGCTTAAAAACTAATTACTAAAGTTTAAAGCAATTTCACACCAGCCAGGTGTGGTGGTACAGGTCTTTAATATCAGCACTGGGGAGGCAGAGGCAGGTGGACTTCTGTGAACCGGAGGCCAGCCTTGTCTAAAAAGTGAGTTCCAGGGCAGCTAGGACTATTTATTTATTATATAGAGAAACCCTGTCTTGAAAAGCTGATATCAAATACAGAAAAATGATTTAGGAAAAAATGGGGAGGCTCCTTTAAGATCCAAATTACTTAAAGATAAAACAAAAACATCACTGACCAATATCTCCAAGGATCACAGATACAGAAATTCTCAGTAAAATGCTTGTAAGATGAATTCAGCAACACATTAAAAGAAACATACACCATGACCAAGCTAGCTTAACTGAGGGATTATAATGATGGCTCATCATATTCAAATAGACTCAAAACCACAAAGTACATCATTGCTTTGAGAGATGAAGAAAAAGATGTTGACAAAGTTCAACCTCCTTTCCTGCTGGAAGCTCCGAAGAAACCAGGAACACAATGCAACACCACCCAGGCTACTAGTGATAGACCTAACAGCAACTCCGCACTATAGGAAAAGCAAAGCATTTCCTCAAAGGACAAAAGAACACATGTTCCTACCACTTTTACTCAACATGGTGCTTTTAAGTTTTAACCAGGGCAGTAAGGCAAGAGAAAAAAAAATAAATAAAAATAAGGGGGAAGACTGAAAGCACTCATGGAGCAGAGTGCCACACGCAATGGCCGGCACAGGCTTGGTAGCCAGGGAGGAGGTGGTGGATGCCTTGCTTTACTTTGACCAAGGCACCCGGCGAGCAGGAAGCGGAAGCGGCTGCGGCCCTGGTGGAGGAGGAAACGGGCAGATAGCGACCTACCAAGAACTACCTGAGCTACCTGACAGCCTGGGATTATTCTGCCTTTGAAACTGACATAATGAGAAATGAATTTGAAAGGCTGGCTGCTCGACAACCAATTGAATTACTCAGCATGAAATGATATAAACTTCCAGCCGCTTCCTCGGGTCAGAAAAATGACATTACTTCATGGCAAGAGTGCATAAACAGCTGGGTGGTGGTAGCACACGCCTTTAATCCCAGCACCCAGGAGGCAGAGGCAGGCAGATCTCTGTGAGTTTGAAACCAGCCTGGTCTACAAGAGCTGGTTCCAGGACAGCCTCTAAAACCACAGAGAAACCCTGTCTTGAAAAACCAAAAAAGAAACAAAACAAAACAAAACAAAAAGAGCGTGTAAACAATTCCATGGCCCAGTTAGAGCATCAGGCAGTGCAAATTGAGAATCTGGGGCTGGTGTCACAGCAGGGGTGTAATGCCTGGAAAGTATATAATAAAACCTCATTCATGCACCTGAACATGCACAGGAGCTGCTTCAGCAGTTAAGGAAACACATTCAAGATTTAAACTGGCAGGGAAAGAACATGCAGCTCTCAGCTGGAGGGAGGGAGAAGGAACTGGGATGGACATGTAAAATAAAAAAATTAAAAAAAAAATTGAGAGAAATGGAGTCAAATTAGGTATCCCTGGTGAGTAAGAACTACGAGACAGAAAGGACCATTGTGCGGCTGGTCAAATCAAGGGGCAACACGGGGAGGCAGACAAGGAAAACATCCGCCAAGACTTCTGACCTTGGGCAGAAGGGAAGAGAAACCTCAGGCCCCTGGACTTTGTCAGAGCAGCTGGGTATGTGTTGAGAGACAGTGGAGTGTACACTGTTGTGTTGCTTTATGTGTGTGTGTTAGCAAAATGAAGACTTTCAACATGTTGCTATTTTTGTAGCTATAAAAGTCTGAGTTTTCAAAGTGAGTATGACTTTAGAATAATCTTGTCATATTTTGTAGCAGACGTTCTTTTTTTTGAAAGCTTCAAATTTTGTTAAGACTCCCAACAGGTTCAGGAGGATGGGACCTTTGAGTTTGTGTTTTTGTTGAATTAAAATATAGTTCTAAGCAAAATAAAAAAGAAATACGGGAAAGATAGAAGTAAATTATAAATTATCCCTATTTTTAGATGGTGCAATCCTATATTTAAGACACGGAATGGCTGGAGAGATGGCTCATCAGGTAGGAACACGGGCTGTTCTCGGTTCAGTTAACCAGCAAGTACATGGCAGCTCACAAGCATCTGTCATTCTAGTTCCAGGGACTCTGATGCTCTCTTTGGCCTCTGAAGGCACCAGGCACAAACGTGGCACCCTTACATACATGTAGGCACAACACATAAATTTTTTAAATTAAATAAACACTAAATACTCCACCATAAAATTTAGATCCTACAAACACTTACAATAAACAGCAGAATACAACAATCAGAGGCTTCCTTCTATGCTGTATATTGAGGGAAAAAAGCAGACTAGAATCCCATTTACAATAACCTAAAAAAGGAAATACACTAAGAAGGTGAAAGACAGACCTCTACGCTCACGGATTGACAATATTAAGAAAAGGTCTATAATGCAAGAGCTATCTACAGGTTTTCATGATAATTCTTTACAGAATTACAAAGCATCCCAAGTTGAATACCGAAGCATGAGGGGACCAAACAAGCCAAGGCAACACTGAGCAAGCAGAACAAAGCTGGGTTATTGCTACACTTGACTTCAAGTTATACTCCAGAAGTTAGTAACAAACCAATATGATGCCAGCAAACATTTGACCAATTGGATCGAGGACCCAGAAATAAACCCATATAGCTCCAGAGGCCAAGTTTTTGACAAAGGTATCAAAACACACATGAGAAAAAAAGACAATCTCTTTGACAAATTGTTCTGGGAAAACTGGACACATATTAAGAGAAGTAACTTTAAGACTTGAAACTACTAGAAACATCTCAAGATATAGGCCTAGCAGAATGAAGAGATGGTTCACAAGTAAAGGTACTCATGCACAAGCCTGAGGAAATCCCAGAATCCACATGGTAGAAGAAGAAACCCCATCCCAAAAGCTATCCTCTGACATCCATCCACAAGGGTGCTATGACATGCGAGCGCACACACACACAATAATAAATGAATAAAAAAGGTAAAAAGATACAGGCATAGGCAAAGATGTAGCACAGGAAATACTTCCAAGAATTAACAAATGGGGTTACATGAAACTAAGTGAACTTTACAGCAAAAGAAACAATTACCAGAATGAGGATACAGACTACAGAATGAGAAGAAATCTTTGTTGGCTACACATCTTAAAGGATTAGGTTCGTATCTAGATTATACAAACAATGAAGGGGAAAAACTTGCTAGAAAACCAAATAATACGATCAAAAATTGATCAATGAAACAGAGATACTTCTCCAAATAGGAAGTACCAGTAGCTCGATGATAGAATGACCATCAACCTCAGCCGTCAGAGAGATGCAAGTCAAAAATGCCCAGAGTTCATTACCCCAGTCAGAATGGCTCTCAAAACAAAACGAAACTGATCTGGTGAGGATGGGAAGTAAGCTGGGGAGGAAGGAGCCCTTGTACCTGCTAGTCAGAGTATAAGCGAGCCCAGCCACCATGGAAACCAACAGGGAGCTTCCTCTGAAAACAAAACACTGCTACCAGCAGTACCACTCCTGGGATCACACCCAAGGGCACCCAGGACAGCACGTGAGTGACAGAGATGCCTGCTCAAGTTTGCAGTACTACTCACAAAAGACAAACTACAGCGTCAAGTTAGTTGTCCTTCAACTCTTAATAGAGAAAATATGCTACATACACACAACGGAGTTTTATTCAGCCATGAAGAGAAAATGCAGGAAAATGCATCGAATGGGAAACCATCCCCACTAAGCAACGGGGCAGACCCAGAAAGAGAGGAATCAGTCTCTCGTGACCCCTGACGGTGCTATCTTCGGCTTCACACTTCTCTCACCGGGGTCACCTGACATACTCCTATGGCATGAAAATAGAAGGCAGACTATTTGGGAAGAAATGGGGGGCTAATTGGGGGGAGATGAGGGAACAGACAACAGACGGTAAAGAGGGAACACCGTCAAAACACATGCTCCAAAAATGGAGTATGAATGTCACCACGAAGCCTGCTTTACACGGTCACTCTGTGGTGATTGACAAATTCTTTTTAAAAGACCCACGTGACTTCAGCAAGGCACTGAAAGTTTCTTTGAATGATCAGACTTTCCTGCAGCAGCCCGAAAACACCCAGAAACTGCAACTCTACAGCTACCCCTGTGGCTGCACCTCTAACAGCCATGCCTCTCAGAGAGCCTCTAGGAGCATTAAGATGCGGGGGGTGGGGGGGTGGGGGGGGTGGGGGGTGGGGGGGGTGTTCTCCAAAGCTTATGAGCAAAGCAGAAAACCTAGTTAACAGCCAGTTTCAATGATAATTGTTTAATTAAAGGAAAGTGCTGGAGAAAGTGATTATGCAAATAGCAATAATAGCCCATTAGCAACTGCTTTGAAATAGAATGAAGTACGGATTGACTCTTTAGTTGCATTATAATTAGAATACGTACTTCATAGTGATGCAACGGTTTAAAGACATAGGAAAATAAACACCATGAAGCAAAGAACAGCTAGGGCAAGGCTAAGTAAGCAAGCCTACTCTGAAAGACCCAGCGTCTGAAGAATTTGCATTTCAGATGTCCACCATCAAACAAGTCATTTCCTTCAACTCTGGAGTAATAATAACAAAACATAAATATATAACTGGAAGCATGCTAACATAAATCTTTGGAGGGGCATACTACTTTGTCAGAGCTCTAGTTCCGATGGGGAGTGTAAACAGAGACAGGACCAACACCTCTAACCTGGTGAAACAAGTAGCAGTTTTTCTTGCTGCATAGTGAATTCCTCAACCCCATCAGAGATCTTAAATTGCAAGACTACCTACCCTCATGAATTTTGAGCAGGAGTTCTTGGGCTTTGAGATCGTTAAAGCATTTCACTTCAAATCCTAGCTCTGAAAACCTGGTGATACAATAAACTTGAAATTAGCTGGTGGGCATTTCCAGGCCATCCAACATCCTTCCTTTCTGAGGAATTTCATGCCTATTTTTATGATATATAAAAAACAATGGTAATTCCTCTTGAAAGGGCTCAACAGTGCTAAGAGCCAACTCAATGACGACTATTACCATCTACTGCGCATCGTTAGTGGCAAGGATAAACCTAGTGCAACAGAATGGGGTGAAGAAGACAGCTCACTCAAGTTCTCAAGGGAGGCTCAGTTTTTTTTTTTGGGGGGGGGGTTCCTGTTTGTGACCAGGGATTGGATCTGGGGCCTCATGAATGCTAAGCACATGCTGGGTCTAAGTAAAGCTCTTGATCTGCCATCAGTGCTAAATTGTGATTAGTTGTCATTTAAGTGTATCATCTTGACAGAGAAAACTACCTTCGAGTCAGGTTGTCCCTGTCTGCACTGGTGCCCCGCCTCTCTGGGAGTGTCAAGTGCCAGAAGAACCTCTCATGATTGAAGATTAGGGCGATTCCTCTCCTCTTGTGGTCCATCTTGTACTGTTCTGCTGGATCAAAGACTTCCCTACTAACGAAGAGTAAAACAAACAACTCATGTTAAATAATGAGCCCACTAAGCCCAAGGTCAAGGTCTAGATGAGAGCTTACTGCTTCTACAGAGCTGGGTACTGGGAGACTATCAGTGAAGAAAGTTGATTGCTGGTTAACAACACTGTGTCCCATCTTCAGCCCTCCATCCCAGGCCTTTGGCAGTAATGTTTCCTCCTGCTTTCGAGGATCCAGTGACACAGGACAACAGCCAGGCCCAGGGCCAAGTTCTAGTAGTAAACCCCCATCCTACCAAAGATGATATCATTTGAACATCACTCCAGGTCCTTTGGCAACAAGATGTACCTTCTAACCCATTGGTTCTCAATCTTCCTAATGCTGCTACCCTTCAATACAGTTCCTCATGTTGTAATGACACCCCAATCATGAAGTTTTCTTCATTACTACTTCATAACTATAATTTGCTTCTATTATGAATAATAATGTAAATATCTGTGTTTTTCCAATGGTCTTAGGTGACCCCTGTGAAAGGGTCATTTGACCCCCGGAGGGACTGTGACCCACAGGTTGAGAAGTACTGTTCTAACCATACCTACACACCCATCTCCTCAGATGCTAAAGAATAAAAGTAGCAACTGCACTCTTACTTTCCTTTCTGTAAGATGGTTGGGACCAAGAAAGGAAAAGGCTTTCATTAGATAAGAACACACTCTTACCTTTTGTAGAAGCCATCTGTTTCTGTCATGTTTTCCTTTACCTACTAGGAAAACAAAGTTGATGTTTGTTAACTTTATTTTATTGAGACAAGAATTCATTACATAGCCCAGGGAGGCCTGGGATTTTCTATGTAAACTTGGCTGTCCTCTAACTCAGCCTTTGCCTCGGGGCTGGGATTAAAGGTGTGCACCACCACACCCTGCTTGTTAATGTTACTTTTAACTTAAAGTATAGTGATATCCTCTGGCCCTCCCAAACTCTAATCTAAGATTCCTGGAAATGAAGGGAAGCCATCTGCTGCTCTTGCCTGCAAAATAACAAATCATAAGCCAAAATGGAGAAAACACCCAAACACATCTGCCTTGAGTTAAACAATTCTGTGGTTAAGGTGTTCGAAGGAAATACAGATGCTTTGTTATACACAAAAATGCTTTTGCCAAGAGAGAGAAGCTGAGTGATATAGAACTAAATCCTGTCTGTGGTTAATGCCTCTAGAACATGGAATACACTTAAGCGGAAGACAGCAAGGCTTGCAAAGGCTCAAATTTTGGTCTACTGAATGACTCATCTCTGCTGAAAACACTACTTGTACTCACTACCGAGTACACAATCACCACCACTCTCGGAACGACCCTTCAGCGCATCCTTGCCTTCTCTGGAGAGCACTGTGTGACAGAACTTTCGGTGCTGAGCCAATGTTCAATGTATGCTATGTCACGGGTTGGTCATTGGCCACTGCTGGCTACTGAGCACCTGAGACGCATGTAGCAGGTACAACAGGAGCTCAACCTTTATTTATTTTTAACAAGACAGGGTCTCACTTTGTTCAGGAAGGCCTGACACTCACGGGCTCAACGCATTGTTTCTCCTGGCTCAGCTAAAAGTGCAGGCTACCTGGCCCAGCTTCCAATGAAATTAAAGAGGCACATGCAGCCAACGGCCTCTGTCCTGAAAATGGATCAATAATCCGTTATCATCTGATTAATTAACAGGTTAAAGGGAGGCAAGAGTTAAGAACAAAGAGGAAAGCGAACAGGAGACACCTTTCGGCAGAGGTCCCTGAGGCAGTGTGGATGATTCCCATCCCCCCCCCCATCCTTAGATAGTCTCCCTCATGTCACTAAAAACCACTACCATCCTGGCAGTGAGCGTGAGTGAGTGGGGAAGTGCCTCGTGTCCCTTTTAGCCTATCTCTCTTGGAGTTTGCCCAGGTCACACTATTTCTCAATGAAGAGTCCAGTAGGGCATTTCCTTATCCAATAGGTAAGGGCTAAGTGGGGTTCCTCAATGTGCCTCGGAATTCCAGATGTGAGTGCTAGCATGTAGACTCCTGGTTCTCCGTCCTCAATGAGAATCCGGGACGGGGCTGGCAGTCTGCCTTTGTAACAAGGTAAATTTTATACTGAAGTTGAAGAATCCACAGACATCCCTTTACCTCAGGCTCCTCTCCCAAGGTTTCCTTCAGGGTATCTGCCCGTGGCCCAAGCTATCACAGGAACCAGGTAATCCCTAGGCTATCCACTGCTCTGAGACCAAGGCATAAGAGCTTCACTCCTGCCACACCAGAGCTGCACACAGCCTGTCCTCATCTTTTAGCCAACAATACTATAGAAAAACTGAATTAAATTACAATGAAACAAATAAAACAATGCCAGAAGTCAACAACTGTCCTCATCCCAAGGCTCTCTAGACTGGGCGGAAGGTGGCTGCTCTGGTCATGGAGAAGGTGGAGGTGGATTTGCTGGCCGTTGCCCCCTATTGCTTTACTTCCACTGAATGCCTCACCTAAGTTCAAAGTATCCTGGAGGATACTGGAGTATCCTGGAGGTTGTGACAAAATGCCAGTCACAACCTGAGGTGTCCCTAAGGGTAAAAGGCCTGGAGAGCAACTCTGCTCTTCCTATTCAAGGACAAGCTTCAGTTTGAGTTGCTTCTCATACATCCCTCAGTAACTTCAGGGACTACAGACTTAATTTTAAGTTGCTCAAGAAAATCTATTACAATTGACACTCAGTTTCAAGACTGTCTGTTACGAGTAGTTTTTCAGGCAGCCTGGAGACACCGCCACACCAGCCCCAAATAATGAACAGAGACCCTGTATTTGATATAAATGCTGTTGGCCAGTTACTTGTTTCTTATTGGCTAGCTCTTTCTTAAATATTCACTCATTTCTATTAACCTAAGTACTTCCACATGATCTCATCTCAACGGAAAGAGGGACCAACACTCTGTTCTCTCTCTACATGCTGACTCCTCCCTACCACTTCCTGGAATCCTCCTTGTCTCCTATCTTGCTCCTATAGTCCTGCCTATCTTGCTTTCTTATTGGCCCACAGTGCTTTATCCATTAACCAATAAGAGAAACATATTAACAGAATGACATCTATCAGCTGTCAGATCCACAACCCCAGTGAGGGCTTGTTTAATGTAAAGAGGGAATCTATTAGTAAACATTTTAAACATGTAGTCACTTTGTATTTGCATGGTAGGCACATGCCATGGCACTGTGGAAATTAGATGGCAACTTGCAGGGCAGGCTTCCTCCTTCCATAATATGGCTCCAGGTCCTCAGGCTTTGTGGCAAGTGTCTTTACCTGCTAACCCTCAGACAGTTTTAACATAGACTAAGCACAGCCCTTAGTGGAGAGAAGAGGATGTGTAGGAAAATTACAACAGACAACCAGGACATCTGTCCGAGTCAAGGTTTCTATTGCTGCCATGAAACACCATGACCAAAAGGCAAGTTGGAAAGGAAAGTGTTTATTTGGTTTCCACTTCCACATAGCTGTTCATTATTGAAGGAAGGCGACAGGAACTCAAAATAGGGCAGGAACTTGGAGGCAGGAACTGATGCAGAGGCCATGGAGGGGTGCTGCTTACTGGCTTGCTCAGTCTGCTTTCTTATAGCACCCAGGACCATCAGCCCAGGGGTGACATCACCCACAATGGAGAGGGCCCTCCAACACTGATAACTAATTAAGAAAATGCTCTACAGGCTTGTCTACAGCTTGATCTACAAGGCGATGGTTCTCAACCTTCCTAATGCTTCGATCCTGTAATATATACAGTTCCTCATGTTGTAATGACCCCCAACTATAAAATTATGTTTGTTGCCATTTCATAACTTTAATTTTGCTACTGTATGAATCGTAATGTAGCTATCGGATACTCAACCCCAAAGAGATTAAAAACCCACAGATTAAAGACCACAGTTTTAGAGCCATTGAGGCTCCCTCCTCTCAGATGACTTTAGTTTGTGTCAAGTTGACGTAAAACTACCCAGGACAAGGTGCAGGCTTCTCAAGGGAGTCTCATCTTAGCCAAGAGTTTTAAAACAGTGATCCCAGGCTGGCCTCACCTTCACACCCCCTGGCCTCAACCCTCTGAATACTGGGTTATAGCACAGCTTGACCGGACCAGCATTTTCTTCTTTTTCCAAGATGTATTCTACATTATCCTGGCTGGCTCAAACCCGAGATTCTCCTTCCTTAGCCTCGTTAAGAGCTGGGATTAGGACACCCATATGAGAAGTAGGGATCTGTGGCCACCTCTGGCCTTGCCCAGTCTTGATGTGAAGGTTTGTGCCCAGCCTCGCTGTGTCTTGTGCGTGTTTGGTTGACGTCCCTGGGAGGCCCGTTCTTTTCTGGGGAGAGGTGTGGGGTAGTGGATCTGGGGGACAGAGGAGGTTGGGGGGTGTGGGAGAGTGGAGGGGGAAAGCTGTGGTTGGGTCTTGTTGTATGAGAGAATAAATGGAAGACCTTTTGAATGTGTATATCATGGAACCTGATTCTTGGCCTTTTGCTTCTCTTTTCTGTTCCACCCTAATGCAAAAAGTGCCGTCTAGTTCCTTAGTTAAATTTGTGCAAAATCACTCACTCCTTTTGTTTTCTCTTTATGGCTACTTCTGGATAATGCTATCAGTCACTGTGCACTGACTGCCTGGCACTGTGGATAGTTTATCTAACGACTTCCAAAGCCCAGGAATACATAACACAGGCCAGACTTGCCTAAGGTCAGTTCTGAGGGAACTTAAGGCTATATCCACTGGTGGGTTCCAAAGCTGGACAACCTGACACCAGGTGCTTCACCGGAGGCCACTTTCCAAACTCGCTATCTCGAAAATCTACCCATATTCCCTGTCACCCATGTAATAACCCACAAGAAGTAACTCACCACCTCCCTAGACGGAAGGGGGCAGGGAGAAAAGGAATCAAATAAAGAGGGGATATGATCGGCACACGTGTACCCCCTCCACCGAGTTTCCCTCTCTCGCCATCATACCTAAGCTGAAGATGGCCACTAGACCCTGTATGTTCAGCAGGGCCACTGTCTGCCGGACCGTGGGGACTTTCACATCTTGCCTCTGGAGTAAGGACAGAGCTCTGAAATAAAGGCCACCTCTGACCTTAAAAGCCAATCAAACTTGACGTTTTTAACTTTAATGTGGGTTTTAATAAGCTGCAGGAAACCTGTTCTGAAGCGAACACTAGCATTTATCACTCTGGAGGAAAGTTGATTGGGGCTAAAACTCTGGCAGCAACAGGTTTGCTGGCTGCAGGCAGCACGGAGCAGCGGTGCCTGCCCAGGTCTGGCCCTTGCCTGGGGTTGAGCCTCGCTCCCGCGGGCCTGTGCCTCATCCCTGAACTGCCATTTCCCTCCACTTCCCAGGCAGAAGCGAGCAACAAAACAGGACTCAACCTGCAAAGCCAAGTTTTCTGCCGCACAGCGCAAGCGCCGCCCTTTAAAGTTTAAACAGCAGGGACGCTGCGGAACTGGAAGACAAAGGCGCTCGGCAGAATTAGCCTGGGCAAACACTGCCACGTCCGGCGCTGTGCAGCGCTGCAACCCCGCAACTTCTGCCAGTCCCACCAGTCCCGGGACACCGCCGCCCGCCCGCGTCCTAAGTTCGCACCCGTGCCGTCACTTACCTGCCGGCCAGCTCCGGGTGTCGTCGTAGCCCTCCAACCGCTGCTCCGCAGGTCCGGCTTCCTGCCAGCCCCACCCCGCCTTACGCCCCGCCTCCCGCCCCAGGGGCCGCCTTCACCTCCCCCAGAGGAGCTCTCAGCCAAGGCCCTCCATCACCACGGCAACTCCAGGACGCCACAGCGGAACCGCCCTTGTGTGCGAGTGTGTGTTTGGGTTTGGGTGTGGTGATGGTGGGGTTGTGAAGACCCCTGTCCACCACTGCTAGGGGAGCAAGCCTGGCAACTTCACGTCCAGGGAGGTGAACTCAACATTGCCTTTGGCTCTTCGCCACTCCATCTCGTGCTTCGGTTTAGTGGGGAGAGCTTTCTCTACAGCCTGTTATTTTGGAGGGTTTGCAGTAACTTATTCCTCATGCTTTTTGTCTGGACAGATGGCTTAGGCCTAACAAACAAAACAGAACGGAAGGCATGCGAGAAGCCTGGATGTGCTGGCATGGCACAAGACAGTACAACAGAGTGTGGAGGCAGGAGGATCAAGGTCAGAATCAGGGAAGGAAGGAGGGAGGGAAGAAGGCCCAGGAGTTGCCGTCAGTCATCTAACTTGACATTTAATAAATTTTGTATTAGTTAGCAGTCTGATAACTATAACAAATATCCGAGGTAAACCAACTTAAAAGAGAAAAAGTGTTTACAAGTAAAACTTAGCTTCAGAAGCTTCCAGCCAGTTAGGTAACCCATTGTTCTGGGGGCTAAGACCTAGCAGGATGGGATGCCAGTAGTATAGGGCAGAGGAAGCTGCTTACCTCTTAGCAGCCAAGAAGCAGACAGAGTGGGGAGAGTAGCCCTCTTCAAGACCCTTACCCCTGATAATGTACTGGGCTGGGGACTGAGCCTTCAACACTAGGGACCTTTAAGGACATTACAGATCCCAACATCACTAAAGATACAAAGTATCAGGAATGAGCCACTTCCCTAATCACTGTGACAGAAGCACCCAAAAGAAGCAAGGTAATGGAGGATGGGTTTATGTGGAGGATGGGTTTATGATGGTGGTGCTAGTTAAGACAATACCCTGCATCCTCAGAGGGAAGGCTCTGAAGCAGAAGCAATTCCTGTTAGAGGTGGTGTGAGCCAGAGGTAGCTTGCCAGAGTCAGGAAGTAGAGACTGAGCCAGAAGCAGGCCTGGGGTATGATGCTAAGGCCTGGGGTGTGAGGCTAAGGCCTGGGGTGTGAGGCTAAGGTCTGGGGTGTGAGGCTAAGGCCTGGGATATGATGCTAAGGCCTGGGGTGTGATGCTAAGGCCTGGGGTGTGAGGCTAAGGGCTGGGGTGTGAGGCTAAGGCCTGGGATATGATGCTAAGGCCTGGAATGTGATGCTAAGGCCTGGGGTGTGATGCTAGGGGCTCATCCAGCAGCAATTCAGACTTACCTCCTCCAGTTATAGCCCTCCTACCTGCTAAAGATTCCACAGTCCCCCAGACAGTGGCACTAGCTGGCAACCAAGTGTTCAAACACATTGGTCTGTGTTTCTATCCAAACTGTAACAACCGATTTAAAAATTGCAGACACGTCATTTTAGAATTTTAAAGCAAGCACTATCCATAAGTAGCTGAAGTCCACGTCAGTGTGAGTCTGATGAACATTCCTACTAGACAATCACCAAGTAGAACCTTAGCAAGCTCCCTTCCCTGTTGATGGAAGAAGACAAAAACCAAACTATTTAGTAAAGTAAGCCAGCTACACCAGAGACCAAAGTTAATTGACAGGATGGACTGTCCCATACCCGAAGATGACTCACTGTTATAGAATTATTAATTACACCAAAGTCTTAGCTTGTTATCTACTCTAGGAATGAAACACAGGGCACATATTCTAAATAATTTGAGAATCAAATTTTGGTCAGTTTTCAGTGCTAATGCTACCAACTCTCTCAGCTGTTTCCCTTATAGAAATCACATAGCCACTAAACTTCTAGGACTCTGACTCATCTACTTAAGAAAACACGTACTGCGGTTGGATCCAGAATGTCCTCCCAAGGGTGGTGTACCCAAAGATTGCCTGCCACTGGCTGGTGCTGCTAAGGAGTGCTGTGGGATCACAAGGGTGATAACTGTATCCGCTGACTGAACCCTTGGGATTTGATGGAAAACTGTAGAAGGCGGAGCTTCCTCCTCACACCCCTGAAGGGTACTGCCTGTCCTTGTCCTCAGTCCCCTCCTGTGCCTGCCTCGGGGGGCTATGAAGGGGGCCACTTTGTTCCACCACAAGTTCCCACCTTCATACTCTCATCAGACCCAGAAACAGCGGCTGGGGCAGAAATCCTCTCCGTCACAGAGTTCTGAGAGAAATCAAAGGGACGCTCTTAACCACTGAGCCCCTAGACATCTTTCAAGGCTCAGTGGTTAAGAGCACTGGATGATCTTCCAGAAGGCTCCAGGTTCAATCCCAGCACCCATATGGCCACTCACCATGCCTGTAACTCTAGTTCCAGGGGAACTGCCAACCCTCTTCTGGCCTCTGCAGACACTAGGTATGCATGTGGTACATAGTCATCCATGGACACAAAACACCCATCCACATAAATAAACAAATAAAATTTCAGAATGAAAGAACAAAAGGAATAGGTAATCCAAAATCAGAAAAGAACAATATTGCTATAGCTACCACACACAGTAAGACTGATTGTTAGGCTCAAACCTGAGACAAACGGCTACCCGAGGTGCCCATTTAACAAAGCAAGGCAGACCCTGCCACCAGGTTCTCTCTCCCAGCATCCCTCAGTCCCTACCTGTTGCAGAGCATGGCTGGTATTCCCCACCCCAAACTTCTCCAGCCCAGCGATTGGGCCAGGCTTCCCTCTGTCATTTTGGTTATCTGGCCCCTCCCCCTCTCCTCAGGGTCAGGCTCAGGGTCAGTCTGGACTCTCCCAGATGTCCCTGCCTCCAGGCTCTGCTCTCCCTCCCTTTTATTTACAAGAAATCTTCCCCTCCACCGTATCTAGGAGCAGTCATGTCCTTCCTTTTTACTCCTTTTCATTCATGATGCAGTTTTACTGTTAGCATCTATCACCTTTACATTTTTATTTAAAGCAAATGTTTAGATTGATTTTGTATGCACCACTTGCATGCCTAGTGCCTACAGAAGTCTGAAGAGCTAGATCCCCTGGAACTGAAGGTGCAGATGGTTGTGAGCTGCCATGAGGGTGCTGGGAACTGAACCTGTGTCCTCTGCAAAAGCAATGAGTGCTTTCAACTGCTGAGCCACCTGTCCAGCCCTATTACATTTTTAAAAAAGCATCTACTCTTTTATATACATTGGCAATACAATCAAAGTGTATCTATCTATGCATATATGTTATGCAATAAACTATAAAAGTAAATATTTAAAAGTACCTACTATTTTTATGTACATTGGTTATACTATAAAAGTACATATATTGCATATGTAGTATGTAAGCTAGTTATACAATAAATTATAAAAGTAGATATTTAAAAAGTGCCTTTTGTTTTTATATACATTGGTTATGCTAATTTATTGTTACCTATGGACCTGGCTGGGTTTGCAGGATGAAAGTGTAGAAAAACAGCAATACAAGAATTAACTTCACTCCTCACTCACTATATATATATATATATATATATATATATATATATATATATATACACATACATATATATATATATATATATATATATATATATACTGCAGTTAACTTCTGTGACTTCTGAACAATTCAACACAGTGTGTGTAGAAAGATTTTTGCCTGTTTTGTTCCTCTCCTAAAAGTAGCAGCTAAGGGTCCCATGCATTTTTACTGCAGCTTGGTTTCACTTAGCCTCAAGGCACACCCTTGATTTTTCTAATAGATATATCTCTTATAAGAGATGTATCACCTTTGAGAGAAGAGACTCCACCAGAGCAGCAGGAATGGAGCCCTTTCTTCAGAACGCTTTGCCTTCTGCCCAGTGCTACCTGTAATGACTTACAAAGACACTTAGCATTGTGCTCCTTTATGGCATTCCAAGCAGCTTACCTTCCAGTTCCAGTTATGAGTTACTTAAAAAATAAACATGGTCTAGTGTCTGGGATGGGTAAAGTCAGCAGTCAATGGCTAGTAGAGCTGAACATTCTGGAGCCACTAAGGCAATCCCAATATTCACAGACATTTTAAGAGACGGCCAAGGTTTTCTGGGACTGCTTGCATGCCCGTTAACTGTCAGTGTATAGTAAGAGGGTCACAAGGGACAGGTCTTCCTACCTTGCCTTTCCCACCCACTTTGGTTCCACAATTAAAGACTTGATAACACTCAAGAAATAATCAAGAAGAAAACATTACCAAGAATAAGTTTTATTAAGACCTCCATTAGTAAAAGGTTAGTCTTTTAAAAATATTCCAGCATCTAAGATGAGAAACAGGTATTAGGGAATAAACAACAGCATATAATGCTCTGATTTGCCTCATCAAATCCATCTTTTTTTTAGAATTCATAGCAAAAGATGGCATTTGTTAGAACTGGTTTGTGAAACAGGAGTGCTGTGTTTCTGAATATTGTTCATATCCTAATACTTAGATGTACTCGCTGTCCCTACAGAGACATATTGGCCAGTGGTTCCAGCTGTACAAACAATGTACACGTGGAGGCTTTGTTACTGTGACCAACACAGTACATCCTGTCTCAGAAGACTCCAGAGAAATGGTACTTACTTCCTCTCAGCGTAAGTGCATATTTGAAATTTCAGAGTAAATAATACTTCTAAGGGAAGATTGCCCTAGATTTCAAAATAACGTTGAGAAACCCTTACAATGAATGTTATATCTGCTCTCATTTTTATTAAGTACAGCTATGAAAACCAAGTCTCACAGTCCTCGTTTTGGGGACCCACTGAGAGAGACAGCAAGGCCCACGAAGGCAAGCATGCTCCCCTCTCTACTCATGCCCAGTCCTGAGCATGCTCTTCTGTTTCTTCCCAATGCCCATTCCATTTCACAATGAAGGTTAAAATCAAAGCACAATCTTGAAGGTCTTAAAATGACCCATCACAAAAACAAGGCAGCTTCAGGCTGTGAAAGCATCAGTTCTCCGTCTGCTCGCCAGCTTCAGGGCTTCCTTACAGATCTGTTTTCTCCTCATAACGGCACCAACATGCGGCTCGCTGGCTGTCCAGGTACGGCTTGCAGCCCAAATGTATGACACTGTCAAACAGGAGCTCCACCGTTGTTTCACAAGCTGCAGAGGAAAGACATGCTGTAACCCGAATAATAAAACACCCAGAGACTGATGTTGGGGCTCAAGCTTCAAGCTGAATACCAGAAAAGCAAAGCAGTGGGCCGCTACCTTCCCACCTCTACCTCAGGCTGAACGGGCTGATCCTGTCTCCACGAGCTCACACCAAGTTTCAGACTCTAACCTCTCCTCAGCGTGGCTGGATAATGAATGCCTCCACTGAATCCTTGTCCTGTCTTTTATACCCATCTAGTTCTGAGATTAAAGGTGTGAACTATAACTCTTTTAGACTGATTAAATCTTGTGTAGGTCTCGGTGGCCTTGGACTCACAGAGAGCCATCTACTTCTTAATCCTGAGTTCTGGGGTTAGAGGTGTGTGCCACCACCTCCTAGCTTCTGGCTGCTGGGATTAGAGGTGTGTATCACCACCTCCTAGCTTCTGGCTGCTGGGATAGAGGTGTGTATCACCACCTCCTAGCTTCTGGCTGCTGGGATTAGAGGTGTGTATCACCACCTCCTAGCTTCTGGCTGCTGGGATTACAGGTGTGTATCACCACCTCCTAGCTTCTGGCTGCTGGGATTAGAGGTGTGTGCCACCACCTCCTAGCTTCTGGCTGCTGGGATTACAGGTGTGTGCCACCACCTCCTAGCTTCTGGCTGCTGGGATTACAGGTGTGTGCCACCACCTCCTAGCTTCTGGCTGCTGGGATTACAGGTGTGTGCCACCACCTCCTAGCTTCTGGCTGCTGGGATTAGAGGAGTGTGCCACCACCTCCTAGCTTCTGGCTGCTGGGATAGAGGCGTGTGCCACCACCTCCTAGCTTCTGGCTGCTGGGATTACAGGTGTGTATCATCACCTCCTAGCTTCTGGCTGCTGGGATTCCAGGTGTGTATCATCACCTCCTAGCTTCTGGCTGCTGGGATTAGAAGCGTGTGCCACCACCTCCTAGCTTCTGGCTGCTGGGATTAGAAGCGTGTGCCACCACCTCCTAGCTTCTGGCTGCTGGGATTACAGGTGTGTATCATCACCTCCTAGCTTCTGGTTGCTGGGATAGAGGTGTGTATCACCACTGCCTGTCTCTATAGCCTGAGGCTGACTTTGCGTTTCTGAATCCTCAATCGAGCTTTAATATCACTACAACATGTCATTACTGCTGCGCAAGTGTCAAGCACTGCTCTGTTACCACCTCTATACCTGCTGTAGCATAGGGCCATGCCCTTCAGTGGGCACCCAATGTGCCACATAGGAGGCCAAAGTCATCCCAGTCCCTCACGCCAGCAGCACACCCTGCAGATTCCATTTCAGTCTCTTCACACACAATTAATAATAACAACTGAAAGCAAGTAAATGTAAAAATCTCAGAAACCTCAAGGCATCACTACGACCAGTGGTTTCTAAGAACTGATCGCATTCATTAAAGATGCTCATACTAAATGGTACCCATTCTCCTTCTTTGACCTATTCTAAAGTTTGGCTTCAGGGTGGATGCTCATGGGAATCTAAAGTAGTTTCTCCTGAGGTTTTAAACTTTTTAAGTCTGTAATAAAGATATCAACTTACCTTTCCTATTCTAAGAAGCCACAGGCATGCTACATTCACAGAGCTAAACCACAAAACAGCTTTCAGTGGCCATTTTTCAAATATTCACATGAAGGGCGAATCTCACTCTAAAACTCATCCTCTTTAAAGTCCTCCAAAAGACTGTGCCATTCCAGAGCACATCAACCAGAGAAACACAGACTGAACTAAAGGCATGGAAAGAATATAATTTGGCTCCACCTCTCTGTCTTTTTGAGGTGAGAAAACAAGAAATTCATCCACTTGGGATTCAGTTTGTTACTGCAGCCAAAAGCAGGCTGGTGGGTAGGAGAGTGAATTCAGGTGTCATCTGCGGCAGAGACCTCCTCCTGGACAGTTTTCCTGGGATTTCAGAATCAGAGCTACAGCATGATGTCTAGAGCAGTCAGTGGACACAGCATGGGCTCCAGAGTCAGACAATCGAGGCCTACTCTGGACAAGTTCCCGGCCTTGCTCCCCTTTCCTCAAAGATAGGCATCCTGTCTAGCACTCAGGGGTTTCTCGTGAGTATCAAAAGAAACCATGAATACATTATCTAGCACAGTCGTTTAAGGAAAATACATAAAAATGTTAGTTTTCTTTCTGTTTGCCACTTTGGACTTGAGTGTACAGTACATTCTTTGGGTTTATAGTTGAAAGTCTTATAAATGTTCATATTAGAACAGTGATTTACATTTCCACAGACATTTCAGTTTGGCTTATGACAGGCTGACTGGAGCTTGGGACTGCATGGAAACAGCTTGTGTGAGTCATCGTCTACTTCAGGTAGGGCCGGGGCTTTAGACACACTCATGTCGCTGTAAAAGTTACACCAATACATTTACTGCTTCACCAAGTTAGACTTGGATGGAATCGTTCCTATTGCCACTGTTTTTGTCACATACCATAACCGGACAGTAAGCCCCATTGCTGGGGTTACAGGACATGATGAAATCGGGTTGGGAGCAATCTGGAAGCTTCTTCCCTGGTGGCTAACATGTGTAGACAGGGGCATGATAGCCTGTTAGGGAAGTGTTATCAAAACTGCTCTGCCTTGGTATGGCCCTCTATGCTAATGCCATCAACAGGTCAGGCAAGACGTGCCCATCGATGCACTATTCTACACTTGTTATGGGTACAACCAACTACTTTTCTGATCAGACTAAAGGCCTGTTACACACAGGGAACTCATGTTTGGTATGTAAGCCAAGGCAAAAGCCATGGGAAATCACATGCAGCACTGTGAAAAGTGTTACTACTGTTTTGTTAAATAGATATGGGATTGTCTCTTTGGTCTGTTCCTGGTGTCCTATCTAGTATGGCCAGATGTTTCTTTACACATCCCCAGGAAAGTCATGCAACAGGCAGCCTTCTGAGTTCTGGGATCACGGGCATGAGCTGTCACTCTAGCAGCTCTGCACTCTTAAATTCACTGGTGCTACGGATGTCTACTGTTGAGGGATATTTGCTCGCACTGACACTATGATGCTGACAATAAAGTCTACCTTGAATCAGAGGGTACAGTTAGCAAGTAGCTGACCGGAATTGGCCATAGAGGACCCAGGAAAAAGAGAGACACAGGAAGTAGGAGGAAGGGGCTTAAAAAGATTCATTGGTCCTTTTGGATGGGGAAGGAGAGAGAGGAAGGGGAGGGAGGGAGAGAGAGGGAGAGGAAGAGAGAGAAAGATAAAGAGAGAGAGAGAGAAGCGGTCACTGGTCCCTTCTCTGCCTATTGTCTGCTCAATCAGGTTATTACCCCATATCTGACTCCTGAGTTTAATAATAGAACAAGATAAGCAATACTATTTAGTAATAGAACAATATAAGCAACATTATTTAATAATAGAACAAGATAAGCAAACGCTTCGGTCTATGTTCCTCTAAGAATTGTTGAAGTCTTAACATCCAAGGTAAAGGAATTAAGATACTAAGGACTTTGGGAAGTAATGGGAAGTGATTAGGTCATGAGGGTAGTATGCTCATGAATGGGATTAGTCACATTAGGAAAGGTATTCCGTTAGGTGGACTTACTTTCATATGCAAGATCCTCAGTGTAATCCCAGCACTATGCAACACAACAAAAATGCAGGCAAACAAGACAGGATCCCAGGGAGCTGCCTAGTCCTTTCCCTATGCCACGATACACCTGGGAGGTGTGGTCTATGAGCCCAGAAGAGAAACCTTGCTAGACAATGACTGCTCATGTTTTCAACTTGTACTCTCTAGCCTCCTGAACGACGAGAAATACATTTCTGTTGCCTATAACCAACTTTAGTCTATTACATTTTATTACAGCATCCCTATGACAACTTATTTCAAGGCTTCAACGTTTAGTTTTTAAATGAATATATATATGTATATATATATATATTCATTTATTTATTTATTCCAGGGCATGAATTCTTCCCTTCTCTGCCTCAGACACTTCTCCAAGTTTTCTGAACAATGCTTTTGTAACTGTATATGGTTCTAGATTACAGAATTGCCTGCTAGCGCCTCACTCCAGGCAACTGAAAAGGCTGTATCATGACAGCTAACGAACATGAAAAAGCTCCTTTGGTATGCTTTTATGCTGAGCATGTACTCACGGCAATAGTAAAACCATCTGAATCCCGGCCAGCAGGCCCATCCTTACCCTGAACATTCTGAGAAAGCCCTAGGGTCTTCTGCACGTCCCGGCAGATCTTGGAGAGGCAGTACTGGAACCCCTCGTCACAGTCGTTCTTGCTTTTACCACAGGTCTCATAGCACCTGTCGTGTTGGTTGCAGCACTTTGTCAGGGAAGGGATGCCAATGTTCAGCTGTGAGATGCATTTTCATGGATTATTGTCAGTGAGATGCAAACCGGCAGCACTGGAAATGCATCAAACGACTTCATAGAAAGAAATGACAACTGCTGAAGACAATCCCCAGACCCATGTCTACCTATAAATGCTTTCTGTGTTATAATCTCCCAATTCTTCTTACCCATTCTTGGCCATGGAACTGTTTTAGCCATACCACATTCCTCTCCATTTTGCAATGTTAGAGTTACTGTCAGTGACTTTCACAAATTTTAGCTGTCCAAGACACAACTAACTTTATTTGTGTGTGTGTATTTGTGTGTGTGGGGGGGGGTCTGTGTGTAAGGAACAGGGTGAGCACACACAGGAGGACAGCCAGAGGAGGGTGTGGAAAGTCTTCCTCTATTGCTATCTGCCTCATTACCTGAGACCGTCCCTCACTGAACCTCAAGGCCACTGTTTTGCCTATTGATTATCTAGAAAGCTCCCAGGATCTGCCTGTCTCCATCCCTCAGCACTAGGGTCATAAGCACATGCCTGGCTTGTATATGGGTGCATGGAATTTGAACTCAGGTCCTCATCCTGCAAGGAGCACTCTTACTCATGGAGCCACCTCCCTAGCCCCACAAGACATAGCATAAATAACGGATATGCTTAAGAGCATCAAAAGACTTCTCCAGGGCCTAAACAATTAGGATCTTATGATATTCCAATGCATTTCATGTCCACCCGCCGCCAAAGAGATGTGCTTTCTGTGACGTGCTGCAGAAAATTCTTAACTGCCTACAATTCAAATGTTGCTTTGTTTTTTAACTTTTCACTTTCTAGAGATACCATTACTATAAGTCTATAATGTATATTTAGTTATTTCAATTAACTTACACAACCCTCATGGGTAGGAATTGCTTTCATAAACACCCTCCACCTGCGGTTACTGGCTCGTCTAGGCTCCCAATAACAACTGCTGTAAGAACTACATCCCCATTAGCTCTATTTTTAAACATAGAAAGCATGCCTGATCTACTCTTTTCCTCCCCAAGTGGTAGTACTTTACACTTTAAAATTCAAGTTATATTTGTGATACTTAGAAAATATTATTTATGTGATATCTATACAAGATAAAAAATAAATCATTATTTTAGACCCATTTAGTATTTAGTTGTTAAATGTGTTTTATCAGAAAACAATAAGAAACACAATCATTATAGTAAGCAAAAATACTTGTGAGCCTGAGGACACAGTTAAATCTTACATTACTAAAAATATCAGACTAATAGTAACAAAACTTATCAAAGGAAAAACATAAAGGATTTACATGAACACCAAACAACGGAGAGCCACATCCATTTGGTGGGGATGGTTTATATCCGTAGCGTGGAAAAGGCTTCGACCCTATGTAAAATACAAAGGATGTCATATTTAGTTTAAAATACAGAAGAAATAAGAAACATATTTGTAAAGTTATACAATGTGTTTTGCTAGCCTTGAAGATGTTTAATGTTTAGTCGGACAAAACATAAATAACGATGTATTTATTTTGCTGAGTAGTAGGATGATTGACCATGGAATTATTTAATTCTTGTGAAGAACGCAAAATATATGCAAATGTGTATATACATGCATAAATCTGCAGCATTCATGAAGATAATTGCTATTCATAAGCATAACTGTCAAAACGTGCTATAGCTTATCCTGGACCACTGGAGATCTCAACGGGCAGGGCACGTGATATGACATCACATGACAGCCTGTCCTCCTACACAGCTAATGCTTGAGTCTCATAGGTAAAAACCTGTAAGGCACTCGTACTGTTCTAACCTCCAGCAAACCTTCCATTGTATACGTACGTGCGTGCGCGCATGCGCGCACACATACACGAAAAGCTTAATAACTATCAACTGCCAGGTGCTTGGCTAGAGCCTAATCTCTGAAAGACGAGGCTATGTGATGATAATCTAACCCTTTTAGTATGCCAGAGGACATTGAAGGACCATATGCTCTGCCTCCATTCTCCACAGCCAAGTTTCACAAATGCAGCTAATGAAAGGTCTCTCCATAACCACCCAGTTTATGGCATTTTGTTGCAATAGCCCAGGCAGACTAACATTCAAACTTCAGAGTGGCTTTTCCTGGTGATGCTTCTGACCTGTATGATTTCTAACACACCAAGTCATTAGTCTGCCTACTTCATTTACTATTTGTTTCCTCATACTGAAATGTAAACCCAAGGCAGGACTTTTTCTATTGTACAAGCCTGTGCCTAGCATAGTTTCTGGCATGTAGTTACATTCTCAATGGATACTTGTTGACAAAGGGTCAAACCAATGAACACTGGGTAGACTTAGATTAATCCCGATGGCAACTATAATATTCATTATGGATCAATATGTATTATTGCGGTTTACTCTTTAGTCTTTTAAGTTGCCTGGGACCTCATTCACTGACCTCCAAAGATTGACCACATCTAGCTTGTTACATCTCTTTACAATGTGGCAGCCAGGGGCCATCAAGATAGTTTAGCTGGTAAAATATGTTACCCAGCTTAACTACCTGAGTTCAATCTCTCCACAACCCAGATGACAAAGAGAACAGATTACCATGACCTCCACTGTGGAATGCCTGCACCAATGCACATACATCATACACACACACACACACACACACACACACACACCACAAACTGTAAAATGTGGCACCCCAAACTTAACATAATTTTATATGACAGACCCTTTTTGAGGCAATAGAATATTCACTTTAACACATCTTATGGAAGCTATATCTGGACTAAACTATCAAATGGTAGCAACAAAAGAGTCCTTTCTAAAATTGAGCTTTAAAAATATCTATTCCTAGCCAGGCAGTAGTGGCCCATGCCTTTAATACCAGCACTCGGGTGGCAGAGGCAGACAGATCTCTGTGAGTTTGAGGCCAGCCTGTTCTACAAGAGCTGTTACCAGGACAGCTTCCAAAGACACAGAGAAACCCTGTCTCAAAAAAAAAAAAAAAAAAAAAAGCAAACAAAACACAAAACAAAACAAAATCTACTCGGGCATGGTGGTGCATGTCTTTAATCTCAGCACTCAGGAGGCAGAGGCTGGAGGATTTCTCTTAGTTCAAGGCCAGCCTGGTTTACACAGGGCTACACAGAGAGACCATGTCTCAAAAAAAAAAAAAAAATCAAAACATAAATAAATATCTATCCTGCTTCTAGATTTTCAAGCATTTCTGTAATTAATTTTTTTAGATCAGTTACAGAATTTTTTGAATTCTATTTTCTTAGCTTTATTTGCCATCTACCATTGTTTTATCCCCCATTGTTTAGTGAAGTTTACTATTTGCCTAGTATTGCCTGGAGTCATAAACTTGAGCCATAGATATTAATCTGGACTGAGGCAAGCAGCATCTTGCTATGGATGAGTCCTCTCTAGCAGCAGTTACCATGTTATTAATCCCAACCTTTGGGGAGACCACTCAGCCAGTCGTGACTTTAAGTGTTTGCTAGTTTACTGTTCCCATGGGACTGAAAAACTAAACATTTTTACCTGTGGTTTAAAGCCCCACTTAGAAGGCAGATAGATGCCTTAGGGTTTTGTTGTTGTTGTTTTGTTTGTTTGTTTGTGCTGGGACTCACTGAACTCAGGGCCTTGTGAATATGAGGCCAGAGTTCTAGCCTGGGCTACACTTCCAGCCCAGGCTATATCCTGCTGCTAATATCAAAACAGCTGAGGTAATTTTATTAAAGGAGGTTTATTTTGGCTCATACTTAGGGTCCAGAGTTCAGGAGTTGCAGCTAGCTATCTACTGCTTCATCCTAAGGGCAGAACATCACATGACTAGAGACCAGTGTGAGAGAAACCAGCCAAACAGGCTTCCACTGCACACTCAAGTCACAAGATAAAGCCATCGATCCATGATGCAGACACAGACTGATCATGAGGACAGAGTCCTCTGCATCTCAGTATCGCACCTATTAATGGAGATGATGTTTCAGTTTGGGAAGGGACACACCATAGCAGGAAAAATGGTTAAACTGGCAAAGTGTTCTTGGGAAGCACTCCGGTTCCTTAAACATTAGTAGAAAGCTTTCTCTTGAATGGGTTTTAACAGCGAGTGATTTCAAGTTATGGGTCACAACCCCCTTGTGGTTAACAACCCTTTCACAGGGGTCACACATCAGATAGCCTGCATTTCAAATACTTACATGATGATTCATAACAGTAGCAAATTTACAGTTATGAAGTAGCAATGAAGATAATTTTATAGTTGGGGTGACCACAACATGAGGAACTGTATTAAAGGGTTGCAGCATTAGGAAGGCTGAGAACCACTGATATATATGACATTAGTCAACGAGCCAGACTATTAATAATCTTTTTAAATGCACTACAGATACACTATAGTGTGTTCAAATCAGAAAAGAGGGCATTGACTATATAGTTTTTCCAGGTTAACAATTGTTTTCAATTCAGAAGCACATCGCCTAAAAAACTGTCAGGAAGCTGAAGGAAAATAGGCTGGGCCTAGCATTTGAAAATGACAGCTTGTCCTATGTTTCTACTTGTTCAGATGACAAGTACATTCCCCTTCCCACCTACAAGTCTACAGGCATGGCACCATTCATGCGTAAACATTCCCACCCTCAGACTGCTGATACAAAGCAAAAAAAAAAAAAAAAAAAAAAAAAAAAAAAGGGAAGGTAATTGAAGGCTTCTCATATCCTCTTAACTGTCTTTTTTAAAGAACTAGGAATGTATTTCCTTTCATACAACAATGCTTCTCTCGTTCCTTCTCTTTGTACCTTCTCTAATTATTCTCCATTCCCCATCTATAGAAATGCTTCCTGACATCTTGATGACTGTGGTGGCAGTGACCTAACACAGGCATGTAAGTATTCCACTAATGCATGTACATACTTTCTTCTTAAGAGATCATCGCTGTTGAGCAAGAGGATGATCAGAAGCAAATGAAGGTAGAAAAAACAAAAACAAAAAACAAATCCCCAGTAAACACGCCCACTCTGGAGACACAGAATAGCGGGTAGCAGAGATGGTAGAGAAACTCCATGGGCAAAATAAGGATGTGATGGTACATAGTGCATCTCAAACACGCAAGCGCTAAATAAGAAAGGTCCACACCTACTGTATATGAGACATGGGAAAGAATACTCTGCTGGGAACGACTCCCTAATACTCCCACTGAACGGGGCATGTGCACTTGTGTTTGGTTAGTCTGGGGGTTTCTTTAGAACAACTGACGGATGTCAGTTATCTCAAACAGCCTTCCCAGTTCACCCCATCTAAAAATAGAGTCTTCGCTTCTCTATCAGTGTGGACATCAAGGTTGGTTGTTTTGCTTTTTACATTTCTGAGGCAAATTAGCACAACTGTTTCTGTGAGGACAGCTTTGTCCCCCTTTCCTAGGAGATGCCTAGCATGTAATGAGCGCGATTACTAGCTGAGAAAAATGGAAAATACTCTGAAAATATTTACACTTTTTTTTAATAGATGGATATAAAAGCCTCCCACAAACATTAGAGGCAACTATTTTGCTAAAACAGCTCAGTGTTTTAAAGTTCTAAATTCGCCTGTATATTAAAATATTTATTCAAGTCTTGAAAGATGGGTCAGCAAGCAAGAGCTCCTTCCCCTGCCAACCTGACTACCTGAATTTGATCCATAGATCCCACAGTGACAAGAGCCATTCCCCAAATGCTGTCCTCTGATCACCACATGTACACCATGCCATGTTCATGTGTACATTCTCTTCTCTCTGCCCCCGTAATAAAATTACATGGACACATACTCGATAAAATTACATTTTAAAAGATAATTATTTAGAACAAATTAAATAGAAAGCCACGTATTAAAAACTGGATTGATAACTGAGGCCTGTAGAGTTTGCTCAGCAGTTAAGTACACTTGCTTTTCTTGCAGAGGACCCAGATTTGGTTGCTAGCATCCATACAGAGGCTCACAACAGTCTGTATCTCCAGCTCCAGGGCTGGTGCCCTCTCCTAGTCTCTGAAGGTACCACATGCATGCCATGAGCATACATACACACAGGCACACATTAAAAAAAAAATAGAATAAAAATTGAGCCAAGTCAGGTGCCGAATTATGTCCTAATATTATTTATAATGCTGTTTAAGTACTGCTAAGAGATGCTGGACATTGAAACTTTCAACATGTCTACTGTTACTGGCTTTTACAAAGCATCAGAGGCTCGTTAATGGGAGGACTACAGCCTTATGAAGTGTTATGGCCATAGTTCCCCAGATTTCATAAGCAGATGTGGAAAACTAAGAAACGAAAGAAATGGGAGGAAGAACGAAATCCAAGAGTATATGTGCAAGGGAAGGCCATTCATTACTTGCACCTTTTGATAGAAGTCAGCGGTTCTCAACCTGTGGATGAAGACCCCTCTAGGGGTCAAATGACCCTTTCACAGAGGTCATTTGTAAGAACATCCTACATATCACAGTTTACATTACAGTTCATAACAGCAGCAAAATGATAGTTAGGAAGTAACAAAATAATTTCATAGTTGGGGTCCCCACAACATGAGGAGCTGTATTAAAGTTGGGGTCACACTGAGGAAGGCCGAGAAACACTGACATTAAGTGGTGGACTTCGTACTGTTTTCTCACACCCTCATGCGTCCAAAACCTAAGTATTTACAGGAATTGAGAAACTTATAATCCCCCCTCCATTATTTTTTCCACTCTTGAAATAAATACTCCCAAGCGACTCACTCATGTCACCGGAAGGAAAAGGAAGCAGGTGAGAATCTTAGAGGATGGTAGGTATCCGGGTCACACAAAGATCCTACCACTCTCTGCATATGCAGGACACACGGTGGTATCTGCAACCTGCTAAACCCTTGAGACAAACCAGCCATCTCCATGTGGCCCTGAGAGTAGCCCACCCCGCCCAGGTGATTCATTTCCTATCTCCCTCAGGTCTCCCAACACCTTCATTCTGAGGACTTCTAGAAGCTGGTGGCTTCATTCCTTCTCCACCGAAAACTAGGCAATCAGAACCTAACGCGTGTATCCACACGCTGCCTACACCTATTCACAGGGGTGCGCTGCCTGCTCCCTCCAGCCTCTCCCTCCACACACGAGGAAGTACACTTTTCCCGTGCAGGGACATGACTCCAGTATTCCCCCTCCACACTCTCCATCTCCTCTGCCATCATTTTCTGCCTTAGTCACAATTACTGCCAAGCCAACAGCAAACCCTTTAGGGTCTTCCTTCAAATTATACCTCAAATTCAACCCTCTCTCCTCCCAACTTAAGACAAAATCACTGCCCCCTTTTCTCTGGACCCTTGCACACAGCAGCCTAGCCTCATTCTGGCTTCCCCGCCTCGACGGAAGCTTAATTCCCAGTACAGCACTTAGAGGCTCCTGTTAGCATATATATCGCTAGAGGAATGAATGACTTATTCAAAATTCTAAAAACATGTTAGAAGCTATTTTTCCTGTTTTTTCAACAGAAATGGAAAACTTGTCCCTTCCTTTGACGTCAGGGAGAAAAAGAGTTATTGGCTGGGAAGCTGGCTCAAAAGTGGGTAAGGGTGGTTGTTATGCCACATTGAGCCAGAGCTGGGTTCAAATCCCTAGTACCCAGGTAAATGGCTGGTCAGAGGAGTTTGTCATTCCAGTGTTGGGGGGCAAGTACCTGGAGCTCACTGGCCAGCTAGCCTAGGCATACTAGTGCACTTCACTTTCAGAGAGAGACACTGTCTTAAGGGCATGAGGTGGAGAGTATCAGAAAAGGTCAGTCATCATTCTCTTGACCTGTACATGTGCCTAACACCCAAACACCACATGTATGCACCACACACAAGCATGCATGCACACACGGACACACACATGGACATGCACACAAGAGTTAAGGGAAAATAGCAAACATAAAATTGTTCCCCCCAAAACCTCACCTAACTCACTCAGGCCTTTCCCATCCAAGGGAAGATGACCAAAAGGGAAGAAGTATCCGTAGCACTCAACTCTCAGCGAGAGGGAAGATATACAGACGGAGGCACACACATTTGTTACATACAGCAGTTCTTGCCTCAGCTAAGAGCTTGGTGGCAAATTTTGTGAGAGGTGAAGAAAATGAAAACAAGTAAAAGGAAAGTTTCAAGCAACCGCTTCAGAGGAATGGTGTCCTTTTGAGATGTTCTCAATGTAAACAATTCTACAGCCCAGAACTAGGAACTCGCTGCTGTTTATGAAGACCATAACTTTGAAGCCATCCTCATCTCTGTAAATAACAGCTGCATCTTTTCATTGCCACAGGCAGAACCCTCAGCATCACACTGACTTCTTTCCTGTGGTCCTGTCCTCTGGAACTGTGTAGTCACTGTTCCCTAGGCCTGGGATGATCTTTCCCTGATTATCACAGAGCAGTTTGCTGCTCTGCAGTCCTGAGATGTTCTTCTGTCCTGGAACATCCTATCTAAAGGCAAACAGCTCCTAATACTTCCCAGGGCCACGCTCCCGTTTATTGCCTCAAGGCACTGGCTCACAGTGGATCAGTGAGCACACAGCTCTTTGATTCAACTGCCTGCTTCTCCCAACCAGAACATAAACTCCAGGAACAGGGATTGCACCTGAATCCCCAGTCTATCAACCACTGACACGTGCTCAAGACTAATATTTGCATAAGTTAGAACTTCTGCCTTAGCAAATTTATCATTTAAGCCTTGTAACTCACAAAGTCCCCCTAACACATTTGGTGCTCACTGGTGGAGATCTTTAGGAATAAATTTTAGAAGCAAAGGAAGATCGTTAGGTCTATATGAACGTAAAAGCAGAGGTTATCCGGAGGCTCTGGGGCTACAGGTGGCACCACAGTTTTACAGGATAGAGGTTTTCATTTCTCGCTAAAGTCCTAGATTTCCCTATTGTTTTTAGCTGGTAGCCTTGGCTAATCCCGTAGGAAATTTGATTTCTCAAGTTCTATCCTAGCATTTTGAATTGCCAAAAAGAAGCCCAACACCCTCAAAAAAAATTCAAATGCAAAAAACCCCACTCAAACAAACAACAAAAACCCCTATTATGCTGACTGTATTACCATCCATACTGCCATAAAGCAAGTTCTTAGATTCAAATAGAAAGTCTAAAATCATGAAAGGAGTAATCACAAAACTGCAATAGTGATGGAGAATAAGGAAGAGGAGCCACTGATATTCAAGGAAAGAAAGCCACAAAATGGACAAGGTGGGTGTCTGTCATCCCAGCAACTGAAAGGCTGAGGCAAGGGGATCAGGAGTTCAAAGTCAGCCTCGGCTACACCAAGTTCTATGCCAGTGTGGACTACCGAGGCTCTCAAATACCAAAACAAAACTTCGAGTTTTAATACATAGCTTTCTAGAAGTTAGCAGAAATATTTCCTCCCTCAAAACCAAGCACACCAGAAATCTGTACAAAAAGACACTATTTATTTTCCTTAGCTTTGTTAAGATAACAAATAAAGCACTGCATAATATCAACGGCTGGCTTTAAAATTCTAGTTTGGCTTTATATGCTCCGCTGACTCAATTGCAAGTGTGTGTCCACCCGCGCTAAAATCAGTACGTTCCACTCCACTTCCAGGTTCGTACATCAGTAAGTTCTTAGGCAACTCTGTGCAATTGCCAGGAAAGAAAAAGGGGAGGGGGGAGGGGACAGAAGCAATGGAGAGCAGAGTGTGCACTCCGGCGACCTCTCAGATTTGTTTCCAGATTGCTCAATCCCAAGGACAGCACGCTCCAAGCGCCACTCATTCTTTCCACACCCGAGGACACCAAGGTCTGCCTGGCACCTGTTCCCTATCACTCTGTCCTCTGTCCCCCAGTGCAGCATCTATCTCTGTCCGGAAACTGTCCACCCCCTCCCCCCCCCCCCCCGGTCTGGCACCTGCAGCGCTATGCCCCCGCCCCGCTCCTGTCCTCTCATGCCCTCCCAACCCCCCTCACCTGCCCCCCATTCCCATGCTCCACACCTGTGTCCCATCCCCCTGCCCTGCACCTGTCCCTCCATCCCCCCTGCCCCGCACCTCTCTCCCATCCCCTAGCCCGCACCTGCCCCTCCATCCCCCCTGCCCCGCACCTGCCCCTCCATCCCCTGCCCCGCACCTGCCCCTCCATCCCCCCTGCCCCGCACCTGCCCCTCCATCCCCTGCCCCGCACCTGCCCCTCCATCCCCCCTGCCCCGCACCTGCCCCTACATCCCCTGCCCCGCACCTGCCCCTACATCCCCTGCCCCGCACCTGTCCCCTCCACCCCCCGTGCCCCGCACCTGACCCTCCATCCCCTGCCCCGCACCTGCCCCTCCATCCCCTGCCCCGCACCTGCCCCTCCATCCCCTGCCCCGCACCTGCCCCTCCATCCCCCTGCCCCGCACCTGTCCTCCCCTGCCCCGGCCCTCACCTGTCCTCCATCCCCCAGCCCCGCACCTCTCTCCCACCCTACTGCCCCGCCCCTGCCCCTCCCTCCCCCGCCCCGCCCCTGCCCCTCCCTCCATCCCCCCTGCCCCGCCCCTGCCCCTCCCTCCCCTGCCCCGCCCCGCACCTGTCCCGCACGCCCCCGCCCCGCGGCCCCGGCGGCGCACCGTCGCTGCACTTGTACTGGCAGAGCCCGTCCTCGCCGCCCAGCAGGTCGAGCGCGGCGTTGAGGTACGTGTCGATCTTGTGGATGCCGTTGCGGATGGTCTTGAGGGTGGCCCTCCAGTCGGTGGTCTGGCCCTGCTCCTGGCCTCGCGCGGCAGCCAACAGGAGCAGCAGCAGGAGCGCCGGCCCCCGGGCGGGCGCGGGCTGCAGGGCCACCATCTGCGCCGCCGGGCGGCCGGGCTGCCGCGGCTGGGCAGCGGCGCGCGCTCCGCTCGGGTCCCGGCCTCCTCCGCGCTCGCGGGGTCGCGCGCGCGCCGTCACTGAGCTGCGCGGAAAGGGGCCGGCCCGGGCGCGCGCGCGCCGCCCAGCGGGGCCGCGTCCTGCACGGTGCGCCTGCGCAGGAGCGCGGGAGCCCCAGGCTGAGCTGAAGACTTCCCCGCCCACATGGTCTCTGGGACCCGTCCTACCTCTATGGAGTCATAGAAACGACCGTGCCCTAGGCGTGTTCGTTGCTTTGGTTCAGCACCTAGTGAGTTTTTTGGTTTTGGTTTTGGTTTTGGTTTTTTTAAGCTCTCCCCGTGTCGAGCCACAGTGAAGAACGACCCCAATGGCATAGCCCGACCTGTGGGGCTCTGCCGTCTTGACCTTTTCTGAGCCTGGCCTGGGGTCCAGTGCAGGGGCTTGTCTGAGCCATGTACTCCACGGAATTTGGGTCCTCATGGGGACCTCATGATCTGCCGCAATATTAGCACTGTAAGTAGCGTGTCGGTCTGCGAGTGGTTGAGGATGGACCTCTTTCTCAACTGGAGCAGGGCTTCTCAACCTTCCTGTTGCTGTGACCCTTTATACGGTTCCTCCTGTTGGCTGACCCCCGATCATAATATTATTTTCATTGCTACTTCAGGACTGTAATTTACTACTGTTATGAATCGTAATGTAAATGTGTGATGTTCAGGATATCCGATATTCGACCCCCTTTCAATCCAAGGATCCGACCAACAGATTGAGAACTGCCGAGCTGGAGCACTTCTCTAGGGGAAATTCACAATCACCTCTCCTTACAATTCTAAATACTGTAATGAAAGGATAACCATAGATTAGGTGGAAAGGAAGCAACATCATTGGATGTTGCTCTAGAATACAGTGATTTTTAACAGGTTGATATTGAGAACCACTGGGCCAACTGATCTTTGAGGTCCCAACCATCTTTACCACCAGAATTTTAAAGCAAGGCTTGGCTCATTTAATTTTTCTATCAGACAGATATCGTGGTTCAGGAATATGTCTTCCAAAACGGGGAAGAATGCATTAAGGTTTTGTGGAACCTGCCCACAGTTAAAACCCAAGGCCCTCTTTATTTTGGGGGGACAGGATCTTGGCTTGTAGCCCAGGCTGCCCTCTGAATTGCCTTTGAAAGACCCTCACTATGCTTATTGCCTGTTTAAATTGCTCTTGCTAATTTGCCAAGGTCAAGTTATGAGAAAAGTACAGGAGGGAACCAGGTGCTGCTCTCATCCAACGCCAACCAGATATCTGTGGTCTGCAACTTGGACTAAAGCAAGGTCAGCAAGACGGTATCCGGGATGCTGAGAGAGTCATAACTGAATTCTTTGTATTCTTTGTGCCCAACCCGAATAACCAACTGTCCTTAGTTAACTACAACTGCTACATTTAGATGAAACAATGAAATCCCTGTAACCATGCTTCTGCTTCTGTAAGCCTGCTTCTTGGCACCCCAACCCTATATAAACTGCCTGAGTTTTAACCTCGGCACGCTCAGTCCCCCGAAAGACTGAAGCGTCCACAGGTACCTGTGTAAACAATAAACAACCTCTTGCACTTACATCCAGTGGTCTGTCTCATCTCTTGGGGGCAAGGGCCTTCCCCCTGACAGGCTCCAAACTCTTGGGGTCTCTGGGGGTCTTTCACCTTAAACACACCATGCTCCTATATAGGTCTCTGAGTACTAGGATTGGCTCCAAGCCTCTCTCTTTTGCGAGTCTTACACAATTACATCTTGGTGTGCTAATGTCTTTTACCTTAGCAATAGCCTGTGCTCTGAGGACTCAGTTCGCTGTCTTCTCAAATGCCAGATTCCCTGGGGCCTTGGCTCTTATATTGCACACTGTGCAGTCCATTGAGCTCCCATATGACATCACAAATTCAAATTCAAAGTAACCCCACTGGTTAAATACACTTTAGTTCCTCACTCTTCCCCCCACCCAAGTCTGTCATCCATGACCACACCAATCACCTCATAATTAAGAGAAAAACCTCATAATTGCCATAGACTCAAATGCCTCTCCCAGGTGCCATGTTTTGTCCCCAGAAGCCGTATTTTCCTTTCTTAACCTGTCTAGCGTCAATGCCGGTCTTCCCATCCTTGCCTTGGCCCGTCTTCTTCTTAGGCTTCTCCTGTCTTCCATGTCTCATTTCCACCCTCCACCACACATCTTCCTCTGTGCCTCCTGCTTGGACTTTCTAGAATTTTTAAGTGGTTTCAAGTTTGGGCACGAGGCCACAGCCACCTTGTCCTTTTCTCTGATGCACCCTGGGTGCCAGGGACACTGAGCTGCTCTCCATCCTGTGTGTGGCTGGCTCCCCAAGCCTGTGCTACTGCTTGGAAAGCTCATCCATGGTTTAGTTTTCTTTGCTGTGGCTGTGAGAAAGTACTCCGACAAAAGCAACTTTAAGGACCAAGTGAGATAGCTCAGTGGAGGATAGTGTGTGCTGCATGAACCTGATAAACTGTTGATCCCTAGAGCCACAAGGTAGGAGAGAAGAGAGTCCCCAAGTTGTCCTCTGACTGTACATGCACACACACACAAATATTAATAATAATAAAATATAGAGAAAACACCTAAGGGAGAAGGTTTTTCTGTTTATTTTTCTGGCTCAGTCCCAGGGTCCAGTTGATCATAGCGAGGAGGACAAAGTTGCTGGAGCTTGAAGCAGCTGGTCCCATCACAACTGAAAAGCAAATGAATCACTTTCTCCAGCTTATATAGTCTAGGATCCTTGCCTGGGAAGTAGTCCTGCCTACTATTGAGATAGCTCTTCTTATATCAATTAATGAACTCAAGATAATTCTGCACAGACATGTCCAGAGGCCCATCTAGATTCTGGCAAGTTAACAATATTCTGGCAGTTAAAAATAACCATCACATTCCATCAGTCAGGTTAAACTCAGCTTTGGGGAAGCCCTCTTTGACACCTCAGGCTGATCTGCACTGAGTTCTCTTACCATTGTTCCTGAAAAGGACAACTTCATATCTTATTTTTCCATTAGCCACATATGACATAGGAATCTTGGTTGTGACAGACTATTCACAGCCCAGTTACATATGAACCAAGGGTACCAGACCAATGGTCATCAGATTGACCTGCAACTCTGAGTTTATTGTGTCATGCCAGTGAAGGTTAAGGATACGGACAGTTGTGGATTGTCTGTAGCATTTCCTTCTTCCTAAGGAAGGAGAGGGGTTCATAAAGGTCAGGACACTGTAGAGACTCACCAGACTCAGGGAGCTCAGAAAGGAACGGGATTCACTAGGTCCTTCTCCAAGGTAGTGTTAGCAGGTAAACACTGGAGGAGACTGTTCTTCATGGGATTGCCTACAAATTGTGTGGGAGCCCCAGAGACACAACTTCTGTGAGTTGTCAGCCATGTCTGGGTGAGCTTGTTGGTGACCCAGTTACCTTAAGTATCTGCTTCTCCATCTTCTTGTAGGGAATCATACTATATCCACTGGTCACCAAGCTCGACTTGGGAGGAATAATTCCTTTGGTCTCCAGTTGGTGTCCTATCTGGGACAAATAGACACTTGTCCATATCCTCCCCAGGGAGGAAAAAAAACCACAAAATACAGATGGAAAACAAGACACAAAGAAAAAAAAGAAAATCACTCAAGGTCTAACATAGTAGGTGGCAGGTTTGTGGCTTGAACGGTCTTGTGTGATTTCCAGTTTCACAGAACTACCTCAGCCTTTATAGTAGTCAAAGTATCATTAGCTGGTAGAGCTAATCTAGCCAGACTTTCTGTATATCATATTTGTAGGTGGAAGAGAGCTTTAGCTGAGCGGTGCTAGCATTGAAGAATGAACAGACCAAAAGAAAAAGAGAAAGACCTGTATGCTTAAGCAGAATATTTATTTGGGAATTATACAGCAGCATCCTAAAATGGCATGTACTTTGAAGAAACCTATAGAACTGGCCAGTAAGACTTGCTTCTTGCCAGCTCTGAGAACTCATCACACAGTTTCACTTTAATTAAAGCATGACTCCTAGATTAATAACTGTAGGAAGAAGGGGGTCATAGCTTCAGACATTGTGTTGAGAAATGAGAGGCCGTCCCACGTGATAGCTAATCCAGTCAAAATAATTAGCAACTCTGGTGTAAACGCCTGGGAATTCCGGTTTTCCACAGTTTTCACCCCAACTCACAATGCCCCAAACATAAGTCACATTGTTGACATCCTTGCAGACCAAGGGACCTCCAGAGTCTCCTTTGCAGGCGTCGATGGACCCATCATCAGTACCTGAAAGAGAATCACATTTCCTTCCATTTGTCAGGGTCACCATGCAGCTTTCCTGCCTCCCACACTGACACATGGAAAGACTTGTACTAAAAAACAAACAAACAAACAAATAAACTTTCCTGGCAAGAAAGAACAGGCTGCCCTAGGTCACCCTTGAGATTGCAGATTGGGATGCAGCACAGGAAATAATTCATGGACCTTGTGCTTATTTCCCTGAGTTAGCATAGTCCTCCTTGGCATCTATATTTTACAGCACTGTGTAAGGAGATGCAGCTGTGAACCGGAAGTGTCAAAAGCAGACTAATACAGTGCAAACCCCAGGTTAACCACTTGGCACTTACCTGCGCATTGCATTTCTTTTTCATAGTAGCGATTTGGGTAAAACTGAGAGCAGTTGCCTATCAGGTTAACTTCGCCCCACCTAAGTGTGTAGACTTTTTTGTTATCTACACAAAGTGAGAAAACAGACATTTAGAAGCCACAAATGAGAAATCTAAATAAAAGTGGTCATAACTCAGTAAACTACTAGGAAGATGGGTTAATATACACTATTAATTATTACATATATTAGTTATGGAGGATTCTTAGCATATTTACCTCATATTCTCTCCATAGCCCTAGTTTCTAGGATTATCTTCCTAAATTTAATGAACAGTCAGGGAAGGTTATTGAACACTTGGCCTGAAATCACGTCATTCAGTACAGAGCTGACCCTATGATTGAGGTCCAGCCCTGTCCTATTCCTGGGTTCAGCGGGGGATTGATGTAGAAGTCAGTGATGGGGCTCTCCTGTGCACATCTTTGAGATCTTCTCTCATAGCTAGTAATTTCCTTGAAAGCAGCCTCAAAGAAGTTAGAAGTTGAAGTTGTCAGTGTGTGCATGTTTCTGTGCTTGAGGAAGTGCCTGTTTAAGTGACCTGAAGAGATGAGCAAGGAGGTAGAAATCCCGTCACATTTAAGTGAGGCTTTGTGGCTTGGAACAGCTTTGGTCTGTGGAAAGAGAAGGGCCGTGTGCTCCTTACTGACTGATGGACCATGGGGAAAGAGGAGAGAAGCACACAGGGGAGATGGACAGGGTGGAGAGCAAGGCTTTGTCCCATCTCCCCTCTTCCGTTTTCCAGCTCACAGCAATTTTGTTACCCAGTTTTCCATTCAGTGTCGGCTTACTCACTAGCCAAAATGCTCAGGGATCAGGCCTGCCTCACTCCTTACCAACACCCAGAACCTTCTTACGCAACGCTTAATAAATAATGTAGTTGGTGACTGCATACAATCGCAGTAATTTAATTACAGACATCTTATACATGTCTGATGCCCAGTTACTCTCCTGCCTGTGTCTCAGCACTGTGCTGAGGAACACGGTATGGAACTGTGACCCCCCCCCCACTCTCTCAGGAGGTCCATTTGAAAGGAAACTGCTTGACACCTCTCTAGGTCAAAAATGAAGCAAATCTTATTGGCCTCAAAGATGGTCTTGAACTCCTGATCCTCCTGCTTCTGGGATTATAGGTGTGCACTACCATAAGAATACATTTGGCTTCTTGTTTACAGTCCCGGGAACAAACCCAGAAACGTGCACCCGCTAGACAAATGCTCTAGAATTATGTGACAACTCCAGTTTCTTGAGATCCTTCTGTCGCTGGAGTTCTGGGCAGCTAGCTGCTCAGGTTGCGTGAGCCCAGGCAGGCAGCCCTTCCTGGATGGGCTCTCTCTTTTCTATGCATACTATTTCTCTGAGTACTAGAGTGGTTCCCGTATGTTTCTAATCCATGTCCCATCCTCAGAGCAAATACCTTTCTCTCGACCCCATCCGGAGATGATACATTTATCTTTTGGTTGGAATAGATATGGAGACCATGGGACACAGGCCGGGACAGAATTAGACAGCTCACATTCTTTCTTGCCCGAGTACTTTTTCATTTCAATCAAAGCTATGTCATTCTGGTAGGTAGTTCCATTATACTTTTCATGAACAATAACTCTGTTCACTGCTTGAACTCTCAACTGAGAGTTGGGCTTTAGCCAGTCTAATAACGCTGTCCATATTTGGTAATTGTGATATCTACTGGGTCTGTAAGGGAAAGCAAAGGGAAATGAAATATATCAAAGCAAAGGGCAAGGATTTTGACACTTCATCCCTGTATTCTTCCCTTTAAAGGACAGTTTTCTGAACATTTTTATTCTCATTTATATGATGCTATAAAATTGATTTTAGTTGGGGCAGGATTAGCTGAGTGTTAAATGGAGAGAGTGATGGTTCCCCAACTGTTCTATGACCTCGTTATCTAACCTCTCCGAATAATAAAGTATATCACAAAATGAAATGTCATAATCAAAAAACTTGAACATTTACATCTTCTTAAATTATATAATCTTCTGTTTTCTCATCAGATATAATAGGTTGTATCATAGGCTCAGGGAGCATAAATATTTCTTGAAGTTAGCTTTTTTAAAATATGGCTTACTGGGTACATATATAGAGTTTATCAACAGCATAGACTAGATGTTGTTCGGGGCACCGGGGTGCAGAAGTTAGCAAAACCAGAAAGCATCTAGAAAACATGCATCAGTGAGAGGAGTGGCTTTTAATAATTTACCAGGAGGGCTTTGATTGAGAGCCTTCAGGGGAAATTCCATAAGGAGATAAAGGGGTGACTTGAGATCCTTACCAGTTAACTAGGTAAGAGGTCATGGCAGGGAAAGACTACATGAAGGCCCCTTCACAGAGGGAACAATTGGTTTTGAGCATCTGAAGAAGCCCAGAGGAGGTAGATTAATTGGTCTGGGTGGACGAGACTCTTGAAGGAGAGGAAAGCCAAATCATACAAGGCCTTAGATGATTTACATGCGTTGACATTTGCTTAGATGCTTATCTGGAGAGGACTACAAAGCCTTTGCGTTGACAGGGCCACAAAGTAGAGAACAGACAGGTAGGCCAGTGGGTAGACAGGTGCATGTAGGTAAGGCCATTGGAGGCAAGTCACGTGCTCCAGATGACAGGTAGAAGCAGGCAGGGTGATGGTGAAGGAGATAGAGTTTGAGAAGTGAATGGTGAAAAATTAACATTAATAATGCCTGTGGAGCCGGGCAGTGGTGGTGCCTGCATTTAGTCCCAGCACGCAGGAGGTAGAGGAAGGTAGATCTCTGTGAGTTCAAGGCCCTGTCTTGTAAAAAAAAGAAAAAGAAAAAAAAAAAAATGCCTGTGAAGGTTTAAGACAGGAAACAGTGGAACAGGACAGTATTTAAGAGAAGTCCCATATAAACTAGGTCTTGGGCATCTGGAATTCAATGCTGTGTATGTATGTGTGTGTGTGTTAGTGTGCATGCATGCATGCACACGCGTGTGCATGTGCTCATGTTCATGTGTGTTTGGGGGGTGCAAAAATACGTTTGCAGGCGCACATGTGTGTGTATGCATGTGCAGACCAGAGATCAATCTTGGGTATTGTTCCTCAGGCACCGCCTCCCTTGTTTTTCTGGTGAGATCTCTCATTGGTCTCCAAGAAGGCCAGACTGGCTGTCCAGTCCCCAAAGAGCTCCCTCCCCAGTGCTGGTATTACAAGCACTGAATGCCACTACACTCAGCTTTAAAAGGCTGTAATATGGGCTCTGCGGCTCAGGCTCAGGACTTCATGCATGTACAGCAAGCAGTAGCCTGACTGAGGCATCTCTCTAGCTCTCCATGTAATGTTGACTTAGCCAGGAACTGGATGGATGTTGGCTGTACGGCAGTGGTTGGAGGAAAGGCTCTCCTGTGGTTACCATTTAGTCCCCTTAGAGTGGGATTTCGGAGCACAGATAACTTTAGGAATAATGAATAAGAAGAGGAAGCTAGGCTGAGCATTGAACTCAACTCTTCAGCCGTGTTGTGACGCAAGCGCAGAAGAAACCTGGCGGGACAGCTGAGGAGGGACAGCAGCAGGGGTGGGCAGAAATCCTGGGCCACAGAAACAGAGACGCATCTCTAAGGAGAAAGAGAAAAGAGGGTGTTTGCTGTTCCAATCACAAGGACACACACTTCGTCACTCAGTGCAAATGCCACTTCTCAGAAAGTTAGGCCACCTGAGAATTTGCTAAGAAGGGATTCATCTTAATAGCAAGCAAATGCTGGATGTTGTCCTGGCTCTACCGACTGGCTGCTTATATGGTGTCAGCTAAGGCGTTATTTAGCTTCCTTGTTAGGAAGCTTATCTACACAGTGGGAGGGATCCTGGTCACTGATGAGAATACTAAACCGGTAACCTGTAAAACGTGCCTGACCTAGGACCCGGTGTGTAAGCAGTGTTCACCAAACAACTCTATTTACTCTGAAGTCCAGACTGAGGGGGGAATCCTAAGCTCAAGCTGTTGTTCTTTTGCTGCAGCTAATGCCTAAGAAACACAAACACGAGACTCGGCGCCCACGTGGAGTTTATTGAGAGAAGGGAGAGAAAGAGGGGGTAGCTGGTGGCCAACTGAAAGCAGGAGAGAGAGGGGGGTGGTGGGGGGGTGGGCACAGCCAGGTGAGGCTGAAGTAGCGTCCGCCCATCGTCGGGGCGGGGGTCAGCTGGCTGCTAGTTCCTAACACAAGCAATACCTTCGGAGGAGACCAGGCTGGTCTCCCACTCACAGAGATCCGCCTGCCTCTGCCTCCCAAGTGCTGGGATTAAGGTTTAATGAGGTTGTATGGGTTGGGTTTTAATCCAGTAAGACAGGGGTATGCATGGGGGAAAAGAGAAATCTCAGAGCTACATGTGCACAGAGGAAAGGACACTGAAGGCCACAGCGAAGCTCAAGCCAAGAGAAGCCCCAGGAACAAGCATTGCTGCACATTGGCGCTGGCCTTCCAGCCTCCAGAACGGTGAAAACTAGACCTGTCGGTTTTAAGGCCAACTGCTCCGTGGTGTTTGTCAGCAAACTAATACAGCCACTTATAACGCTCCTGTAGAACCAGTGCCAGACTTGTATTTCTCACTTGTCACATGCCAAAGCTGAGACCACATTGTGCCTCCCCCTGTTTCTCTTACCTGGGAAATCTGTCAAAGGGGTCCAGATATGACTGGTCTTCTGTAGATGGGTTTCCTCTGACTCCCTGTCAGCTCTTAGTGATTGCAAGTCTGTCAGAAATAGCCTGCTGCTCTTCAGAATCTTCCCAATAGCAGCACAGGTGCTGCCCTACCTGGTACGATGCCTTGCCTTCAGAGCAGCTTCGAGTCATGGACACATGTAAATAATTTAGACAGACTCAAAGAATGAGCCAGCCAGTAATGGGTCAGTATACCACATAAGTAGCACTGAGCCTTGGACATGTCCTTTATTGTCCAAAACTCCATTAAATTCACTTCGGGGTATATGGATTTGAAAAAGCCATCTGTGATTGTGAAGTCAAACTAGCTCTTTAATGTCCTTGTTATGGAAAGACCAGAGGGGATGCCAGGTTAGTATCACTCCTTCATAAATGCTCAGTCATAAACTCTTCTGGACAGTTCTGTCCTAGCACTGTGAGCCAAAGAGTCATATAGTACCTAAGTTCCGCCCTCACCAGAACACTAGAGTCCAGGCATGAGTACCAGAAAAATAACCCTGATAACAGAGTAAAACTCATTTTTTATGTAAGCTTGTATCTATTACCTATCACCATCTCTACAACTTATTTTCAAGAAGTCTAAAACATACTGAAGACATTTTTACCTGACACAGTGTGCAGCTGTCAGAACCCAACAGCCACCAATATAAATTCCCCCGCAGGTGATTCTTTCTCCATCCTTAATTGCCACCTGCCATGGATAGTCTCCCTGTAAGAGACATTTGTGTGGTTACCACCCTTCTACTGGATGGTCACAGACAGGCAACCCTAGGACATGTCCACATGTGGTCTCAGTCTCCTGCAAGCACACCATCCCTCACTTTTGTGTGACCAGGCTGATCCTCGGAGGGGTTGTGAGGTCATGCAGGCTTACCACCTCTGCTGGCTTCCCTCCAACCACTCTTTTCCTTAGAATATGTGTCCTTCTTTTGACGCCACAGGATAGCTTAGGCAACAAGGACTTTATCCGTTGTCTTTCTTCAAGAAAGGAAGAGATGGGATCATTATTTTTCTCGAATCCATTATCTTGTGGATAGACACTTCTTGGTTCTTTCTATCTATCTACCTTCCTATCTATTGTCTATCGTCTACCCATCTCCTCTCTCTCTCTCTCTCTCTCTCTCTCTCTCTCTCTCTCTCTGTGTGTGTGTGTGTATGTGTGTGATGTTTACACAGGTGCATACACACATGTCTATTTGAGACCAGAGGTCAACCATCAAATGCCTTCCTCATTCACTTTCCACCTCATTTTCTGAGACCGTCTCTCGATAAACCTGGGATTCACTAATTGTCTAGGCTGGCTGGCCAATGAGCTCCAGTGGTCTGCCCGCCTTTTTCATCTGGATACTGCCATTACAGACATGCACCTCCACTGGGTCTTTTAAATGGGTGCTGGGATCTGAACTTAGGTCCTCCTACTCATGAATAGATTACATATGTAAAACATACATACATATTATATAGTATGTGTCAGAGCAGGCCACATTCATCAGTAAGCTTTGGAGATTATACTGGACTGTTTACCTTAATGGGAAATTCTGGCTCAGCATGCAAATTGACTTGTTCTCCGAAGTTCTGTCTAAAAGTGACTTGGGATGGAAAGCTGGTTTGGAGGGTAAACATTTACCATCCTCTGAGAGATGAGAGATGCCACATACCCAGGAATTGCTACAATGAGAACTCACTGTAGCATGTGTATCACATTTTGAAGGTATGGAGCGATGCATCTTTCATTGTTGTGATTTTCACTTTCTAAAAGGAAATCTCTTTTCAGTCATACTAATGCTAGCATTATGATAGCAAGTACTTTTGTGTATGGGCTCATATGGACATCCCATATGTATATTTGCCTCATTATTTTAATTAGTATAGTTAATAAATTTGTCACAGTATATTAATCCAGAGAGCCACATGCCAGGAACCTTGGATGATTGGATCGGCAGGCCTCATCTTACATTTGCTTCCCTCCCCGGTGAGTGTGTATGTGTGCAGTATTTGTCACCAAAAACCACCGTAGAGCAAGGCTCAAGGCATGAATTTGCAAGAGAATGCATGAGAAAGGAAGAAAATGGCAGTGTAAAGATGTCTTCTTTGTTCTTATATTTGCCACGCCATGAAAAGGTTAAGAAATTCGTTTCATCAAATGAGAAAGGACACTCATATTAATGATAATTATTTGGAGCCTATGAACAGGAGGTAGTATCCCAAGGAAGAGAAGCTGTGAATGAATATGGAAAGATTTACTTTGGTAAAATCTCTCACCTATCCTACCAACTGGGTTGAAGAAAGTGTGTGATGATCTGAAGGTTTTGTTTAGACTCTCGAAATTAGATCCTCATTCACTGAAGCTTGTGAAAGCAGGACAGATGGAATCTGAAAACAAATGTCGTCTTCAGTAGACAATATTGGTATGTGTGTGTGTGTTCATGTTAGTGTGTGTACGAATGCGTGTGTGTGTTCATGTGTGAGTACATGAGAGAGAGAGAGAGAGTGTGTGTGTGTGTGTGTGTGTATGTGAGTGTGTGTATGTGAAAATCCCTCTTGCCTGGCACCTCTAGATTGGAGATATAAATATTGTACTCGTTTTATTTAGAATGTTGTTTACTAATGTGAGACCCTGAAAATTAGAAGTTAATATCACATGAATTTCATCTTAAAGTCTCCCCAAACCTATTGGTGTGTAATCTAAGGTGAGATAGTTGATAAAATTAAATAGTTAATAAAAATGATGGAGTCACGATGGAAAGTCAGTCTTGCTGACTTGAATAAATCACTGCCATTTCAGGAACTTCTATCTAACTCGGTTTGGCTCTTGGTGCACAGCCGCTCAGGGTACAGGGTGTCAGAGGCTTCCTGTCACTATGATTTATAACACAGAGAAAGGACAAGTCAGTCAACTAATGTGGATTATCTTCCATTTCAGAAGATGGTTTGTATATCATGCTTGAAATCAAGTTACTTTTGTAAAAACTAAACTGACAAAGCTTTTCTCTGTTAGGAAGAACTTTATGTAGAACTATAGTAGCATTTGACTTTGGTCATGTGAACTAACCTGGCTTTAAGAGCAATTCTTAATAATAACAGGCGTTTGCTTTTATGTTTGCTTTTCTTAAAAGCAATGGGGAAGTAGAACAAGCTGCTTTTTTTTAACTTAAACTTTTAACAGAGTTGTTCTTTGCTTGAATTGGTTGTACATTTAATTCATGAATACATTATACATAGTATGTATATATTACACATGGTATGTACATACTTGGTACTAAAGTGCTGAAACCAAAAAACCAAAAAAGCTAACTCACCTGTGTCCATATCAGCAGTCAAAATTTCTGTTTCTTCAGTTTCTCCTCCTGTGATAAAACAACAGAAAATCCAAGTAATTAATATTATGTCTCTAGAGAAAATTCAATCGTTAAAGTATCTTAACTCTGGTAATTTTAAATATTGCCCTCTGGTTTCCTTCCTATAGCCGGACAACTGCAAAGATGAGGTGAACCCTATAGAAATCCCTGCTGCTGATGGGGTGTCTGTTAGTGCAACTGAGTGGCAAGGCTCAGGTTCTGCAGACAAAATACTTGGCTCCGGAAAGAGAACTTCCCTTCTGCTCTCTCATTCCAACTCATTGCACGGGGAAGAGAACAGCCATCAGGGCCCATGCACCTAGAGATACCTTAATGATTTTCCTGTAGGAATGGCTAGCTAGCATTTTAATCTCAGAAAAGGGTGCCCTGCTTCCTTAGACTTTTATATGGATCTTTCCACCCTGCCATCCCAGCATGCCTTGGTGGACAAGACCATAGTCCCTGTGGCCTGGAGATCCAGAGATGAATCCCCACCAGCATGTTGCTCTGTTGGGATGCGGGTAAAGCTGGGGGCAGGACAGTTTACCATAGCAACTTCACTTTGACACGGTGGTCTTGTATTTTGTTCCTGGATTTCTCAAGCTCTCCTTGGAATAGACATAGAGGGGTTGTGTCCCAGGGTACCAAGGGTTTTTCTCAGAGATAGTCACATGAGTACATGTATGAGTCAGAGAAGACTCGACTATTAACCTTCAGTGCCCAGCAAAGGCAAGTAAGGAAAGCCCAGTGCAGCTGAAGAGTTCTGGGCATTAGAGCAGCGTGAAGCTGTAAAAAAACGGAAGCCATGGGGGAAACGGTGGCCGTCCTTGGTGATGTACTAACCAAGGATTTCATTTTTTACATTGATTTCTTTGTGTGCATGCACACACACATGCACACAGTGTCTGAGTATTGTGTGGGTGTGTGACTAGCACATGTGTGGAAGTCAGGACAATTTAAAGGAGTCATTTCTCCTTCCACTAAGTTCCTCTGGGTTATGCTCAAGTAGTCAGGTGTGATGGCAACTGCTTTTATCCACGAATCCATCTTGCTGACCCAAAACTAAGAATTTCTTTTCAACAGGCATCATCGCAGAAGGAGCTAATAAACAGATGGGTGACAGATTGAAGATGATATTTGTAATGTCTAAAGCTGGCAAAGCGTTAATATCCAGATTCCTTTACATCGGTAAGAAGGAAGACTGCAGTGAAAGAAATGTAAAATCAAGAAAAGAATGTGAGCTGGTGAGAAGATGTGAAAGAAAAGAAAAGGTGGGAGGAAAAACTCTCAGAAAACTAGACCTGTGTGAATTTGACCTGAGCCATTGGTTATCACGAGAGTCCAAGGTAATAATTAACACTGCCATCACTTGGCAGTTGGCAGCTAGCTCAGTGTGAAGCTGGATAGTGCTATATGTTGGTGGGTGAAGAGAAAGTTCAGACAGTATAGCTGGATATGAGAGCTGGTACTTAATGGCTCTGGCAAAGAACATTCACGTGCTACTTGTCAATTAAGGAGTTGTTTACCACAAGACTTAAGCCCTTGCCAGGTAGATGTTTCAAAGGAAGTTAAACATTCTGAAGGAGATGTTTATCACAGTGCAGTGGTGGGCTGCTAGTCCACTGCTTAAAAGATTGAGTAAATTGGAAAGTGAGCATGCATTTTATGCAGCTGCTAGAAGCAACAGAGTAGGGCAACACAGGGCAACATAGACAGCCTTCAAATGCAACAACAAAAAAAAAAAAGGTAAAGGAAACATAAGATCTACAACACAATGGAAGACGGGTGATCACGAGATTGCAGTGTGCAAGGGAGAAGAAATCGCACAAGCAAAATGACATGTGCTTTCAAGCACACTAGAATGGTTGGCAGGAAAATGGGAAGTAGGGCTAAGAGATAAGCAAGAGGGGCCTGTGATCGCATAAAAAGACGTGCGAAGTATCATTAATTCTCCCTCACCCCTGTCACTGATGTCTGAAGCTAGAGAAGGAAGACGGGACAAAAGGAAAGGAGGAGGAATAAATGAGGGGCGGACGGCAGCTTCAGGGGGGAGGGGCAAAAATGTCAAATGAGATGGAACACAAGGCATTAACTGAGAATCGACATTTGGGGCAAGGGTCAACTCTGAGATGGCATCTCCTAAGAAATCCTAAGGAAAGCCATGAACTTCTGGCATCATGTGTGTTGGGGACTTGAGTCATTTTATATGAATAACTAAGAGTGGCTGGAGGAGGTAGGGCTGGAGATGAAGCTGGAGAATCTGCTAAATCACACTTTGTTTGAAAATATAATGATAGCTAATACTTTGTATGCTTTTTTTTTTTTTAAGCGGCTCCAGGATTTGGGGATACCTGGTTTATGAAATAAATATCAAAATATGAAATGTTTTCTATTTCTTCTGGTGGCACTTTCTTTAAAAGCTTGGTTTTGAGGGGGAAAGAGACTAGAAAGGTAATGAGCAAAGGTGGCATGTTCAGGGAAGCTCCCACGGTCGGTTTTCCCCATTGGTGTGATGGAAAGCTTAGCACAATGAACAAAGCCTCTGCTAGCCAAACTAATGAGAAAACTGGGGCCTTTCTTGTACACGCCCATATCATGCTCAGCCTATTTAAAATATAAGGAAACAATTATCACCTACTTTTCAATATCCCAAGATTTTAATAAACGCTTACCTTGATCTTGATCTGAACGTGCAAGGTCTGAAGAAAGACAAAACACAAAGGCATAGTTTTACCACAGTGAAGACTAGCTTTTACCCCCGGGGGGAAAAAAGAACCTCATACCATATTATTACACATATACCCCAAACTAAAATTGTAAGTTTTCTATTAAAAAATGGACTTACTTTCACGAATTTGAGGATGTCTGGTTTCTAAAAACAAAGCATTGGCATGAAGAGATTATTTTTATTTAAGTAAAAAACATGCAAATCATTAACATTTCAGAAACAATGTAACAACTTAAAATTAATAGAAACATAAGGTTGAAAAACAAAGTCAAATAGCATGCTATTTTATCTTAATGTAAATTCCAATAAGATTTTTATTTTGCATTTAAACACAAGTTCACTCCAGCAAGAGAAATTATTTTAAGTTTAAAAAAAGATTAGTATTTTAGATACATCTGCACACATACTCAAAAGGAAACTCAGTATACAATTCTACGAAGTTACAATTATTTTTAACTTGCACTAACAAAGAGGGGATACCCTGGTTGGTTTTTGTCAACTTGACACAAACCAAGATTATCTTGGAGGAGGGAATCCTAGTGGAGAAAATGCCTCTGGGGGATTGGCTGTAGGCAAGTCTGTGGGTATTTTCTTGATTAATGGTTGACATGGGAGGGCCAGTCCGCTGGAAGCAGTGCCACCCTGGGCAGGTCCTGAGTTATAAGAAAAACGGGCTGAGCAAGCCATAGAGAACAAGCCGGTGAAGCAAGCCGTGGAGCAGCGTTCTTCCAGGGATTCCGTCCCTGCCTTTGGGTCTCTGCCTTGACATTCTCAGTGTGACTGGAGCATTTGTAGGGTGGGGGTTGTAGCCTTTTCCTTCCCATGCTGTTTTTGGTTATGGTGCTTTATCAATAGAAATCTCAACTGTGACGGAACTTCTAAGAGGTAAACACAATCCAGAGATGATACAAACTTGCTTTGATTTAGTGATTTTGATAGCCACTTAATAGCCAGTGAGCATGTTACATCTCTGCTATCACTTTTACTTTCTTTAAAAGGGAAACAGAACCATTTCTGGAAGCTAAATGTGGTACTTCTTCCAGAGTTGGGAAATTGAACTACCTGATATTTTACTAAGTGCATTATATATGTATGTATATATATACATATGTATTTAAAATTGTGTAGGAAAATAAGCTTTGTGTTTTACGTAGTTACTTTATTGCAGATTTTTTCCATAAAAACTAACAAATTGTATGCCTTGACCTTAATCCTTATTGCTTTAAAGGGGAGAAGAGAGGAAACAAGAGGAAGACATGGAGAAGAGGCTGAGACATTCCTTGGCAATGAAGCTATGCGGCTTCAATTGCAGCATGGCTCACCATTCTCCTGCTTACAACCGTTTCCTTTCTTGCTCCCTTTACTAAAGGACTAAACTAATAAAAATAAATTTTATTAAATATAATATAAATATAAATTTTAATAAAAATAAAGGTACTTTATCTCAACTTCTCAGATGCTCTTTCAAAGAATGGTCAGATGACTCAGGGGTTAAGAGTTCTGGCTGCTTTTCTAGTGGTCCTGAGTTTTAGTCCCAGCAACCACATGGTGGCTCACCACCATCTATAATAGGATCTCTGGCATGCTGGTTTACATGTAGAGCACTCATACATAAAATGTAAATAAATAAAATAAAAAGAAATGGTGATGGAGTTGTCCTCCTGTACATATGTTTCTCTTATTGGATAATGAATAAACACTCTTCCGGTAATGAGGCAGGAAGATAGGTGGATTGAGGAGAATTCTGGGTAAGGTAAGCAGAGTGAGCCCACCAGACTGAGTCGTGATGCCGCCCAAGGAGTAACATGCCGGGGCATTACTGGGTAAACCACAGGACAACCTGGGCACTGAACTCGGGTCATCACGCTTAGTGGCTAACACCTTTACCCCTGTGCCAGCCCGCTGGCCTTCTCATAACGCTTTCGATTTCACTTAATGTTTCACAGGTTTCTCTTATTTGCTGTCTTTCTTCTTCCACTGAGACTTAAAATCGGTAACTAGAGACACTTATTTACTTTTGAGACAAAGTTTTACTGTGTAGCCCTGAATGTTTTAGAGCTTGCTTGAGTAGGCCACGCGACCTCAAGTTTACAAGCATCCCTCTGCCTCTGCTTCCGGAGTGCTGAGATTCCATGTCTTGTTGGGTAGGGATTCTTAAACGGTATGCACTATTGTGACCCTCTAGATCAGGGCCAGGCATGTAAAGCAAGTACTCACTTAGGAAAGAATGAATGTAATACTGACATTTTTCCTTTGAAACTAATAGATGAGAATAAAAAGTCAATGTGTGTGGCACAGAATAGGTACACAATAACTACTTTTTAATCATTTGGAGTTGTCCAGAGCACTGATCCATTGAGACTCAGCGAATAGCAAAAAAGCATTACACGTTATTATACATTTCTACTATGAGTTATATCCTATGGAAACAAAACAGTCCATAAATACAGAAATAATGACACAATTAGTAACAAACATTTTATAGCTTCTTGCTGACATAATGGATGTAGACAACAGTTTCAAGTCTGCTAAGTCTATAGGTAAATGACTGTAGTGGAGCTTTTCGATGCAGACATCAAATTCACTCGGGCCAATATTAGCGTTAGCAAAAGTGAGGTGATGAGGCAAAAAAGATTCCACTGTTAACACCTCGTCAAGAATCGAAGCCTAAAATATTCAGTCATATGTCTAACCAACTCTATGAGTCTAGCGTAAGCAGCATTCTATAGGAAGATTATCAAGACAAAAACAAAATCTCAGTGATATTAAAAAAAAAAAAAATGGAGTGAGGGCTGCAGGGATGGCTCAGAGGTTAGGAGCACTAACTATTTTTCCAGAGGCCCCAAGTTTAATTCCCAGCAACCACAGGGTGGCACACAACCATTTATAATGAGATATGGTGCCCTCTTCAGGACTACAGGGATACATACAGACATAATGCTGTATACATAATAAATAAATAAGTCTTAAAAAAAAAAAAATGGAGTAAGGAGGTTGAGGATAACAAATAAAAAAGATATTTTTTTAAAAGCTAATGAATGTAACATTCAAGTTCTTGAGTATCTTGGTTTGTACACATTAACTCAAAGGAAACATTTGAGTTAGGAAAATTTGAACATGGCTGTTATTAAGTGATGCTAAGGAGTGTTACTGTTACTTAGGAGAAAGTAGCTTAAAATATAGTGTTCTTAGCTAGAGGTGGTGGCATACACCTTTAATCCCAGTACTCAGGAGGCAGAGGCAGGCAGATTTCTGTGAGTTCAAGGCTAGCCTGGTCTACAAACCCTGTCTCAAAAAACCAAACAAGCACACACACACACACACACACACACACACACACACACACACAGCATTCTTATCATGAGAGAAGTATATGTTAAGTGACATGGTATCTGAAGCTTTTTAAATATTGCAACAAACAAGCTGTCAGATAGAATGAACATGGCTAGCAAACAGTAGTAGCTGTCACAGTTAGAAGACAGTTCTTAGAGGCTCATGCTAATAGTGTATCGTTTTTACATATGTTCGTTTGTAATGAACAGTGCTGCAATAACAAGTAGGTATAAAGAGAAGGTTAGACCACTGTTCTTCAAATGCCTCAGCCACAGTCCTACTTAGGCTGTGATTTACCTAAAGAGAAGTTTCGTACTTCAGGGTTCGATAATGGAATAAAGTGACAGAGTTTTTGGATTACCGTCACAGCCAGTCTCATCTTCTCCTGTAATGCAGTCCACTTCACCATTGCACTTATATTCGTTTGGGATGCAAACACCCGACTTGCAAAGGAAAGCGTTACCTTGGCAATCTGTATAAACACAAGTACAAGTTATTGCCACTATTTTCCATTGAAAGAGGTATGAGCTGAGGCAGTAGCTCAGCGGTAGCATGCCTACCTATCACATGACAGGCCCTGGGTTCAATCCCCAGCACACACACATACACTTGTGTGTGCAGATGTGCATGTATGTATACACACATGCACCATATGTATGCACACATATGAAATGAGATCTTATATTTATCATTGAAGCTGTTTCGACATTTTTAGTCAGAGTAATGAATATGGGGGATTTGAAAGGCTGATTCATTCCTACCTTTGCAACACAGCTCATCACTTTGATCCCCACATTCATTGACTCCATTGCAGGCTCTCTCCTGAGGAATGTGCTTCCCATTCACACACCGGAAGGACTGATTTGTAGGAGAACCTGGAAAGCAGAGATGGTCTGTGAAATTTATTTATGGATGTGTGGTATAACATCATTAACACATTATGAGATACAGGGGTAACTAAGATAAAAATATGCATGGGTAATTCCAGCACCCTGGAGGCTGAAACAGGAATCATTGCAAACCTGAGGTCAACCTGAACTAGATAGAAAGTTCCCATCCATAAAAACAAAAATAAGTGAATACATTAATTAAAACTAAGTCAATAAAATGAAGAAGCCTACAGAATGGAAAATATTTTCCATATATATGATTAATTTTAATAAAAATATTATATTGATGTTACAAAAAATTAATATATAGAATATAGAAGAAAGGTTTGAAAATCAAGAAAACAACATGATCAGAAAATGGGCAATGGGCTGGGCATTGGTGGCACATGCTTTTAATCCCAGCACTCAGGAGGCAGAGGCAGGTGGTTCTCTGTGAGTTCGATGCCAGCCTGTTCTACAGAGCTAGTTCCAGGAAGGCTCTAAAGCAATACAGAGAAGCCCTGTCTTGGAAAACCAAAAAGAAAAGAGGGAGAGAAAGAGAGAGAGAGGAGAGAGAGAAGGAGAAAGGGAGGGGGGAAGAAATGGCTATGGAATTGAACAGAGAGTTCTCAAAAGGGAAAATTCAAATGGCTAATAATCACCTTAGAATGGGTTAAACATCATTAGCCATAGAAAAATTCAAACTGAAACAACTTTGAGATTCTATCCCCCCTCTGCCCCAGCAGAATGGCTATTAGAACAAAGTCAGATGACAAGTGTTGGTGAGGATGTGGGAAAAGGGAACCCTTATTCACTGGTGGGAATACAAATTGGTACAGTCACTATGGAAATCAATGAGGAGGTTCCTTTAAAAAAAGCTAAAATTAGAATTTTTATATGACTCAGCTAGATCAGTCTCATACATATATCCAAAAAACTCTATACCTTATGACAAAGATACTCTCACATCTGTGTTCTTTGCTGGTCTATTCACAATAGGCAGGAAATGGAATCAGCTTAGTTGTGCATCAGCTGGTGAATGGATAATGTGGTACTCATACACAATGGAATTTTGCTCAGTCATACAAATTAAGTCTGCAGGCAAATGAATAGAACTGAAAATGTGTATACTGAATGAGGTGATCCAGGCCCAGAAAGACTAATGCTGTATCTTCTCTCTCAAATGTAGATTCTAGTTGTGAGTTTCTAGATTTCTGTGTGGAGGTTGGTGTGTGTTGATGGGGACCAGGAATCGAGGAAGGAACCATGAGGTGAGTGGGGGTAATAGGAGAAAAACCCAGTAAAATAAATGGGCCATGAAGGTGAGCATGGGCACAAGGCAACAGGCGGGTTAGAACAGACAAGCGTGGGAGGGCGGGGAGATGTCAGGGTGGGGAAGGACTGGAAAAAACCAAGAGCCATGAAAAAGCCCTATGGAAACATGCGTTATAAGCTAGTTAAAAATACAGTAATTTTAAAAGAAGTTGGGACAAAGATATCCTATACAGGTGGATAATGCTGCTTTCAGACTTAGGAAGTTTTAAAAATGAAAATCCCTGCACTAAGGGTAAGACACCTCCCTACATGTTTTTTGGTCAGAGAGGTTCCAAGGAGCTCTCAAAATAGTAAAGGCTACTGCTGTTACTTTTGGCTGCTCATCATAGCTAGATTGTAAGGCCCTATTGCTGAAGAGACCACGCATGTTGTCTGCAAGACGCATAGATGTCAAGCTGGAACTAAGCTGCGAGGCTGCCTGTGAGCTTCCCTGGTGGCTAGCTTACACAGCGCCAGAAAGTGGTACCAAAGCTGCTGGGGAGAAACCTTTTTCTTTTTTAGGTTTATTTTATTTCCTTTTTTAAGTTTAGATTTGAAACAAGGTTGTTTTACATGTCAATCCCGGTTCCTTCACCCCCCCTGTTTCCCCCCCGCCAGCCCATCCCTTTTCTGCTCCCCAGGGAGAGTGAGCCTTCTATGAGGAATCTTCAAAGTCTGTCGTATCATTTGGGGCAGGGCCTAGGCCCTCCCCCCATGTGTCTAGGCTGAGAGAGTATCTCTGGGGAGAAAACTTACCAATAGTCTTACCTAGAGGGGGACCCTGCATGCTTTAATGCCAACCTTCTGGACAAGATATAAATGTAATAGTAGCCTGACTGTTTGGGGGATAGTCAACCAATTTTGACTGGAATGAGGCCAACTTTGTGGGAGGGACTACATGCCTGGTACTGTACGCCAGGTGAAAATCTCTGACTGGAGCACTCATAGGCCCTAGAGGAGAACCTACTTATAATGGTCTGAATAAGGATGGCTCTCAGAAGCTCACATATTTGAATACTTGGTCACCAGAGAATAGAACAGTTTGAAAGGCTTAGAAGGATTAAAAAGTGTGGCCTTGTTGGAGGAAGTGTGTCACTGGGTGTGGGCTTTAAGGTTTCAAAAGCCCAAGGCAGGCCCAGGTTGCTGGCTGTCTCTCTGTCTCTGTCTCTGTCTCTGTCTCTGTCTCTCTCTCTCTCTCTCTCTGTGTGTGTGTGTGTGTGTGTGTGTGTGTGTGTGTGTGTAGCACTCAGCTATTTCTCCAGCACCATGTCTGCCTGCATGCTGCCATATTCCCTGCCATGATGGTAACAGACTAAACCTCTAAACTATAAGCAAAGTCCCAATTAAATGCTTTATTGGTCATGATGTCTCTTCACGGTTTCTGGGGAAACTGAGGTAATAGGGGTGATCACCTAAGCATTTTATAGAAATATACACAATGTGCATAAGATTTAATGCTCAAAAGAGGTGCAAGATGTCTCTTTATATTCAGCCAACTTATTTGCTGTAGTTATTTGAGTCCACATAGTCAAGGAAGCAAAGAGGGGGCGGATAATTTTGCTTTTGCACAGGAACCTTTGGGTGACAAAGAAAGGACAATGGGGGTCACAAATATTAATTCTTGCGGCAGTCTGAATGTAATTGGCCCCCATAAGCTCATAGGGCGTGGCACTATTAGGAGATGTGTCTTTGTTGGAGTGGGCATGGCCTTGTTGGAGGAAGTATGTCACTGTGGAGGTAAGCCATGCCCAGTGTCTCAGACCACTTGATCTGCAGATCAAGATGTATTAACTCTCAGCTCCTCCTCCAGCACCATGTTTGTCTGCATGCCACCGCATCCTGCTACGATGACAATGGACTAAAAACCTCTGAAACTGAGCCACCCAATTAAATGTTTTCCTTTATAAAAGTTGCTATTGTCATGGTGTCTCTTCGCACCAATAGAAACCCTAAGACAGTTCTAAACCCCACTACTTAATAGAGATATCATTGTCTACTTAGTATAGACATTTATGAAATAAGCAACCTTGATGGAAATACTCTGCCAACCTTCATCCTGTGTGTAACACACTACATCAGCTAAGCCCTGGTAACCGTTACTTCTTCTCTTGGTAAAGGTGCACTCCGCCAAACTGGTCTCTATTCCCCGGCAATGTACATGCAGGCATTTGGTGGTGTTTATACGGAGATTTCCGGGTATATTAAACCTTCTTCGTATGACAAAAGCACCCCTGTGAACAGAATGAGTGAGACCTGAGGGAAGAGCGATTCAACTTTGTGTTTACATCCGTATCAGAGGAAGAGAGGGGCTACAGCAGTTTTCCCCAAAATGATTTACAGATCATTTGCCTTGCCACCTCCCCTTGAGACGTAATTTGGGTCTTGTAGAGATGAACTAAAATAATCAATTTCAACCAACCAATCAGGGTTGAAAACATGGCAAACATTCAGCAAGTATTGTTTTTCAGGTCTTATTAAGGAGGAGTGCTTCCTTTCCATTGGATGTTTCTTACCCCTCAGAGGGTCATTCCTGACTTCTCCTTATCATGTTATTATTATTATTTTCTTCTCCACAAAAGAGAGTGGATTGCCTTGACCTGAGAATTCTGGAAGTTATGCCAGAAAATATCAGCACAGACTTCCCATCTTTTCTTTTCAGGAGTCTTCACACCTCTCTCCTCCCAGTTTTTGGAAGCCTTACCTGGTTGACCTCACTATTGCTTAAGATGTGGGAGGGTCAACTTGTTTGAACTCTTAACAGTTTTGTTTGGCTTTTAGAATTAGCTACCTCTTTGTCTGAGCCTTGATACTATTGAGGTGGTACTCTGGCATCTCTTTGGAGGTGGATTTGGGTTGTCAATTTTAGCATTCTTTTTTGGAAAGCACTCAGCTGGCTGTGTCAGAGAGAAGAAACATTTCTAGAGAGAACTAGTTCATGAAGGTTCTGACCTAATGAATAATTTAATCGCTTGCTGTGTTCATATTATGATAGCCTTATTTTGGGTGGACAAAGGGTGGAGTCTTATTAGAGGAAGTGGGTCAGTAGGGACATATGCTTAGGGGCCATATCTTGTCTCTGGCTCCTTATTTCCTGTCCATCGCCCGTATTCTTTGCTATACATTTCTACCCCCCTGATAATCTGCCTCACTGCAGACCTAGAAACAATGAACCTGGTCACGACAGAGGGAATTCTCTGGAACCGAAAGCCAAAATACATAATTTCTGTTGTTAGTTTTTCTCTTACACATGTTTTTGTCAATGCAATGCAAAAAGTAATTAATATAATGCTATTATTTGACTTCTCAGTTTGTTCAAAATATGTGAAAAGAAGCAGCCTTCTCAGTTACCCAACAGCCCACAGATGATGACTCACAGTGAACTGTTATTCTAGGACATTCAATTGCTTCCTGCTTCTCTTTATAGAGGAAAATAGATTAAAATTAAAAGCAGAGCAAAGATGCATCAGAAATGGAAATAGAAATAAAGTACCCATTGCAATAAACAGATTAACTAGAATGAAAGGTAAAAAGAGAACAGAGAAAGTTTTCATATTTTCTCAGAGTTCATAATGAAGATACAGAGTAGGCATACAAAAAATAAACAAAAGAGCCATTGGGGCAACAATTTGAGAAGTAAATATGAAAAACCTCACATCTAAAATTATAATTATTACAGAAAATATGGTCAATAGCTACCCTGGGGTGTAGTTTTATTGGTTATGTTCTTCCCTAGTTGGATTTCATTTCCAACACTATATTATTAACTGGGTGTGGTGACACAGATTTTGGAAGTCTAAGCAGGAGGGACAAAAGTGGAAGGGTCATCCTTGGTGAGTTTGAGGCCAGCCTGGGCTAAATGAGACCCTGCCTTAAAAACAAAGCAAAGAAGATATATTAGATACCAACAGTCTCCACTGGCTAAAAATCACAGAAATCTGTCCATGAACCGAGGCATATGACAAATGACAGTTACCATGTGGCTAAAGACTAAGTAGAAAAGATAGGTTGCAGGCCACAACTGTGAAAACTCAGAAGTATGCTGAGGCTGTCAAACAATAAAGTCCCAGGCATGAACTTGCAGCATCTGTGGTTTCCTGCTCAAGATCCACATGAGGTCAAGTGAGGATGAAATTCAGAATGGGTGCAGGAGGGACTCACTATTGGCAATTGATAGATAGCTACTGGAGGAGTGGGAGTCATTTTTCTTTGGGGTGTGGCCACTAGTTAAGTTGTTCAAGCTGTAGTGCATGGCCATGCACATATTGGCAGCATTAAAGGGACTCGGGGTTATAAAAAAAATGGGAGAAATAAAAAGAAAAATATATGGCACTGGGGAGAAAGAAATGTTGAGGGAGCAGGTGATACAGGGATAGTATGGATGGATATGGCCAAAATATATTGTACACATGTATGAAATCATCAAAGAATAAGGTAGTTTATTAAATAATACATCTAAAGAAGATAAAGACAGAAAAAAGAAATGGAAAGATTTGAAAAACAGTTAACAGTTGCTTATGGTACTGGATATTTATTTTATAGACCTCTGAATGTAAGTATTTAAAAAATTTTAAAAACCAAATTTCAACAAGTACTTAAAAATAATAACCATAAAGGGACATCCTGTGACACTACAGTTAACGAAGAAATCAATAATAAATAGTTAATTAAAAGCAAACTAACATATTCATTTAGAGAGCACAGAAGAAATTTCAAAAACCGCATCAAAAATTATACTGGAAAATTGGGATATGTTATGAATTACAAATAGAACATTATTTATAGAAACATAAACATAAATGTTATTTATGTTACAAATAACAATAAATAAAATGTCACTTATGGAAACTTAGAGAACAGACGAAGCATTCCCAGAGGGAAATTTTATCTGCAGTACATCTGTCTGTAAAGAAAAAGCAACTGTAGAGCCGGGCATCAGTGGCACACGCCTTTTGTCCCAGCACTCGGAAGGCAGAGGCAGGTGGGTCTCTCTGGGTTTGAGGCCAGCCTGGTCTATAGAGTTAGTTCCAGGACAGGCTACAAAGCAATGCAGAGAAACCCTGTCTGGAAAAAGAAAAAAAAGAATGAAGCAAGCAAGCAAGCAAGCAAGCAGCTCTAAATTGTTAAGCATTCAATCCAAGTGGCTAGAAAACAAATCAGAAGGGTGGGCTGGGGCTGTACTGACTCATGCGCATGGGCTCTGGGCTCAATCCCTGGCACTGTCCCCTTCAATAAAAAATATAATAATAAAAGAGGAAACTTAAATAGGGACATGATTTAAGGATAAGCAAAGAGTAAGGATAAAGAAATAAGTGCATTTATAAGTACAAAAATAATGTCAAATACATTTCTGCAAGGCCAACAGAGGAGAAAAAAAGGCTGTAAATAAACAATATGAGATCTGCAAAGATGGACGTCACTCTAGATGCATAAAAATGGACAGTAGGAAGTGTATTTGAGGGTGTAAAAGTCCCCACAGGATTCTGTTCAGAAGCATGGACTGACAGGTGCTCTCCGCTCACAGGGCAAACTCGGACACAGTCCGTCCACGACACGGTGCTGTCAGGTGGGGTGTTAACATTCTTGGGTTATATATAAGGACATGACAGCATAGGAAGCTTAACCAGCCAAAACAAAAACAGCTGCAACAATGAAATTAATTGTGTCCAAATCCTATGAGACGAGCACTCACTGTGGAAATCCAAGGTCAACACAGGCCACATTGGCTTCCGTCATGCTCCAGCTTTTTTTACATATGAACATTTCCTCATCTTGGTCCACAAGTTTGACTTGAACAATTCCCTCTGCTTTTGTATTTCCATATCTTAAGGAAATATTAAATTTCCCTAAAATAAAAAAAGCAAAAGGATGAACTGACAATATTTCAGTATTTATTTTCTCCCCCTTTTAACTTGTCTTTATTAAAACACCTAATTTGCACCATAATGAGTTTTACACACGATAAGCCAATATTTTGTGAGTCCTAACCCTGTCAGTGGCCGTGCTGTTCATTGGCAAAGCCACCATATTCTCATCCCAACCCTTAAAGATAAAGTTAAATTCACCTTCAATTGAAGACATGACGCTGCGGATTTGAACTTGCTTTATAAACTGAGGTGGTTTGAATGAGCATGGCCCCCAGAGGCTCACACATACGAACGGTGCATCCCTGGTTGGTGGAACTCTTTGGGAAATTGGTGCTTTCCAAATGAATGTGTTAGTTTGCTTTTAATTAACCATCTATCATTGACTTCCTACTCAACTGCACTGCCATAGGCTGTCCCTCTGTGGCCTGTTGCTTCATGTGACTTCACAGCAGCTATTTTTCCGAACACACAGCACACTCGGGTTTTCACTGAGCATCCGCCATGCCGTGCAGTGTGGGGGAACACTACGAGGAAAACCTTGCCTCAGATCTGAGGCTACTGGAATGTTTCTTACTGTACACACAAAGATTTTTTTCTCCTATAGACACATAATGACAGAAAACAAAGACTCATAGTATTTTTCCTACCATCATTTCTCAACACATGCACCTCAGATTAGTGAGTATCTTTGGATTGGATTGGATTGGATCAGAATGTTTGATTTTTAAAACTGCGGTTTGAATATTAACTTGAGATCAGTACAGACTTTCCAACAATTTCTGAAATGGTCTTAAACATACATCTGCCACTTACTACCATGTCTATATGTGAAGCAAGATTCTCAGCACTGAGGGACTCCCAAATCAATTTATTGATCAACTCTGAAAAACACTGAAGATTGTGCCCTACGATGTCAAATATCCAGGCAAGATTAACTCATGTAAAATTAGGTTCATCCATCTCATTAGAATGCAAATCTGCTTTCATGTTTAATAAATGGTAAAACCATATACACTTACAATCATTGACTAATGTTTGATTTGTACACCTATTTCATACATTCATATCCTCAGAATCACTTAAAGTTTTCCTGAGTGAAAAGGGGATCATGAATGGAAAAAAGTTTAAGAAGCCCTGGTCTAGCTTGGCGGTGATGGCGCATGCCTTTGATCCTGGCACTTGGAAGACAGAGGCAGGTGGATCTCTGTGAGTTCGAGGCCAGTCTGGTCTACAAAGCTACACAGAGAAACCCTGTGTTGGGGGTTGGGAGGGAAGCCCTGGTCTAAAGAATTTTAAGTTGCCATTAGAATATTTCCCAGTGAAAGCACTTTGTAACAGAAAGGATGGCATATCACTGCCCTCTCAGAGTAACTTGGTTACACACATCTTTCCTACCTTCGGCTGTGCATGTTCCATTATTTGAAAACTTTGTCTGTGGTTGCAGACATTCAAAGCTCTTCTGGTGACAGTAAGTGGGGTATTTCCTTCCGTTAGTGGTGCACACTGGGGTGCCATTCTTTGGACACTGGTAAGGGAGTTTGCAGACACAGCTTCCATCCACGCATTTCTGCCATGGCTGGCAGAAGACTTTGTTACAGGAGCGGTGCGTGTATTGGTTCAGTAAACACTTCTGGTCCACCAGATCCTGTGGAGGTGGATCCGATACTGAGACGCACTGTGAACAGGGAATAACAAATGGCAGGTTATCTATGGTCTCAGAATGTGAGGAAGTGAAGGAAGCAAAGGACAGCCCCAGCCTGCAGTGTAGATGAGACCATGGGCTGATGGTTTTATGAATCAGGCAAACCTGACTCCCAGCCCCAGTTTTGGGTACTTTGGGCAAGTTATCCTCATGAAAAGTAAAAGTTCTCATCTGTAGCGTGAAGGTAATATCTCCTCCTTTTAGCAGTTTCATTTGAAGGCTTAGAAGCAATATCAGTAATGGTTCCAGTAGTCAGTTCCAGGAATACAACTGATTGGGCTACTAGAAGGCCGGCATAAAAGTGGGCCTTGGAAGAGATCAAGGAATTTCAGGGAGCAACAAACCTGGTACTGAATACAGTCTCCTAGGATGATGTGAAGCTTGGCATTTATTAGTTGTTATTAAATGCAAAACCATTTAATGAACTACATGTAAATCACACTAAATGGAGTGTGACAGTCTTTGTCTTTTAAGGGCCTGGTTATTTGATGATAACAAGATAAGGACACGCAGATTAGCATGAAGGAAGGCAGAGGGTGGATGGAATAATTGAGCTTCAAAGTCTACATAATGGTTTGGGAGAACAGGGTGGAAACATGTCTGATGGGAGATGTCATTCTGTAAATATGTTTCTCATACTGGTTAATGAACAAAGTACTGTTGGCCAATAGGAAAGGAGCACGTGGAAGTACTTATATTTAACAGAAATGGGTTAATACTTAAGACAGAGCTGGCCAATAAGAAACTAGTACCCGGCCAACAGCATAATATCAAATACAGAGTCTCTGTGCGTTATTTGGGGCTGGAGCGGCGGCGGGACCAGAGCAGCGGCGGGAGGAAAAACCTTACTCCTTACAGAGGGTTGTCTCTTGGAAGAAGTTGCTTCACAACAGTTTGTCAGCTACAAGAGAGTTTCCATCTCCTTTCATTTCTGCTGCTTCTCTGCCTTTTCCCCCCTCTCTTCTTCATCCTATTTTTTTCTTCTTCTTAACTTTATTTTAAATGATTGATTTTTTTTTAAAAAAAAATTTATGTTTGATGTTGCTTTGCCTGCATGCCCGTCTGTGTGAGGGGGTCAGATCCCCTGGAAATGGAGTTACAGACAGTTGTGAGCTGTCATGTGGGTGCTGGGATTTGAACCCCAGTCCTCTGGAAGAGAAGTCAATGCTCTTAACCACTGCTATCTCTCCAGCCCTCTTCATCCTGTTCTTAATATTTATAATGATATAGCAATTTTTGTGGACTTTGTCTTTTTTTTTTTTTTTCAAAGCATGAAACCCTTTTAAATCATCATTAGAAAACAAACAAGATCCAAAGCAAAGTCCTCTTGGCTGTATCATACAGAGACACAGGCTTATCTCAGGTTTCTTTATCACTTTTTTCTTTGTTTATAGACTAAAAATCAAAGGCAAACAAAAGGCAAAGTGACAAAGTGATAATCAGCCCTGAACAAATCGAGACAAAGGCCACCACTCATCTCTCAACTTTCTGTTTTCTTTTGAAATGGAATTTCATTGTGTGACCCAGGCTGGCCTTGAACTCCTGACCCACTGCCTTAGCTTCTCAAGTATCTGGCTTGCAAGTGCTCACTTTGTCCTTTGTGGAGACACTGCCAGTAAGTTCCCTTCTACTGCTGGCTAGCTATGTGAGCTTTGGTAAGTTCTCATCCAGTTTTTGCGTAATAAAAATAATTTTCTTGGTTGCAAAGGATCAAATGAGGGAAGACAGGAGATAGCTAATTGGTGATTAAATGGGTAGATGGGTGGGCAGGGAGGTCCTGGGTCAGACTAACCCGGCCATTTCCAATTTAGATCCTTCCTGGCTAACTCCCCAGCCTCAAAGGAACTCCTGCTAAGGCTGGGTAACCTGTGAGCATAGGCAAGGCAGGCTTTCTTCTTGAGAATTTCAAAGGTCCCTACTCCCAATCTCGCAACACAGCTTTGCCTAGTTTTGGATCAGTTTATGATCCAAAGCCCTTGGAGACAGTCTCACTCGACAAGGACCAATGGGCTTCAGGACAGACAGCACAGAATACTGTCGGAACCACGCAGCATGCACGCTGCATCCTTTCTCATAATATTGATGCTTCTCTTGGAGGTTTTTAGTGTCACTTTGTCAGCCACGCATGGGGCAGATGCCATCATTCCTGGAAAGCCGTTTTTTTTTTTTTTTTTTTTCCAAATATTTTCCCCTAAAATTTTTTGGAATCCGATGTTTCTCAGGTTTGTTGTCTGGGGATGACAGTTGTCACTCCAGCCCCTGGGAGCTGTTCTGAGTCAGTGCCGACAGGATTGGAGACAGATCACCCCTATTTCTGTAAATGTGGGTTGTTCAGTTTTGAATGATATTGTTGTTCTTGAGAATGTGTGCCTATGTCAATCAGCTTTTAGCTTTGTAATGACAGGGTGTACCTGGCTTGACATTTGGTCAAGCTAGCAAAATGATAAGCGTTGTTTTTGGTTTAAGAGATGTTTTGATGTGAAAGTTGGGGAAAAATATATTTGACATATTTCTTTTTGTTGGAGGGTGGGAAAAACGTGTTTACTTTTGAAGTATAAGTAAAGATGTTTGAGATATTTGGGCTGGCCACTGACGTGAAACTCACCTAGTTGTTGGACATTACTTCATTTCTTTGTGCCAACACCCCTTCCTCATCTCAGGACTTGAACCAGGACTTCGAAGGGACTGTGGCACCCTGCTGTCATTTTAAGTGATCCAACAAGCTAAATGCATTGTGCCAGGTCCAAGAAGGAGAGATGCTCTGCACCACACCCTATTTTTAAAAAACAACTCCTGGGAAGGGGGCAGATGTTGCTCCCTCTCTGAAACCCCCATCCCTTATGTAAGGGGCTCTGGCTTTGTTAGCTGTGTATGTTCTTGTGTTATCCTTGCTGAAATAAGTCTTGGTGGGCTGCAAATTTCTGGACCTCTAATTCTTTGCTCGATAGAGAAACAGATCACAGAGGAGCTAACAGGCAAGAAAATGACAAACATACAGGAGACGGCACAAATAAACATTTCTGGTCTTGTGCAAATAGTGACACGATGACAATTGTGATATGGAGCATATAGCCTTAGTTTTCATATCATTCCTTAGCAGTCCCTCTCCCTGGGGAAAGGGTAGTTTCCTACCCTTGGACTCTGGGCCTGGCCATGTGACTTAGGCTAACCAATGGGAAGTTGACCACCAATACGAGAGGCAGGCTCCTCCTTGATGAGCCCATCATAGATCAGTTGGTCCCTGTTCAGTCTACAGATTTGTGTACCAAATAAAATGTATACCAATGGTATTTTGAGGTGCCTTAATAATTACAGCATTATACAACTGACGCAACGATCTCCTTGGAAAGCACTAAGGAAAATAAGGAAGGGTCAAGTGAGAAGCAGCGTGAAGCTTTCTCTCTTCCTGAAGGAGCAAGTGACTTGGATCCCAGGAGTGAGCATCCATACCAGGGTCATCCCCAATGGAAGAATGTTATGGCCACTACAACTTAACCCCCTCACTGTGGTCTTTAATTGTAAGTTCTCTCACTGGTGTGATTGGTCCATTCAGCTCGCCTCATCCTTAGGGGAGAGCCCTGCGTCTGATAGGAAGTCATGTTCCAAATACCCCACAACTTCTTACCCAGCTGTTGTTCTGATTAGATTCAAAAGTAGAATGTCTCTTCATTAGTACTAAATAACAACATACTTCAGGTTACATAGAAAATCAACACAGTCTTTATTGTTGAGGTTGGAATTTTTTCTTATTATTTTTTAAGGTGGATATTCCTCCCTCCTCGGAATCAGAATGCAACTGGAACTTGTGGGAAATGGCTGCACAGTATGGGCAAGAAGAGGGCATCCCGCATACTCATCTCTAGTTGCTCCAAAGAGATTGGAAATAGTGTTTTGAAATCAGCTCTATTATTTTGCATAGGAATAAAAATAATCATTGGCTCAGTTCTTGTGGTTTCCCATAGGTCAGTAGTGCATATATGAGTCACTGTTTACTCTCCATTGCCTTTGACCATTGTAATTTGCATTTAATGGCGCCATAGCCAGACTCTGAAAAGCAATTTAATTAGTTCCCATGTCTCACTACTGGAAATAATACTGCAATAACTTTCCTTATTAGTGCACATATGCTACTTACATCCGCCAGACACTTACCTGGGAGTGAAATGACTCAATCCAAAGAATAAACAACTTTAATACTGGAAGGCATTACCCAATTTTTCTCAAGAAATGCCTGATGCCTGAACTCCTATTCCCATGCCTCTACTCTGCCATCATGGACTTCTTTCCCTTGGGAACTGTAAGCCCAAGTAAGTCCCTCCTTTTATAGATTGCCTTGGTCCTGGTGTTTTTGTTTTTTATGGAGACAGGATCTCACTATATAGTCTGGCTATCCTGGGTTGGGGGATATTCCATCACACTGTGAACCACGAGTTTGCATTTGTGGTAATTAAATGAATTAACCTTGGGTCAGGAAGCTGAGTTAGCAACTCGTTGACAGAAAGTAATCATAGAGCATCAGAGGGCATCTGGAAGAGAGAGTGAGAGATGCATTAGAAGTAGGGGGGAGGGAGTTTGGGTGGCTTTTGTTTTAACGGGGAAGGTTGAGTTTTTTGAGAAACACCAGAAAGGAGAGGATGTTAGCTAGTCATTACTCAACTTCTGTGAACTAACAGGTTTTCACCCCAGCCTTTGAATCTCGAGTCTTATTTAAAAACAGAACAGAAGAGACTTAGTTGAAGCTTCCTTTAGTGGCAGCAACAGAACTGGTTCCTGTAGGAATAGAATTCCTACTAGGCTGCAGTCTGAATAGTAAGGTCACTCTCAGAGAAGCAGGCTGGTGATTGTGGGGTCTCAATTGCTGGCTTAAATAGCAGTAGATTAAAGCATCTCCACTGTGGTAACGAAAAAACAACAGTCCTGGAACTCACTATGGAGATGAAGCTGGCCTTGAACTCACAGAGTTCTACTTGCGTCTGCCCTCCAAGTGCTGGGATTAAAGGTGTACAACACATCACCTGATGGTTATGGTATTTTATTACAGCACCATAAAAGTACCTAATACAGGTACCAAGGAAAAGCAGATTAAACAATTAGAGCTAAATAAGAACATAGTGTGGACCCTATGGGATTCTTACAGTTTTTGAAGCAAATAGATCATACAGAGATGCAGAAACACAGAAATTGCATAGCTGACTTTCATTGGTTTCTGTTATTGTGATAAAACAGATCCAAAACAACTTTGACTTACAGATTGCAGTCTGTCACTGAGGGAAACCAAGTCAGGAACTCAAAGCAGGAACCTAGAAGGCTGACTCAGAGACCATGCGGAACACTTCTTACTGGCTTGCTCACCTCCCACAATCCTCTGAGCCCTTCCCCATCAATCAACAGTCAGGACTATGCTCCACAGACATGTCCATAGGCCAGTTTGTTGGAGGACATTCTTCAATCGAGGGTTCCACTTCCCAGAGTCAAGTTGGCAACCAAGGTGAACTATCATGAATTTGCCAGAGTACTCCCCCAAAGATAAAATAAGTAACAAGGCGTAGATGAAGCCCTAGGGATGCCAGCCTCTCAACTGGTCAAAATCGCCTGTGACATTTTTCAGTAGCAAGGACCAGATCTAAGGAGAGGAGCATCAAAAGATGAAATTAGAAGGTACATAGATTCAAGGACCACTCTGTGACTTGAGACAAGGACTAACTAGAGCTAAGATAGGAAGCCCTTGTCTAATCCCCACACTGGGTGGGGCACCCTACTGTGGAACCCATCCAGTGCACACTTAGCAAGCTCGAGGTCTATTAAAGAATAAGAAAAGGGAATGTCGTGCCTACACAGAACTCTCCAAAAACTATTTTATTGTATTTTATTTTTTAATCATGTATATGTACATGAATGCAGGTGCCTGTAGAGGACAGAAGAGGGCATCTGAGCCTCTAGAGCTGGAGTTACAAACAGGTGATCCAGCATAAATCCCTCTCATCCCATAGTCTCTTCCTGACTCTGAGCTTTCCGGTGATTTGTCCTCTCATCTTGTCCTCTCATCGAAGTCACTTACCAAATGGCTTCTTTCTTTCTTTCTCCCCTCTCCCCCCATTTTGCCAATTAGGAGTATAGAGATACTTTATAACCATTTTCTTTAAAATACAATGGAAATGATACATATTTAGGAGAAAAATATGCTACAAAATTTGATCTTTCTTGGATGTGATAGTGGTGAAATCTTTATGAAAGGCTGGGCCACAACTCCCCTTCTGCCAGAAGATCATCAGATGAGCAATATAATCTTGCAGTATATCCTAGATATTGTGTTTTGACACCTTGATAAGTATATAAAATGTCCAGTACTCAGAACGGCATTCAACACACTGTATAAGATAATTAGTGCTCATAAAATGGGCTCTTATTAGGTGATATTGTCCAACTTGAGGATAGTGTGCTCTGCGCATGATTAAATTAGGCTACACTATGAAGTTCAGTCACATTCAATACATTTCCCACTTAACAATACTGTCAAATATATGATGCGTTCATCAGAATGTGATAGCCGATGTTTCAAATAAAGAATATCTTTATGGTCTTGTAATAGTTCCCTGTTTTGTATTTTCAAATGTAATTTAAGTCTTGCTTATTACTTTCCCTTTGCCTTATTGAATCATCTTTCTACAATTTCCTTAAAAGGATACCAAAAGAAGAATCAGTCTTACTTTCCTATCACAGTACCTTACATGCAGAAGCATAGTGAATGTTTTTGATTTAATACAATAGCTTATAGCAGTGAATCAACGAAGCTCTTATTTGGCTCAATGTTAATGAGCATGTTCAAGCATGTGAAAACTATTTCCTTAATTAACTCCTCTTATCAAGATACTGCTACTGCATATTTGCATTCTTAAAAAACCAAAAGTAGCTGGGCAGTGGTGGCTCACACCTTTAATCCCAGCATTTGGGAGGCAAAGGCAGGCGGATCTCTGTGAGTTCAAGCCGGCCTGGTCTGCAAAGTGAGTTCCAGGACAGGCTCCAAAGTAATACAGAGAAACCCTGTCTCGAAAAACAAAACAAACAAACAAACAAAAAATCCAACCAATCAAACAAAAACCCTAATATTTAAGTCTAAGTCACACCCTTTAAGGATTTTCCTGGATTTTCATTATCTTTAAATAGCTTCTTAAAAGAATTTCTGTAGCGATTGCATCACTCACCTTGGAAGAACTCAAGTTGAGGTAGAAAAGTAACAGGAGATGAGTGATTTTCATGCTGGAGGTGTGCAGAGCTGTCTCCACGGAAGCCTTTTGTCCATTCAAGATATTCCCCTGAAATTTAATTTTTAACCTCTGAAAAAATATTTAAAAAGGAAAAGCCTCCCACAGAGCTTTGTACTTTTGAACTCTTGGAGGATTTGACTAACATCCAGAGTTTTACCGTAACCGAAGGGGGGGTGGGGTGGGAGGGATGTGGGGAACCCAGCCTTCTCAGTAAAGATCTGAGGCAGGCGACCAATAGGAAGTGCTTGGACCAGGCAAGCCTGATTGCTCCATCTTGGCCCTGACAATGCCCTAATTCCGTTTTCCAGTGAACACAGAAAGTACCATGGAAGCGATCTTTTTTCTTTTATGTCATTTGGTAAATAAAATTACACTCTTTGCTTTAAGATTGCATAGGAGAGATCTGTGGCAACTGAAATGAGGCAGATCCGCGATCCTTAGAGGCAGATATACGACAGTCGGCTGTGAGATTCCCATCAGGCTTCAGTCTGGAAGAGAGCAAGGGAGAGCAATGGAACTTCTGTGTGGGTTCAGCAAAGCCTTGGCCTGCCTATGGGGTGCTCTGGAGAACTGTGTTTGGCCGGTTCCCTGCCTCAGAGAAAAAGACTGGACCACTGCATCCCACTTGTTCAGTCACAGGTGCTGCTCAGGGACGCCAGGCCCTTTGGTGAAGCAGTTCTCTTTAGCGGATGCAAACTCTGAAGGTTCTGCCAAGTTCTTGTTGTCCTGTGTTTTCTGGCACTCTTCACAGACAGCTGGCCAAGTCCTTCCCTGAAGGACATGTCTGGGGACTCACCCGTGTCTTCTGGTCCTTTCGATACCCTTTGAACTCCTTCCATGTTATCCTCTAAGAGCAGTTTTTGCAAAATTCCCACAGGCCTCTTCCTCCTGAGAGAAACCTCACAGGAGGGAGTCATTGGGGAAACACCGCTGACTCAGACATCGCAGTTGGTGTTGAGGCCACCGCTGATGCTTCTCCGATGTCTCTTCATCGATTTCCTACCCTTTTCCCTCTGATCTCGACCGCTGTGGTTTCAGCCGTTCACCTGATGGCACAAGCCACAGCCTCTTCACGCGTGGGCTGAAGTTCTGGCTTCCATTCTCAGCTCAAAGTTGCTGTTTCTATTCCTTTACTCCCAAAACAGGCACTCCGGCAGTCATGTGACACATAATCCTTCCACCCCCTTCACCCCCGCTGCGATAACAGGAGCTCTGCTTTCCTCTGAGTTATTAAGGCCAATTACGCCATCAAGACCAAGGCTGCCTTTCTTTCTTCCTGGTCTCTAGACACAAAGAGCCCAGTGTGCACCAGGAAACAGCCTTAGTTTTCATTCGTTTAACGGGATTTTGTTGATACTATTTTGAGGCAGCCTGTCAGTCTCCCAGTGTAGCCTTGGCTGGCCTGGCCCTTACTATGCAGAGCAGGATGGCCTCAAACTTACAGGGATCCTCTTTGCTCTGTGCCCTGACTGCTAGGATTAAAGGTTTATGCTACCATTTCTGGATCCTGACTGTACCCCTGGTGGAAGAGTGGTACTTTGAGATTGGAGACCTCTATCAAACTCCACAGAGTAGACAGTTGTAAGAACAGGAAGTATTGGACACCCAGATGACCACTGGGTGATGGTAAGTGTGGTCATTTCTGCCCACATCCCTTGGATGTCTCCAGACCCGTGTATCCTTCCTATCACAGACACAATGTTAACAAGATGCTGTGGTTAAATGCACATATTGATTCCTAGATGATAGTACCAGTCCTCTCCGCATTCCTTTAACCCTGGTTCTGCACTCAGCACACCCTCCAATGCTATACTGTTGTGGGTGTGGTATGTAATATGATTAGTGGAATGCATGGCAGCATAGGCCACCTTGTGTAGCTCTTTTGCTACCAGGCAGATTGTTGTGTGGGCTCTCTTGCTGGACGATGTGAATACTCACAGAACCTTTGGCTCATAGTACTAACTAGGCCCGCAGGCGCAAAAGGCATACCCATGTCTCAAATACACATGCGACTCTTGTTTCTAGGACTGAAGGGATCCAGATGTAGTCAGTCAGTTGCTGCCTTGATGCTTGGTCTCCTTGATGAAGTGTGCCATCTTGTGGGCAAGGTGTTAGGCTTGTGGCTACTGGATTGAGCATTTGTTGATGGCAATGGCTAAATAAATAGTGGCTAAATACCTCATGGTTAACTGCCTTCTCTGCTTCCAAGGCTGCATCTATCTTGTGCTCAGTATGCCAGCATTAGGCTGACTGATAGCTGGGTATAGGTAATATCACACTCTCCTAACAACATTAGCGTCTTTTCTCTTGGAATGCTTCTTGTAGATGCTGCCAGAACCTGAAAACATTATCCCATTGGCCTATGTGCCCCCCACATGCTTCTACTCCAGATTTCTTTCATTATTGATCTTTAAGTATGTTGTAGTCCAGGGAAGAAAGATGGCTAGGCAAGCAGTGTAAATATATGTAAAATAGTCGAAGTCTCTCTCCAGACCCGAGATTGACCAGGCACAGCATTTGAGGCTCTGTCTACTGGGATGGCTTTTATTCTAAGGTAGAATCTCACAGTTCTGGGACCCCAGAGCCCACAGTCCTCATGCCTCCATCTCTGAAGTGCTGGGATCAGCGGTGACACCTCTGAGCATGGCCTGACCACTATCTTTCAGAGCTACTCCTACGGTTGGATGTAATGAGATGCTCTTTGGTTTCGATCCATACCTACACACCCCATGAGTCCATCTACAGTCAAATGCTCTACTCCTGGCTTTACCTCCATCCCATCTGTAAACAATCCCTCTCCTTCAGCTGTTCAGAACACATTCGAACAGTCATAGACAGAGCATTGGGTCAACTGTTTGGATGTATCACAAGCGAACCTTGCTTGTGACCTTTGGCTCTGTTTGTGGAGGCTTGCTTGAACTAATGTTTCAGTTCCCTGGTTGAATTAGATTTGTATGTAAACCCCCAAGCTTCATGACACGCAGTTCTAGACACAAGATAACATGGTATCCTTGGCTTAGTCCACATTTATTGGAGCCAGAAGAGTTCAAGTTGCTTCTCAAAATGGCCATAGTTCTCTGTTTTTGGTGAACTGGGCCTGTCCTATCACCTCAATTTTGTATTACTTTTCTCTCACAAGTCTTCCTCAAATACAACACACTGGTTTTTCTCCATTGCTGACACCTTCACGATACCTTGGGATTTGCTTCCAATCAAGAGTCTAAAGAGTCCCAGAAACCCTTTGAGGCTTATGCTTCTTTGGGGGGGTTGTTGTGAAATATCTTGTCTTTCACCGTAGAGAGGACATTATGACTTTACTTCCATTGCCCTGGCTTCTCCTGTCCTTGGGAGCACACATATCTTATCAAATCTTCTGCAACCATCACTTGTTTGTCTGTTTTGATCATGTCAGTGCTGCTGAAAAAAAATTTCAGGTTACTTTTTATTACTATGCTTTAAAATATTGCTAAACTAGAATCAAGGTTCCCATTTGTAAAAGAAATTCCACTGAGCAAGTGGTACCCATGGTGCCTGCCAAGGTTAGGCTCCCGGGTGGTTTCCACTCCTGCATCAGAAAGATGGACTCACAACACATTGCCCCTCATTACCCCTCTTTCCCCTGCAGGGAAATGTTGATGTCAAGAACTTTTGGTAGTGAAATGTGGTGTTCCAAGAATGTCAGTTAGAACTATAGCACGAGGCTGCCTTGTCACTGTGACCAAATACCTGGCAAAAAGCACTTAAGGGTTGGAAGACTGATTATAGACCATGGTTTCAGAGTACTAGTCTATTAATGTGGGGAGTGCATGGCAGAGCATGGCACAGCACAGAAGTCTACCTTATGGTCACCAGGAAGCAAAGGAAGAGGAAGGGACTGAGCAACCCCCTTCCTCTTCAGGCCTCACCCCTCAGAGCTGTGCTATCAGTCGTGTTCAAGCATTCAATACACGGGCCTGTATGGAATAGTTCAAAATGAAAACACAGTATTTATCAAAAATAAAATCTAGTCAAAACCCATATAAATCTTTTGCTACTTGCACAAATCTTACAGCTGACTTCTGAGAGGCCACTAAACATCCGTGTAACTTATTACTCTGTAAGATAAATGTTAGGTTTGATTCTTAGAAGCATTTCTGAGTTGAAAAGTGAAGTGTGGGAACACTTCTCAGAAAACAGCCGGCCAGAGGTTCCCATGTGACTTGCCGATGCAAGATGGCTGCAGACAGTTTTCACCACGTGAACCAGCTCAGCAAGTATCTCCAAACCTCTGGGAAAATCTCTGGATTCTTTGAATCTTCGAAAAAAGTCATATTACAAAGGAATTTAAAAACACTTTAACCCTGCTTAGATTTGAAAGCAAGGAGGTCTCATGGCTTATTAAAATCCACGTGGGGGGAATCGTAGCATACACAGACCAGCATTTTCCTTTTCCTTTGATAGGACGTCCATGTGACTGGATGAGAGCCCCTTTCCCAACACTTCCTCAGCCTCAGCACCTGACTTTGAGAGACCAGAAGCACTGGGAAAGCTTGTGACTCAGCAGGTGATGTGCTGTCCTGACTTGTTTGACTCATTCTGCCCTTCGTAGGAGTGGAATAGACATGTTACTGTGCTTTTCAAAGTCTTCCTTGTGCAAGCAAGCCTTTCCTCCTGTCATTTCTGGCCAAGCATGAGATGCAAAGGGGGATCCCAGGTCATTTCAACAGAAAGTGAAATCTGTGTGCCAGTTTCACATCCAACCAGAGGCTGAGCACATACACAGCAAATAATGTGCGGTAAATTTCTTTTTTCTTTTTGTTTTAGACTATTACTTTTATGTGTATATTTTGACATGTAAGAAGAAATTACCATTCCTTAAGATGAAATTGCAATCTTTGCTCAATTAAAAGGAATTTTTTCCTCTCCTACTTGTTGTATTAGTTATGGTTAATGAACATTCTTAAAGCCTACCTAGAGTAGATAACAAGTTGAACAAAAATAAAGTTTCAAATTCTCTCTCCTTTGTGTGTATTTCTCCCCCACCCCCGTGTGTGTGTGTGTGTGTGTGTGTGTGTGTGTGTGTGCGCGCGCGCGCGCTCTGCTCACGTGCATTCATATGGGTATACGCACCCACGGATGTGTATGTCGAGGCCACAGATGTCGGATGTCTTCCTCTATCACTCTCCACAGGATTTTTTTTTTCTGCGACAATGTCTCTTGATGAAGCTGAAGCCCACTCTTTTGATGAAGTTGGCTGGCTGAAGAGCTCCTGGGCCCCACCTGTCTCCCTTACCCAAAGCTGAGTTACAGGCACCCAGGCAAAGCTCAAGTTTTAGTTGTATGTTTGGTCTTCTTACTTGTATAGCAAGCACTCTTACTGAGCTAGCTCCATGGCCTCATAGATTCACAGTGAGACACCACTTTCTATTCAAAAGATCACTCACCATTGCACAGCTGTGTGAATGAATTTAATACCACCAAACAATTTAAGAACAATAATGGTGACATTTATGTTATCTATATTTTGCCACAGTTAAAAAAAAAAGCATCAGCAATATTGGGTTATATGTTGTTCCCTGTGCTATCTCGTGTATTCATTCACACACGCATGTGTGTGCATGTAACTTATTAAGTGGCCCTGGAAATGGTAAAATTATTCAGAGCATTCTTTCATGGTCAAAATAAAGGATTGTTCTAGAGGATTGAAAAATGAAGCTTCTTCAGGAAAGAGGAAATGTTTTGACAAAGGCAGATAATGGCACAGGCAGTAATTCTGGCCTGATGGGCCACAGGGATGATGTGTGCAAGCACAGATTAGTAATCATATAGAAGGCTTCGGTAATAGGTAACAATACTGTTCAGAGAAAGTGTAGAGTTATGGGTGGGGAGGAGGGCTGGGAATGAGGCTACAAGACAGCTATTTTACCAAGTTCACCATATCATCAAATGCAGTACAGATGGAAGAAATCTGCAAGTATTTATTTAGTCTGAGGTGTTGCCTGTTGTGATGTTTGGTTGGGCATTTGAATTCTTATAGAATATATTGAGTGGTTTGGGATGGGGATAAAATAAGTGGCTGTGTCAAAAGGCCTGTACTCTGAAGCTGAAGACAATACAGAGTTACTTCACAAGGGGTCAACAGAGACCCATCACGTTAGTAAGGGCCAGCCTAGGATGGGGAGGGATGGTGCTGAGGATGCTGATGAGCAGCAGAGTGTGCTTCAAGGTCTGATGCTACCGGAAGGACAAATAGGGGTTGGAAAGAAAGAGGGGAGAGAGGCTGCACGGAGGCTAAGAGCATTGACTGCTCTTCCAGGTTCAATCCCCAGCACCCACACGGTATCTCACAACAGTCTGTACTCCAGTTCTAGGGGACCTGACACCCTCACACAGACACACACGCGGGCAGAACACCAATGCAATGAAATAAAAATAAATTATTAAAAAAGGGAGAGGGAAAAGGAAGACCTCATGAGAATTTGAGGTTTTAGTTTCTCCCCTCACCAGCTAGGGAGATTTCATCTCTCCTCTGAATGTCAGTTCCTTGTGTATAAAATGACCAGCTGCCAGGTGTTCCTAAAGGTCTTGTACAAGTTTAATGATTCTGTCATACTGAGTTGGAGACAACAGTAGGATATCAAATGGGTGATGATGATGTCAAAATGAATTACAAATAACTCTAACCTCCCATGATGTATGTATATACATGCATATATATTCAGCTGCATTTAAAATATATTTGCCAAATTCCTTTTTTGTTTTTTTTAAATGGTTTTTCGAAACAGGGTTTCTCTGTGGCTCTGGAGCCTGTCCTGGAACAGCTCTTGTAGAGCAGGCTAGTCTCGAACTCACAGAGCTCCTCCTGCCTCTGCCTCCCGAGTGCTGGGATTAAAGGCGTGTGCCACCAACGCCCAGCCTTGCCAAATTTTTTTTATATGTGGGGTTAGTATGGACTTCAAGAAGTTTAGAGTAAATGACATATTTTAATTCCTAATGTTTCTATATCTTTTGCAAAGATCTTTTAAAGTTTTATTCACAATATCCTCTGCTTTGGTGATCAGTCTTTGCCTTCTTTCACAGAAAAGTTGATATTGTCAAGAGATGTTTCAGACAATTCGGATATAAGTCAATCAAATTTAATAAGTAGAGTTCACTTCCTTTATTATGTTTTAGTGATGTGGGGAAATCGAGGTAAGGCCAAGAAGACAGAAGGCGAGTTGCATCTATAGCCTGGTACACAGTCTGTCGGTGTTCCAAACGTGTTTGATGAAAGAATAAACTATCTGGAATTTCAAACGCGTTTGATGAATGAATAAACTATCTGGAACTAAATATTAAAAGGTGGTTCCTTTCTATCAGATCACACACACACACACACACACACACACACACACACCCTTTTCCTATTTTAATAACAACAGGACAAAACAAAAACCAATATAGCACAGACAGACACTTTTTTGTGGGTTGGGAGAGAAGGGGAGAAGCTGCAAAGGACCCACGGCTGGCGGTGACAGCTTCGGACGTAGCTCCGCTCGACCCGAGGAAGTGCCCACCCTCCGCGGAGCTGAGTCAGGTCGGGCCCTCCTCGCAGCCGGTGGAGAAGCGACAGGCCCCGACGTCAGCCAAGCGAGCTCATCTCGGGGACAGAGCGGCTCGCCAGCTATTGGAGCGCAAGGATCCACACGCCCGCCGTCTCCAAGGGCAACGCGCGACCACACTTCCGGAAACGTCGCGTACGGGGGGGGGGCACGGCTATTTCGCGTCACTTCCGCCACTCCGGGGCTGTGCGGGGCTGTGCAGGGTGAGGCGGGGGTTACGTTAGACGGGGCAGTTGCTCTTCCGGTGCTGTGCACTCACTGGGTTAGGGGAGCCTTGGGACCGCTGCGTCCGCTCCCCCCGCAGACCAGTTCTCGGCGCTTCTAGTCTGGTAAGGTTGCGCCGGTACGGTGGCCGAGGAGGTCTGAGCGCGCCGGAAGTGCTCGCCGGCGCTCGCGCCTAGCTGGGCTGGAGGCGCACGTGGCGCGGTGAGTGCTGCGGGGGGCGAGGATGCGGGGGGCGGCGGGGATGCGGGGGGCGGCGGGGATGCGGGGGGCGGCGGGGATGCGGGGGGCGGGGATGCGGGGGGCGGCGGGGATGCGGGAGGCGGCGGGGATGCGGGGGGCGGGGATGCGGGGGGCGGCGGGGATGCGGGGCGGCGGGGATGCGGGGGGCGGCGGGGATGCGGGAGGCGTGGGCCGCGGGGCTGGGGCGCCCCTCCCTGGCCGTGGCGAGTGGCAGGGCAGCGTCACTGCCGCCCTCCGTGGTGGCCTGAGTGCCCAGAGCCCGCGGTGACCAGAAGGAGCGGCCCTTCCTTTTCGCCAGGCCGGAGACAGCATGTCTTTCCGAGGCGGAGGTCGCGGGGGCTTTAGTCGCGGTGGCGGCGGCGGCGGCGGCTTCAACCGTGGCGGCGGCGGCAACAACCACTTCCGAGGGGGCGGCGGCGGCGGCGGCAATTTCAGGGGTGGCGGCCGAGGAGGATTTGGGCGCGGCGGCGGTCGTGGAGGCTTTAATAAATTCCAAGATCAGGGACCTCCAGAGCGTGTCGTCTGTAAGTCGCCTTCAGAGCTTCATCTCCTAACTTTGCAGTGGGAGTGGATTCGGGTAGTGAGCTTGTGTTGCCAGCAAGTCTGACGGTAAGTCTCGGAAAGGCAAGTCTGCAGGCCACGCTGACTTAAGAATCATGCGGTAGCTGAAGTGGTCGGGAGAAGAGTCTGGAGGTGAGCTTGAGTTTGGACTGAAAAGATGAGAGTTAGACACTATTGAGTGCCTGGACCGTTCTGAAAGAGAGAAAAGGACTCAGGGTTAATTTCTTTGCTGTTGTAGTAAGGTGAATGCTGTGATCCCTAGTGATACAGTTGAAATACAAAGCCAAGTTTTTAGTCTCCTTAGTCTGTGCTGTCGGTTACCAAAAGGTAAGGGAAAGTGGGGAGGGGGAGATTTGCTTGGGAGAAGGCAATAAAAATGCCTACCTAAAGTAATTTTGAGTTAACTATTGGAGAGGTGTGATGGAAGTCATTGGAAGAGGTGAGGGGTGGATCTGTATACTTGATTGGTTTGCTGGACAAAATGGTTAAAGTCAAGGGGGTGTTGGAGTAAGCCATATATGAGACATTGACAGCCATGTTCAATAAACAGACATGAAGAAAAAGTGGAAAGGTAGGAGATGTATCCAACCTTTTGACATTGTACCTTGACATTGCCCTCTACAAAGTTCACACTACAGAGCCATACAGCTTAATTTGTGTGTGTGTGTGTGTGTGTGTGTGTGTTTGTTTTAAGTAAGTGTACCATTTTGTGTTGGGCCACATTCATAGCTGTCCTGCAGGCCATGCATTGGACATATGGATGGAAAAGAAATTTCAAAGGAATAATACTGAGAATAAAAGGCTCTAGTTGTTAAGGATGGAGAGTGACTTTTGTAGACAAATGGTGTTTGATTCTAGGTTAAGAAACAGTGGTACTTATTTTGTAATTCCAGACTTCCCTGAGAGGGTAGTCATTGATGAAGGAGTAATAGTGGTGATGAGTTCTGAGGAAGGAGGAGACCATCAACACAGACTGATTCAAGTTCATAGGCTGGGGAAGAGAAAGGAGTCAGTGAAATAGATAGTGCAATTGTAAGAACCGTGGCAGGGTAACTGGCATGTGTTGGATGATCTCCTTGTGCCAGGCACTGTTCTCAGTGACTCATTTGTCTGGGTACTCATGTACGAGGTGTGGCTGCAGTTAGATGTGACTGGCTTCGTGTACAAGGGTATAGAGAGAAGGGGAGTGTGTCTCTTCTAGGTCCCACAGTAATGGTGTGCTAACTTAGGACCACAGTGTTGAGAACTAAGCTCTACCTTAGAGACCAGATAGGGGTAAGGACCAAGTGGTCAAGGATGCTTCTGGCACAGTTGATCAGTATCTGAAATGGTTCCATGTTTGTTTTCTTGTGCTCTTTCAGTATTAGGAGAGTTCATGCACTCCTGTGAAGATGACATCGTTTGTAAATGTACCACAGATGAGAACAAGGTGCCTTACTTCAATGCTCCTGTTTATTTAGAAAACAAAGAACAGATCGGGAAAGTGGATGAGATATTTGGACAACTTAGAGATTTTGTATCCTTTCTAATGGGATGAGCCAGTGATCTCATTGAGGAATTATTGTCCCTCTCCTTCCCCGCCACTTAAATATCAGTTAAAGCAAACCCGTTGCTTCATTTAGTAGATAGCAATGCTACAGACAGGCCATAAAGAGAATCTGTAGGCGAGAATGCATTCATCTACATTTACAAGTATTGCGCCAAGAGGAGGTGACTGTCCTTTTGGAAAGTTCTGTGAGTGGTGGCCATTTGTATAAATGCCACAGAATTGTATTGTCTCTGCTGTTGCTTTACATATGATGGTTCTACAGGAATATCATGGTATAATTGGAGGATACTGATTGTGTTCTTTTAAAGAAAATATAATTTCCTCTAGGAAATTTCTTGATTTCTTTTAGCCAGGCATTCTTTTTAAAATGCTTAAACTCAATAGTTAAAATCTTTTTGTGTCATTATTTCTCACTTGTTCCTTAATGTAATTAATAGTATTTTTCAGTTAAGTTGTCAGAAAACATGAAGGCATCTTCCTTTAAAAAACTACAAAAGGTGAGTCAAAATTACAACTGAAGCTTAGATTCAGAAGAGAGTGGTGTGTGCCTTAGGGTACTCTTGAGGCACTTGCAGCCCTCCACTGTGTTGCAGTGAAGCTCTGAAGCTGATGAGTAGTACCCAGGCATTGAGTTTACTTTCCCAGTTGTCTCTGTGCTGTAGCCCAGAGTTTACTGAGATTAGGTTGGCTTCTAATTTCCTCTATCTGCTGGGATTGCAGGTATGTGCTGTCACACCCAGTCTAAGCTTACTAGTCTTTAAAAATAATGTTTTGGCCAGGCATGCTATTGTAAGCCAATAGTACCAGCACTTGGAGGCAGAGAAGCAGGAGGATGGCTGCTTTGAATTTAGCTTGGGTTACATATTGAATTCCAGGTCATCTTGAGGTACATAGTAATAATCTGTCTCAAAAACAAATAAGTCACAGATGTAGATGAGATACTAAAGGGCCTCACAGGTATTTTGTTAACATGGTATATGCTGTTTGAAATAGTAAGAGGCTGCCCTGAAACTCTCTAGTGGGATCAGATTTAGTCCTAGCCTTCCTTGAGGTGCTGCTTTTGAAACTGAAAGCCAAAAGATAGCCAGGGAAGAGTCTTACATCACAGATACTTGAGGACGGCTCTTAAGGTGACATCCTTTTAGGTCCTCTTATAAACTTGACTCGGTTGCTCTTAAGTAGCATCTACAATTCGTTTTGGAAAGAAAGCTGGAGAATTTTGGTGTAGTTGGGCCAGTACTTTAGCACTGGACTAGCCACAGAGCAGGATGGCAACCTGCAGGAGGACCTGATGGGCATAAAACATTTAGGATGGGTGTGGAAGGTTCTGAAATAAGGGGCTGGTGTAGTAGGAAGGTGTAAGGAGTAAGGTTTTTCCTCCCGCTGCTGGTCTTGTCCCGCTTCCACACCAGCCCCAATGAACACACTAAGACTCTGTATTTGATACAATGCTGTTGGCCAGGTGCTAGTTTCTTATTGGCTAGCTCTGTCTTAATTATTAACCCATTTCTGTTTATCTAATATTTCCATGTGCTCTTACCGGAGAGCCGGCTGGCGTCCTATTCTCTCCAGACTCTCCATCTTGACTCCTTCCTACTTCCTCTTCCTCCTCGTCTCCTAGTCCCTCCTGTCTTCCTTTCCTATTGGCCAACAGTGCTTTATTCATTAACCAGTATAAGAAACATATACAGAATGACATCTCCCATCAGAAAGGAACTTCATAAGCCACGAGAAAGAGATTAGATTTTAGTGTTAGCATTGTTTCTAAATAATAGGGTGGGCTTTGAGAGAACACTGGAGAAACAGAGAAGCCCATTGGAAAGGGATCAGGACTCTTGGAAAAGTTCATCCATGTAGGCTGTACAAAGCCATTAATGCTATGGGGCAGGATGTAGAGTCCCATGGAAATGGAGACAAGGAGGTGGGGTTGTGAACATACAGGAAGAGGAGTCAAAGGGACTTGGTCATTAACTCAACCAACCATTTTTTAGAAGTTTGATTTCAACGTCTTTGGGGGTTATGATCCCACTCACTGACTTGGGCAGCATTAGAGAACATAGGTTAAGGGAAGGTAGTGAATTTCATTTGGGACACAGTAAGTTACGATACTTGATAGTCAGAAGATCGGGACTTCACAGAAGTAGACTAGAGACAAAACTGGGAAGTTGTTGGTGCACAGACGGAGGTTAGGAAGAATGGAAGCAGTGAGCTTTTATGAGAGCTTCAGACACCTTCCCACATTTAAGTGTCTTAGTGCAGGCTGACACAATTGCCAGTAAAAGGGGAGGGGCGCAAGTATGCCAGACAGATAGAGACATGAAAGTAGAGTGGTTTCCGGGGGGGGGGGTGCACATAGTATTCAGTGGGTTCAGGAACAAGGTAGTTGGGTGTATAAGAGCTGCTAGAGTGGTAATTCCACAAACCAGGTCAGAGCAGGAAGTTAGATGGAGACATTAACTTGCTGATAGCAAGTGGCCACCAGTTGTAGATAACTGAAAAGGTGTGCTTGGAGCAGAAGAGCCTAGAGAGAAGCAGTGCCGAGGAGGGCATCTCATGAGGTATGACCTTAAAAAGGGAAGTTACCTGTTAGAGGCCCTTGAAGTCATTCTGGTCCCTGCAGGATTATTTGAAGATTTGTTTAATGATATATCTTCCCCAACCTCCATCGCCCATTTTCTGTTTGGGTTTCCAGACCACTGCTGTCCTTGAGTTTAGGTTCCCCTTACCCAGCCTAGGCGGTTACAAAGTCTAAAGATAGCATTTTGGCCTAATTGTACTTTCTATGATGATGGAATTCCTTGACCAGTCCAATAACAGGTAGTCACACAAAGCACTGGACACAAGGAATGCCCGACATGTCTCATGACCTTAAGTTTTAATCCCATGTCTAATCGCTGACTTAAATGTAAATAGGTCTGTATTGTGTGTAGACTGGGCAATGCAGGTTCACACAGTGCTTTTGAGTTGATAGAGTGTGAGAAGTTAACAAGGGGTCCTGTAGATGGTGATAGAAATTACTTTTTAGTAACATTTATTTCTGTTTTGAAGCCCTTCCTCATTTGTGTTTTGTATAGAAGATCTAGAAAACTGTATACCTCCTTACATTTCAATACTGATACAATGTCCTATTTAACCCTAAATATAGGCTGGGTTTAGCTTTTAAATATCATGTTCGAGAAATACTAATGGAATCCTTTCTTGAAATAGCTAATTGCTAAAATTTTGAATTTTAGTGCTACATGTCTGATAACTTTTCTCTTGACAGCTCTCTTAAATGAAGATGTAGATTTTTGGAGACACATATTTCTAAAAAAATGATATTGACCTTAGTGTTTCTGTATGTATACAATCTAACGCATTGATTATATATCTTAAGATATTCTTGGAACTTTGTTATAGTTACTTTTGTCTACAGCTTTACAGATAAGAAAACTAGGTAATTAGAGGGAGGGGAAAAGTCCTTGCCCAGAGAGGTGTGGGATTTGAACCTCAGTAGTTTGGGCTGAGTACTGCCCTTCAAGTTAGCTCACTAACTACTATTGTTCAACTTTCAGTTTTATATAGATCCATATAAGCTGCTACCACTGCAGAGATTTCTGCCTCGTCCTCCTGGTGAGAAAGGACCTCCCAGAGGCGGAGGTGGTGGCGGCAGGGGAGGTCGAGGAGGAGGAAGAGGAGGTGGTGGCCGAGGTGGTGGAAGAGGTGGTAAGTTACTGTGCCGGTTTCTAGTGATGTTCTGTAGCCATAGATGATTTATACAGTGCAGTTTAGCTTTGCATGTACCCAGACTTCCCTTACCCATGTTTCTCTTACATATTGCCCATATTCGGAGAAGTGCTTTGTTTCCACAGCTGAAATAGGAGAGAGGAAAAAAAAATTAACGTTGTCTTTGCAGAATTTCAGACCCTTGGGTTATTTGTATTTTAATGAAGATTTCAATAGAGGCAGTCAACCATTGCTAAATGGCAGATACATTCTAAGAAATGCAGTGTTGGGCAGTTTCGTTGTGTGCACTGACACAGGTCTCTTGTAAAGCTTGGTGACTCAGCATGGCTTCTTAGTGTGGTGAAGAGTAGTGAGATGGAAGCTAATGCTGGAGAGATGGGGCAGGCTGTTTATGATCAGCCTGTTGTGAAAGGGTAGTCTCGATACAATGGGAAGTACAGACAAACCGGTAACAGTTGTTTTTAACCATTGTCGGGCATTGGGTGCTGTATACAACTGTATGTGCTGTGCTCTCGGGTGCCTGGACTTAGGTATTCCAACAGTGCTGTGAGCGTGCCAGCGGTCGCTTGCTCTACAGTGTGAGATAGTAGAGTTTTCCAGGTCCATTATGATTTTAGGAGACTGATGTGTTACACATGAAATATTATTATGTATTATATGGCTATGTAAGAATTTAACTTAATTGTGATTTCTTAGTTATCAACAAGTATTTTGATAATATGCCAAGAGCTGGTCTTATCTACTTAATATCCAAGCATATTTTTTTAATTTCTCCAACAAGTTTTCCAATGGCCTCCATGTGGATGCTATGACACACACACGCGCGCATACACACACACGCGCATACACACACACACACACACACACACACACACACACACACAGAGAGAGAAAATGTAAAAAACGGAAAAGGTGGTGGTCTTGAGCTTACTCTACTGCTTCACTTGGGAACCTGCTATTTCTTCATCTTTTCAAAGTTTCTGTAAAATACAGTGTGTGAACTTATATTTAGTTTTCATAGGAATTGCACAATTTTTATAGCTTAGAGAAAATGAGCAGCTCATTATCTAACACGTATTTCCTTTTCAAGGTGGCTTTAGAGGAGGAAGAGGTGGAGGTGGGGGCTTCAGAGGAGGAAGAGGAGGTGGTGGATTCCGAGGTGAGTGTGGTGTGTGGGAAAAGCTGTCTGACTGGATTTGTCGATTGATAATGTCTGTTGATTTCTTTCATGTTTCATCTCCCTCCCAACAAGTATGGCAGACATTGGGGTGTTTTTGGCTTTACCTTAATTTATGGCTCCATTCTATACCATTCTTTATTGATTTCTCTTAATTTTTCACCAAATTTCTTTGCTGTATTAATATTTTGAAAACCAAAAAAAAAAAATGGATATTTGAATAGCAATTGTGTTTGGTAATGTAAATGTATCAAACATTATAGGAACTGTTGATGTTCAACAGTTGAGATTTGGATACTAGCTCTGTTACAAGCCTTGCTTTTCCTTTTCTCAGGAAGAGGACATTAGGTGTGGCAGTGACAGACTCACCACTTGTGTTTTCGCTGTATGATCTGTGATTGAAGGCTGTGTCTGGAGCAACCCGGAGGATGCTGCTCTGTCGGTGGAGCTGAATCGTCAGCATTGGGTGGAAACACTTGGGACAGAACAGTCGCTTTTGCTCAGAAAGAGCATGAAGAACCCTGCTTTGTACAGTACCTGGCACTCTGTGGGTGCTTAAAGAAAACGGGACTTTTCATTTGAAGCATACTTGGCTTTTTTTAAATAAATGTTTTATTTCTTTAACTTACTGTTTATTGAACCAAACCTATTTTTTGAAATTTAGAGGAACAAGCAAAGCTTAAACCCATGTTGGATTACAGAGAGAAAAGGTAGGGTGGGTGAAATTTGTTTAAAGATACCATGATTCTAAAAGTACCAGATACACTCAAATGAACAACCCCTTCATCCCCAACAATCCAGGCTGTTGAAAAACAGTCTTAAAATTACTTAGAAATGAACTCATTCAGAATGCCTTTTGAATAGGGACAGAACAGCAGTATTTGCTGTATTTCAATTACAAGGATAAAGCTGTTTCAAGAACCAGTTTATAATTATTGTTAAATTATTATTTTGAGTCCATTAAAATTTGAGTAGCTCTGTTCATGAGAAAACTATGGTTCAGGAAATTTAAATATAGGTTATTAAAAGTTTTCTGAAAAAAATTTTTTTACATGAAAGATTTACTTATCTTCATTTTAAGTAAATATTGACTACCTTCCACATGTTTCAATTCCTGGGTAGGGTTACTATAAATGAAATTGGCTTTGGTCACTGTTGCTAATGTGCTGCCAAAACATGAGCACCACAGCAAGCAAGGGTACTTCAGTGTGGAGCCCTGTGCCGGCACGCGAGGGTACCTCGGGGTGGAGCCCTGTGCCAGCTGTGCGGTTTTTTCCCCTCACTGCTCACCTCTAGAGTCCTAGCATACATAGGCACTTATTCTTGGGTACTTGTTTCAGTAGCATGTAAGTGTGCCTGTGCCTGAGTTCTACCCTTTTTGTTAATGGAACCACAGTGCTGTTAATACATAGGCCAAAGCAAAGGCATGGTGGCAGGAGCAGCTGAGGGCTCACATCTTGATCTGGAAGTGGGAGCGGACATAACGCCTTTGAAAGCTGGAAGCTGGCCCCCTAGGGACACACCATCCATCAAGGCACACCTCCTAATCCTCCAGTAGTTCCACTACTGGGGACCAAGCATTCAAACATGAGCCTAAGGGAGCCATTCTCCTCCGCTTTGTCAGTTTGTGAAGGGCATCAGCACCAAAGGATGGGTGCAACATTAACAGGAGTTGTTAGATGGCAAAGGGTTGTAGAGATGGTAGACAAACCTGGAGATGTCATACTTTTTAAAAGCTAGGTTATTTGAGACATATTCCATATCCAAACTGACCTCAAATTCTGTGTACCCAGGACTGGCCTTGAGTGCTGGGATTATAGAGTGCACTGCCATGCTCAGTGTAATTTCTGTTTCTAACGTACACAATTCGGTCGTTAAACATTTCTTTCTCGCCCCTCTTGTTACGTCCGGGTTCTATATTTTTGTTGAAATATTTCAGTTCAAATCAATTCAAATCGGGTTCTATATTTTTGTTGAAATATTTCAGTTCAAATCAATTCAAATCGACCTCACCTCCTGAACTTTGGAATACTGAGGAGATTTACATGATAGGTTCACAGCCCCTGGTTCAACAGTCAGTCATTAAAAATATGTACTTTTTAATCACAATTTAAAAAATTCAGTACTGGGCTGCTAGCCCAACCTATTCCCTAGACAGAACCATGCAACCAGAAAGGCCCTCTAATGAAATGGTAATGAGCAAGTACAGCCCCCTAGGGGTTCTGTTACACTATACTGAAGTTTGGTGACATTTGAGCCTTGCTTTGAAGTGCTACTGATGGAGAGTTATATTTTAGTGTTAAAAAGTAATCAATTGAGATACTCCTTCACCCTAGCAATGCATGTTCATATTAGGTTTTTATGTGACAATGTAGACTACTAGGGTTATCCTGTGCTTGGAAAACTGAGTGGGTGACTAAATAGCTTGAACTTATATGCCTGTTAAATTGTGGGAGAATTCGCCAAGGTGGCATAGAGCATGCATCCATACTGTGGAACACGTAGCTATTGTGCTTAGACAGATTTATGGGATGGTATTTAGGGGAAACAAGCTGTACCGTACCATGTGTGTGTGGTACATACAGACATACTGGTTACACAAGATCACAGTTTTGTTTGAAAGGAAAAGAAGTTGGACAAACCTCACATTCTTAGGATATACTTTTATATGACTAGAGATATAAGGAAAAATAAATGAGTAAGGATTACTCCCGGCAATGTTGGTACCTTTCATGGAAAGATTTGGAAGTACGGGAGTCAATAGTGTATTCGAAATTTTAGGAAAAGTAAACACAAAGGGGCCTGAAGTGAAGAAACTCAACCAGCCCGAAACTGTTCAAAATCTAGTACAGAAGTTTAGTCCGTCCTTCCTTCTGAATAGCTACCGAAGATAAGGGGACTGCTTAATTTTAGAACAAGTTCAGTCAGCTCCTGACTGCTTTTCTCAGTTGGGTTTGTTTGTTTTTGTTTTTGTTTGTTTGAATAGGGTGATTTGCTTGATAATCTGCTTATATAAATAAGACAGGAGCCTAAATTGTTTAAGATGTGTGGTGGTTGGAATTTCTCTTTAAGAAGCTTTTCCCTTGTTCTAGGAATTAAAATCTTTTCCTCTTCAGCCCAATTAAATGTGTTAATGGGGCCCATGAAAAAAGCCTTTCTTTGTGGTCTAGTAGTGGAAATGATTTGTCCTGAAAGAACTTTCCTGACAGGGTATTGAAGCTGTTCCCAAGGTGGTGTGGACTCCCCAGGATGCTGAGCAACATGTTAGAGTTAAACTCTTCAGGCTCTAGGGATGAAGATAGTTCTGTCTTTTCAGAGACCGAACACAGCATCATTGCAGCTTACCTGATTATGGCAGGTATGGGTGGTTGTTCAGTTATCTGCTTCTCAGACGGGAGAAGAGAGGGATTTGTTACAAATGTGCAATGTTGGCTAGTTGGTAAACAGGGACTGTACCAATCAGAGAAAATGGAAAGAAAAATAAAGCACTGTTAATGCTGCTTCTTGACATGGCAGAAGAGCAAAGGGGGGCAAGAAAAGCTCTATAAGGTGAAGTTTTGGAATAAAATCTGTCCATATACTTGGTTCTTGCATTAACTGTAGGCATGTGCCGAGTATGCACCATGGTAGAAGCATGCTTTATGTCAGTTACCATCCCCATGCACAATTTGCATTGTTTTCTTCTTGGTGGACTCTGTAACTCAAGGTTGAGAGGTACTGAAGGAGAAGTTTGAAAAAGGAAGTAGGGGGTGCAGATAAAGTACGCAAATTCAGCTCCTCCAGCAGGCAGTCGTGGGAAGTGGGCGCTCTAGGGGGTGGTCTTTTCATAGCTTTGAAAGTGTGTACAAGGTATTTCACCTTCATGTTCTCATTTGTAAAATGTAGACAATAAAGGCTCTGTCATGATTATTATGAAGAGTGTATATTAAATGTCATCAAGGCACCTAAGACATAGATGCTGGGTAAATATGCTTTTGTTGATACAAAGATTAAGATAAAGGCTTGTTTGTAGGAAAGAGTATGAGGAAAATGACAGATTCTATCGGTGGTGTGGCTTTTATAATCAGCAATCAATCTCAAACTGTATAGGCAGTGGCAAGTTTTAGTAACTTATATTAGGTTCATTGCTTTTTGGATTGGCTTTTATGAAAAATTTTAATCACATTTCTAAAAACAGACTGAGAGATATATCTCTGTATCTACTTTACAGCTGTCTAGTTTTTACCTCATAGTTGACATGCGCTCCAAGTAATTTCCTTTTCATTTTAGTGGTATAGTGACTAATTCATTTGAATACTTCTGTGTGGTAAGAGGCAAAAAGTGAGTCCACACTTCTGGAGTCATGTGGAAACACTATATACGAGTTTGGTTCAGCTAATTGTAGGTAAAAGGGAAAATCCGAAATTTATCTGGACAGGATAATTGCTGAGGATGTCAGAGTCGAGTGGGCTACATAGTAAGACTGTCTCAAAGGGGGAAAATACTGCTCACAAGATTAGTATCTGAAGACTACTAAGTTTTGTTTCCTTAATTCATATAGGTGAAGAGCTTAAGAAATTTTTCCAACCCACACTTCTAAGTGGCTACTGGGCTTTGAACAGAGGTCTTTTTGCTAGCCCTCTCACATAATTATTTAGGTCCGTTATTAGGAAACATTGGAGCTTGCGATCTTATGTTTTGTAGGAACTGAAGGAAACACATCTCATCTCCGTGCTTTTGCTCTGTGTGCCAAGAATCACTCGTTCTTCCCATCCCCTGATTTTTCTTCTTTAACAAAAACCTCCCGAATAAGAATGGAAACTGAGGAAGAGGGTACATGCCCTTAAATATCATTCCATTTGTTATTTTTACCCTGGGCCTATGTAAATGTTTTTACTGTAGAGTTTATCTATTGTACATATGCACCGAGTTAATGTTTTTGAATCAGGAGCTTGCCGTATTGTCTGTATTAGCCTAGAACTATCTATGTAGCTAAGGCTGGCCTTGAACTCATGATCTTCCTGCTTCTGCCTCCTGAGTGTTGGGATTACTGGTGTGTTGCCACTGTGTCTGGCCTAGTTGTATTAATCTATTTTTACTTATGTGTCTCTGGGTGTCCTTTGTGAATGATTGCCACACGCATGTCTACAGAGGCCAAAAGAAGGTATCAGGTTCTGCACTGCTCCACATAGGTGCTGGGAACAGAATTCAAGTCATCTGTCTAGAAGAACAGCAAGTGGTCTTAGCCACTGAGCCGTTTCTACAGCCCCCTAGATTTAGTTTTTATTTTAATCTTCCATTTGGATTTGAGCTCTTACTACAGACATTTTGTTAATTTAGTATGCCTGAGTACTCTCTTCTATCACTTAAAGCTGAGAATTGAGAGTATGGTAAATGTATGGATTTGAAATAATTCATCATGGGTGTAAAATTGTGGTGAGAGGTTAGCTGAAAAAGATGACCGGGTACTAGACAATAATGGACCACATAACCTGTAAGGCTACAGCAAGTCACTGAAGGGTTAAGTCGAGACAGTATCTGATTTGCATTTTAGATACTTGTTGTGATGGTAGACCATTAGGCCACTGCATTGACCTGAAGTTGGAGCAAAGGGGACTTAGTGGAGGCAGAAAGAAGTAGACTCACTCAAGAGCTAGAAGGTAGAATTGGTGATTTGATGTGGGGCTGGGAAAGAAGAAGGAGCATCGAATATGACTTCTGGGGTTGGGGGTTGGGGTGGGGGATGTACCCATCGATGGTGCGGTTCACTGAGATAGGAATACATCCGGGGAAGAACAAATGTGAGGTGGGATAGCATGTCTCTGACTTTAGCTGTGCATATGACCTTGAGTTTTGCAGTACTAATCTCAGCTGCAATGAGACCACTCAGAATGCTGAATCGGGAAAGAAGGGGTCTAGGACAGAGTATGAAAATAAACATGTGATATGGTAGTGTTGAAGACAGATTGTCAGGTAGACCAAGAAGAGATGGTGGGGAGCTACAGGAATGGAGGGGGTACTTTCAAAAGGTGGGAGAGTAGAGCTACTTAGAATTGAGACTGATTGATCCACCGTCCACTCATGGGAAAGTACCTACAACCAAGGAAACAATGAAGTGTGTAAGATAGTTAGGGAGAATAGAGAAAAGGAGTAAATTATTTGTGTAGCAACAAACAATTGGAGACTCCCCCCAAAAGTGTAGTTACTTTCTTCTGGCTATGTAATTGCTAGGTAGCAATTTGTGTGCTGGGTTTAATCCTTTTTGAATCCAAGTTACAAGGTGACCCCCCCCATCAATACACACACAATAGTTCTTGTATGTTTGCTAAGAAGAGCCAAAGGATTGTTAAATTTGCTGTCATTGTACTTGAAGGAATAATAGAAATTGGGCAGACTGGAGTTTTAGTGGCATTCCATTCATTCATCAAAAACTTGCTGTATGATACATACTGAAGGTAGATTCATTAGGAGCCTGGGGTATGTAAGGTAGAACGATGTAAGAGCTGACTGACTTAGCATCACCCCAGAATGAGATAATATAAGCAAGCCCCCTCAGAAAGTATGGAGAAGAATATAGAATCCCATGGATAGGAGGCTGCTTCAGAGCTAAATTGGGCTTGGCCTGAACTTTAAAGGATGGCTACATTTGAACATACAGAGGAACAGCACAGGGTGTTTCAAGTGGGAAAAATATATAAAGTCAAGGTTTGTAGCTTGGTGTATTTGCAAAACTGTTGGAACAGTGGGCTTATTTCATAAGTATGCAAAGAGGGTAACAACAGATTAGGGCAAAGAGCCTAAACAATCAGGACACTGGGCTCTTCATTCTTCAAATACTGGGGGAACTGGAAGCTTATTGTTTGTTGAAGCAAGTGTACCAGCCATGTGGAGGAGAGAGAACAGGGATATGGAAGATTGGTGTAAAAGGATGCTAACGAAGTTTTGATGGAAGTACCAAGAGAGGACAGAAGTTCTCAGCTGGTCCTTCTGTGTGTTGCTGTTTGGGATTACTTCCGCTGGTTTGGACATTAGCTGGGGGTTGTTCATCAAGTACTTTTTTGGGAAACACAGTTTTCTTCTGTTTGTTGTCTAACCTTCTAGAGAGAAGCCCAGTCCATAACGGTTGTAGCTTTTGCATTGAAAGTGGTTTTGCAGCAGCCTCCACCACTGGGACCTGAGGATGGTCTACATCTGGTTCATGAAAAAATACACAACCTTTCAGCATGTAGAGGATGCTGAGCTGGCTAGCATTTGCACCCAGGGTACTCAGTAATGGTTCTTATTGTCAGTGGCCACACTAGCATGCTAGCTAGTAACTTTAGTCCTCAAGCTGAAAAGTTTCTTGATTCCAAAGCTGAGAATCAGATAGATGTGATGCTATCACTTGTGATGTTCCCAGTGAACCAGAAATATTGCAGTATGTATTCTAGTATAGTGTGCATTGAATGAAGAATTACAACTTTGACATGTTGAATTTTAAGAAATATTGGGAGAGTCACATGACCTTGCTGCATGTTTAATGTGCTTAATGATAATGAATAGAATAAAAACATGAAACATGACAGAAATAAATGCTGTTAGGATAGAATGCTGATTGAGGCTTGAGAAAGGAAACCAGGCAGAAAGAAGAGGGATTTAGTCTGCCATGGGAGCGGGTGGCTGGTCATTCCTGTATCCTGAAAACCCCAATACACTGGAGGCATGAAAGCCACATGGGGGAATTTAGGGATAGATGGTCAATGGTGATGACATGTGAGCCAGCCATCAGTGCTGGCTTTTGCAATCAACAGATTCTTAGCGTTTTAGTTTCATTTCTATTTTACAGAAGATGTTAGTTGTGAGAAGAGCCGGACCTCTTCAAACAAAGAGACTAAGCTGGATTGCTCTCTTTTTTGAAGTAACTTAAATGGTTTAATTTTTATTCTATCCTAAGTATGAAAGTTGGACAACATGCATGATCCTTCTGTGTGTATCCTCAGGTATAATAAGCATTCTCAGCAACATAATAGTTCTGGGCATCTTCATCAAGTACAAGGAGCTGCGGACACCCACGAATGCGGTGATTGTGAACCTGGCTCTCACCGACATAGGGGTCAGCAGCATTGGCTATCCTGTGTCTGCAGCTTCAGATCTGCATGGAAGTTGGAAATTTGGATATACAGGCTGTCAGGTATTGGAGATCTTTGGAATGAAAACGAAATAAAGGGGATGTGCAAATTTAAATGTCTTTTTAAAAATCCCAAGAACTGGGGTTGGGGAGGGGGTTCGGTGGGTAATGTGCCTGCTGCAGGAGGAAGGTGATCTGAGTTAGGGTGCCATCCCCTATAGAAAAGCCAAGTGTGGCCGCACACATTGAGTTCCAGCTGGAAGGAAGCATGCATGTGGCTGACTGGATCCAAGGGCTTCAAGGCAAGCCAGTTTAGCCAAACACCCCGTTCAGGGAGAGCCCCTATCTCAAAAATCACATAAAATAAAACGTGGAGAGCAGTAGAGAAGATACCCATGTCAACTTCTGGCCTCCAAATGTTCACACATGGATGTGTATAACTGTATACATGTGTACACGCACACACACACATCACACATACAAAACAACGACAAACATTCAGTAATTTAAAACAAGATACTGTAGGATAATAGATTCACTTCTTTTGTGGAAAATAGCTTCAGCAATTGTTGAGGATACATTTATTTTTTAGTATTTTGTTTTGTATTTTATGAGGAGAGTGTTTTTCCTGCATGTATGTATGTCCTGTACCACGTATGTGCAATGCTGGTGGAGGCCAGGAGAGGGTGGTAGATCCCCTAGAACGTGAGTGAGGGGTGGTTGTGAGAGGCCATGTGGGTTCTGGGAATTGAACTTTCTGTCCTCTGGAAGCAGCCAGTGCTTTTAACAGCTGAACCATCTCTCCAGCCCCAAGAATCCATTCTTTAAGGAGAGATGCAAGATCACTAATCATGACAAAATTCCCTGAACCCCAAGAAAAGGAGCCAAACAGCTGGTGTTCAACTACAGAAAAAACAATCTGCATATTTCAATAAAATGTACATATTAAAATATATATTCTTTCATTTCAAACAAAATATTTAGTGGCAGTCATATTCACTAAGAAATGTATTCATGTTACCACAGGTAATTTTTTTACTGTAGAAGGTCTTTTGTGAGCAATGTTAATAACTATTTATTGTTATTTCTTCTAACGAGGAAATGTATTAGTATTAATTTACATTGGGATAGTAGGCAAATACAATTTGTGGTCATACTTTAATGGTTTTAATCTTCTAAGCCTTAAAATACTCGAGGCTAAAGTGAGAATAATGGAGAATACTGTAAAGGTTACATGGGAGGGTGCTGGGACGTCAGCCTGTTAACGATTTGTTTTTCAGATTTATGCTGGATTGAATATCTTTTTTGGAATGGTAAGCATTGGCTTACTCATGGTTGTGGCTGTGGACCGGTACCTGACCATCTGCTGCCCTGATGTCGGTAATGGCGTGTTTCTTGTCCTTCTCAATGAAATCGTTCATTGTGTAACAGTCACTCAACGTGTTTTCGTTTCAAAGTATAAATGCAATGGTTAATAACCAGGCTCAGTTTTAGTTCTCTAGAAACCCTTGTTCAGAAGTGTAGATGGCTGTCTACAATACTGCGAATACAGTTCAGATTTCATTAGGCACCCTGCAAGGCCCTGCAGGATTGGCCCTGGTTGCCTTTCCACTTCATCCAGGGTCACTGTCACTTTGGGGCACTGGCCAAGCACTCTCACCCTTTGGGACTTGTTGTTTCCCTTGGCCTGTAAAGCGATTGTTCCTGTTTATCCTCTAAACCCTTATCACTCAGATTTTGGATTGCCATTTTTGTCAGAGTGTAAAACCCCATAGACGGGCTTTGTGCGCCCTGAGGTACTCTGAGTCACCAGTGGAACGGAAGTGAGGCCTGCCTTTGTGACCAACACTAATACTTCATGTGCTTCACAACAGGAAGAAGAATGACCACCAGCACTTACGCCAGCATGATCCTGGGCGCCTGGACCAATGGCCTGTTTTGGGCTTTGATGCCCATCGTGGGGTGGGCAAGTTATGCCCCAGATCCTACCGGGGCCACCTGTACCATAAACTGGCGGAAAAATGATGTGTAAGAGATGTGTTTGCCTCTTGTGGTCAGATGCTCTCTTCCTCCCACCCGTGAGTTTCCTCGCGAAGACTGTGGCAAAGACCTACTCATCTGGCTCCCTTTCTTTGATCCTTCCTCCCTCCCTGTGTCCTCTGCTCAGGCAGCAGTGGGGACACCCTTACACCCTTCACCCATCTCCGAGTTGGGATCACAAGTGGGAAGAGGGTTAGTGAAGCTAGAGAATGGGCGTTCTAACCCAAACCTCTGTATTCTCTCTTCAGGATGGCCTGGGGTCCAAGAGTCCCTGCCAGGATTTGCCAGCAGTTAATGACACTCCTCTGGGTTTCCCATGGGAGTGAGGATCATTTAGTTGATGAAGGGAAATGAAAGATGACTCAAAAACAAGATCTTCTAAAATGTTTTTTTTCTGTAAAGAATCAAACCTCAGGCAATGCTTCAGCTTGGCCATTATACTGTGGAAGCAGCCATCAGCAGTGTGTAAATGAACGTGCAAGACTGTGTTTTAATAAAACGTTACAAAGATAGTTGGCTGGTAGGAACTGGGCCATAGCTTAATGGTCTAAGTGAACTATGAAATGAAAGTCAAACATACTTCCTAAGCTTTTTAGCAATAAAATGATTGTCACTATCGTTGATAGCAGTTATTTCCTCTTCCCCTTTCCCTGGGTTAGGGCATTAAACGGGTTGTCATGATAGTTTTTTCTTATTTCCAGATCTTTTGTGTCTTACACCATGATGGTTATTGTGGTGAATTTCATTGTGCCTTTGACAGTGATGTTTTACTGTTATTACCATGTCACTAAGTCCATGAGACTCCATGCGGCCAGGAACTGCACTGCACACCTCAATAGGGACTGGGCGGACCAGGCAGTTGTAACAAAGGTAAGAAGTCAAAATCCTTGAAGTGTTGTTGGTAACAAAGCTTTCAATATAGCTGGAAAGTCCCCGGGCCTCCCCCAGGCTCCTTTCCTTTACTGACATTTTCCTACCCTGCTCCTTCTGCTGGCGTGTGTCCTCATGTTGTTGAATGCTATGCCTATCTGTTCCTCAGATGTCTCTGTGTCCTCATGTAGACTGTGAGGGTTCCTGTGTCCAGCCTGGTCCCCTCCCCCTTTCTTTTTCATCCTGAAGTATGATAGCAGTACTTGGTTAGATGCAAAAGCTTTCTTCCTTTGATGTGTTCAAACATCCCAGGCACAAGGTTCACATTGTCTTCCTCTTGGAACTAATCCTATACCCTTGAGTGCCTTCATTTTCCTTGGTCAGGCCATTCTATAAGCAGAGACTTTCCCTTCGTCATATAAGCAAGGTGTAAAGGACTCCTCTACACGTTATTTGTATTTACTGTATATAAAACATGCCGCCAAGTAGCTACTGATAGAACTCCCTGAGCTTAAGACAGGACTGTGTTTCCAGGTTGAGTTAGGAAAGTTTGTTTGGTTGAGGTCAGCACGCAATAATGGTGCAGTTGTCGGTAAAACTAGAAGTGGGTTGCAGAGGTTTGCATGCATATTTGCTTGAAGCCAGCATTGTGGGCTCTCCTGAGCACACACAATGAAAGGGTGTTCTTTACAGTATGTCACACTCTTAGCAGCAATGTCACATGTTACTCAATACAGCCATTTGCAGTTGTTGTCGTAGATGACTTCAGGAGCTGAACCAAAGAACAGTGAAGGCAGAGTCCAGCTTCTTTGTGTTTCCAGAACAGTTCTAACCTATATTCTCAAGCTACTGTAGATGTATTAATCATGTAAACAGTTTAGGCTCTAGTCTTGGTGGTTATCCCTTTTTGCAGATGTCCGTGATAATGATACTGATGTTTCTGCTGGCGTGGTCCCCTTATTCCATTGTGTGCTTATGGGCTTGCTTTGGAGACCCAAAAACGATTCCTCCTTCAATGGCCATCATAGCTCCATTGTTTGCAAAATCCTCTACGTTCTACAACCCCTGTATTTATGTTGCTGCTAATAAGAAGTAAGTAGTGCTTATCGTGTTTCTGAATAAAACAATAGCACAGAAAGAACATCAAAGGCAATGACGAGTGCTCTAAGGCTTTCAGAGGTGACAGAAACCTACGACAGCTGTCATAGTTAGGGTTTCTAATGCTGTGATAAAACGCCATGGTCAAAAGCAGCTTGTGGAGGAAAGAGTTTCTTTCAGCTTACAATTAGTTCTATATCAGAGTCTATCACTGCAAGAAGTCAGAGAAGGAACTCAGGGCAGAAACCTGGAGGCAGGAGCTGATAGGGAGATCATGCACGAGTGTTGCTTACAGGCTTGCTCAGCCTGTTTTCTTATAGCATGCAGGACCATATGTTCAGGACAGCACTGCCCAGAGTGAGCTGCTCCCCCCATCAGGAATCAGCCAAGCACCATAGGCTTGTCCACAGCTCAATCTGATGGGGCATTTTCTCATTCCTGGTTCTCTTTTCCCAATGACTTTAGCCTCTGTCAAGTTGACATCAAACTAGCCAGCACAGCCGCCTAGTTTAAGGTTATTCAGCTCATACAGCTGTTGACAACAGCCGAGATCTTACATATTTAGAGGTCTACTCTTGTGGCAGACTCTTCCCAAATGGTGGCAGGAATATCCTTGGACAACCCTGACCCAAATTCTATCAGCTCAGCATCCAAAGACAGCCTTCATCTCAAATGACTACATGGCAGAAAAGTTCCTGGCTGGTCACTGGTCAGCTGGATTTGCGTGGTTGCCCCCCCCCCCAGGTAATAGGTTTTCCAAAGGAAAGAGTAGACAGGCAGCAAGTCCAGACAAGACCCTGGGCCCTCAGTGGTTGGTGGAGCCGTACATTTACCAAGAGTGGTCCATCTCCGAGTATAATAGAGATGTTCTCCTCTCACCAAACTCCTAGATAAAGTTTAGAATATTTCACTTTCTATTACTGTGGGATGATGAACCATGTGTAAATCACAGAATGCCACTGCTATGTCTGTTTAAATGTGTATGCTAATGCACAGATTTGAGAGAACATCTTTGGCTGTAGATCTGTGATGGAACACACAGACTGTAAGAAGAGGTAGGGCACACAGATGACCAAAGGACATGTTTTGAGGTCAGAATCTGCAGGATGTTCTCTGGCAAAGAGCAGCTATTCTCAAGCCCCCTTAAATCCAACTGGCCTTTGCACAGGGGACCAGATCTGTGAAAAATGAATCCTTAATTCAAACAAAGAATGTATTGCACTTGGCAGCTGATGTGTCATTTTTAAACATTCATAGTTACCGAGTTTATCAGATGCCCTCCATGTTTGTCATCAGTGGTACAAAACTGGTCTTTAACTAGACCATCTGTCCTGTATATTTATAAAGGTTTTCAATTGCAGATGTTGAAGTTGGGTGCAGTGTCTTATTTAGAGATCTCTATCAACAGTATTGGCTTTTTAGACAAATTGAAAATGTCTTAAAAGTTTCAAGTCATCACAGAATAACCTTTTTTCTTTTGCTTATGGCAGGTTTCGGAAGGCCATGTTTGCCATGTTTAAATGCCAGCCTTACCAAGCAATTCTTGAAACAAGTTCTGTACCAATGGATATGCCTCAAAGCCCATTGTCTCCTTGAAGAATCTAAAACACGAGAAAGAATATACACTGAACATTTTATTTATTTTGTGGGTTTTTTGTGAAACATTAATTTCATTTTAAATACGAATCCATTTAGATCAAGTGCAGACAAAGGCCATTGCCTTATTGGACTGCGGGCTCCTCCCACACAGCCAACACAGCTCCGTCTGTGCAAAAGTTACTGTAGAGCCTACACTGTATCCTCAAGGATAAATGAGTAGCTAAATCCCCTTTGATGAATCCAGACACACAAAACTGCAGTCTCTCTTTCTCTGTAGAAGGCACACATTACAGAGCATTACAGTGTATCTATAACCTGTAACTTGACTGAATTTTCCATTAGACAAGAAATGGCCACTAGAAAATTAGAATATTTTAACGTTGGGGAAATTATAACCCTGAATAATTTATTGCTGAAATGAGTTGTTTGATGTTTCCAGCCATGAAAAAATATTGTAGCATCTCAAAAATTTGAATTTAGAATCAATTATTAACTCATCTCATTTAAACAAAAATATTCAAACATTTAACACAACTGCTTTCTATCATGCCAGTCTATTGCACATATACATGTTATAGCAGATTAACATCTGTGTATTTTGTTGTTACTATTTTTGATTTTTGATTTTTCAAGACAGGGTTTCTCAGTATAACCACTCTGGTTGTCCTGGTACTCACTTTGTATACCACACTGGCTTTGAACTCATAGAGATTTGCCTGCCTCTACCTCCCAAGTACTGGAATTAAAGTCATGTGCCACCACCACCCAGCCATATTTTTTGTTATATATTCTAAATTTGTATTATTTTTAGAATGTTTTCATTTGTGTGTGTGTGTGCGTGTGTGTGTATTTGTGTGTACATATATGTCATGCATGCTTGTGTGTGTGCATGTGTGTCTGCTTTCTTTCAGAGGCCAGAAGAGGGCATCAGATACCCCGGAACTGAAATTACAGGCAATTGTGTCAGCCGAGGGTGCTGGGAACTGAATTCAGGTCCACTAGAAGAGTATCAGGAATTCCTAACCACTGAGCCATCTCTCTAGCCCCTAAATTACAATTTTTCTGGAAATTTATTTCCTATGCCCCTATGCAAACTTAAGTAGGACTTTTTGTATTTTCAACCTCTGTTGTATACTTAGCACATGGCTTATTCTGTCTGGCACATAGTAGGTACATTCACATTTTGTTGTCTTTTTTTTTTTTTTCAAGTCAGGGTTTACTTGTATAGCTCTGCCTTGGAACTTGCTTTGTAGACCAAACTGGCCTTGAACTCAGAGATCCCCCTGCCTCTCCTTATGTAGCCCAGCCTGGCCTCAAACCGAGTGATCAGCAACTTGGCATCTGCAATTACAAATGTGTAGCTGTGTAGCACCATGACTGGCCCACTATTTTTTTACTTTCATAGATACAAAATTGGGAACACATTAATACATATGTCTTTGTAGGGGTGGGGATCAATTTTCTCCCTGAGTCTTTATCCAGGCTAAGGTCATTGAATAGAAATATAAAAGAATTCATTACTACTAGCTTTCTCCATGAAATACTTCTGCATCACATTGGCCATGCATACACGCTCACTTCAAATTCCTTAAAACACTGCTCTATGATATTTCAGAACTATAGTTCTATACTGTAGTATGAATTTACCGTATTTCATGTCTCCTTAAGTGCTTTTTAGGCTATATATCTTTATATATTGTAACACCCCTGTAAATTGCCTTCTGAATGCCTTTGTCAGCATATACTAGTTTTATTGAGGCCACCCTCTTTGTGTAGATAATGGGCAATTCTCTAACTTCCTAGTTTGCCTTTCCATCTTCTGCCTTTGCCTATTGCAATCATACATTAACTCCATAGCCAACTTTTTAAAAATGCAAAAGCATTTCCAGTCCTTCAGAGCTTTCAAAGAAAACTTTCAGCAGCCTGCTGTATTAGTAACTTGTCTGTCACTATGACAAAAACAACTGAAGGGAGGCAGCGTTTACTCAGAGGGAACTGAGTTCAGCACGCAGGGCAGGTAAGGTCACATGGTGCTTACAGACAGAAAGCAGAGCGACATCAATTCTAGCTGTCTGCTTTTCAGTCCAGGACTACAGCTGGTGGGGGTTGTGGCGGCCACACTTAGGGTGACACTTTCCAGGTATCCCAATCTAGAAAGTCCCTTCCCCCCGTCCAGTGGGTTGGCCACTAGATGATTCTACATCCTGGCAAGTTGGCCATCACACCTGTGAAGGAGACTGGATCCCTTAGCTGCAAGGCCAAGGCCTCCTCAGCATGGCCACAGAGAGACTTCTCAGCCTTTTTTTTTTTTTTTTATTTAATTTTATATAACAAAGTCCAATTAAATGAAAACAAACATTTATACACAATATTTGGGAATTTGGGCGTCGTTCTTTCCAAACTACTTCCTGCTGGTAAGGGGCGCTGTCTAGGGGGATTCGAAGAAGATTCAGATATCCTAGCTGTAGTCTGTAGGGCTGTTTTGTCCAGCTGTTTGGAATGTAGGATCAGCTTGTACTCTGTTTCAGGCGGTCTGGCGTGATCAAACCACATTAGTCCTTCTCAGCCTTTTGTAATTCTCCTGTGGCAACATTAAGATGCGTTGTGTTTCTGGAGGGCTTTGTACCAGGAGCTGTTGGCTCATTCAACTCTCCCAGTTCAGCTGTTTACCGAGACAGCATGCATGGCAAGCAAGGGTCATGAGAGCAGTTAAATGGGAGAGACATTAGTCACAGAGCAGTTAGATGTGCAAGGCAGTGTTTGACATAGTATTCTAGAGAGCTGACTGTAGATTCTAGTTTGCAAAGCTTTGAGTTCATTTCTAGCAACAAAGGATAACTTCACATTACTGTAAAGGACTTGAGTGGTGCACTCATTTTAACACCATGTCAGTCAGCTAATTTATACAATAAACGGACTATGAGTGGTAGATATGGTTCCCTATAGCATTGGGTTTACTAGCTTGATGCTTTGTCACTGAACAGCCTTTCTATACCCAATTGGCCACGTCCCACTTCTCTGCACTGAAACATCCATAAACCCGACAACACAAAGACCAATTGGTCACTTAGTGAGCAGAGCTCTGCCACCAACCTATGCTCTCACTCTTGTGCTTGGTAAAGCATAGTCACCACCGTCGCTGTGTCCCCAGCACTAGGAAACCTTGGGATTGTTTGTAAATCCAGTCTTCTTCATCCGCACACCTAATCAAGCGATTTTCCCACCTCTGTGTTTCTCAAAACCGTATTATCCACACTCTTACCAGCCACCGAGGTTGCAGCTCATGGCTGTTCACTTGGCCCATAGTCAGTGGGGCCTACTTAAAGCCTCCAACTCCTCTCTTGCCTGTTCTAATCCAGTGGCTCTCAACCTGGGGGTTGTGACCCCTTGGGGACAGGGTGTCAAATGACCCTTTCACAGGGTTCCCGTATCAGACATCTTGCATACCAGATATTTACATTACAATTCATAACAGCATAATTACAGTGATGAAGTAGCAACAAAAATAATCTTATGGTTGGGGTCACCACAACAAGAGCAACAGTATAGTATTAAAGGGTTGCAGGGTTAGGGAGGCTGAGAACCACTGCTCTACACCCTTCCACACAGCTACCAGGAAATCCCATGTAATCTGCTGATCTGATGAGCCACTCACAGCTTAACCTTTATATTTTTGCTGCCTGTAGGCTGAGTGTGGCTCTTTAGCAGGGCATTTAAGGCCCTTCCTTTGTAACTTCAGCCGTAGACACTTAGCCTCACATAACACAAAATGCTTATGTTTCCCTGAGGTTCTCTTGAAGTCTTACACACATACACACACACACACACACTCACACACACCACTCTTTCCCGCTTCCCTCCGAGTGCTTGGGAGCTCAGGGTCACCCATCATGAAAGCTTTGCCTGATTACACAGGCTGAACACAATGTCCCCTTGCTTCCTCATTGACCTGTGTCTCTTTCTATCATTCAGGTTCCTTATGTATTGCTTAGTGACCATGTGTTGCTTACCTTTGTACCTCTAGTACCTGCTTCGGAAGTTGGCAAGTAGCCAGTAAATATTTGGTGAACAAGTGAATTGTGTAGTCTCTGAACAGCTGCAATATGATTTGTTTTGAAGATAGAGCGATGTTTTCCAGACTCTACTAGTTATATATGAATCCTATTAGTATTTGATAACATGTCATGTAATATTCTTATTTTTATAGAAGTAATCCTCTCTTCTCATGTTTAAACATGATGGATAGAATTGCATACTATGAAGATTAAAACTTTTTATTATCATCATGAATTTCATTTATTTTTTGTGGAGGTAGATTTTAGGTTATATTAAAATTCTGTTCCCTGTATCTGGGCATGGTAGCACAGGCTTTTAATTCCCACAGAGTCAGACAGATCTCTGAGTTCAAAGCCAGACTGGTCTACATAGTAAGGCAATTATAAAAAAAAATTATTTTGTTGCTAAATGTTGCTGAAAGGCATGCTAATGAACTGTGGTTCTTTTTGAGGTGGTGTCTGGGCATCCAATTTGTTATTTTCTGAGGGTGACTTTGACCATCCTATTCCTCTGTCTTTATCTCTCAAATGCTGAGACTATAGGCACATCCTCATACCCAGTTTTATCTGGTGCTGGGGACCGGATCCTATGCTTTGTTGACTCCAGGCAAGCACTCTTCCAACTGAGCTGCATCCCTAGCCCCCCCCACCCCCTCCCCAGCTCATCTTTAGGATTTTGGTGCTCCACACTTACAATAAAATTTCTGTTTTGAACAAAAACAATTGCCTTCATTGGAAATGAGCTTGTTTGGGGACATCATGTGCATACTGAAGTGATCTTGGAGAGACTCAGGACAGACTCACTGGAGTCAGCCCGGACACAGCAGGAGTGGATGAAAGCATCTTCATATAATGGCAATGGTGTGGATCTAGCTTACTTGGCTTTGGGAGATGAGCAAAACGGGGCAAGACTGGTAACTCTACTTTAACTAAATTTGAAATAAAGTCACATTTGCTGATGAAGATGCAAAAAGTAAAAGGGACAATGAATGTATATAAATAAACTACTGAAAATTTTAGTTTAGGCTAAGATACTGAATTCTTTTTAACACTGAATGTGTTTTTAAGCTATAGTGACAGTCCCATCCATAGGAAAGGTGCCCAATAAGGGCTTCCTTGCAAATGTAGTCTTGCACAGCTATGTCCTGATGGGTTTGATTTTCACTTTTGAAGCGAGTATGTTACCTGGCTGAGCTCATATTCAAAGGCTGGGTGGATTGATCCCCTGTGAGACACTTGAAGGTTAAGTAACTGCGGATCTCGGCTAATCTGGCTAAGCTGCCGATGTTAAATGTCGGCTGGCATCCCGGGGCACCAGCTTCTACCCGCTCCTGATTGACCACCCACCTTTTGTTCCGCTAGCCACTCTGGAGCTATGCAGCGCTTTGCATGGCTGTGCCTTGTGCTTGGTTGTCTGGGAGGAGTGAGCTGTACCTGTCCCTCTCAGTGTACCTGTGATCATCACAGCAGAAATGATGGCTCCGAATCAAGGTATGTCCCTCTCTTTGCTACTGAGTATGCTGATGGTCCTGGTAAAAAGGACCCAAGCCAATCAGACTGATTTTATGAAAGCAAATCATTTATTAGAAACCAGGGCAAGTTTAAATTCCATGAGACTTGGTTCAGTTTTTATTAGCTGGTTGTCCAACTGCCCTGTTATTTTTTATTGTGAACAACAGCTTACCCCCAGAAGCCTCAAAAGGTTCTCTGAAATTCCAAAAGCGCTTCCTGTCTTGCAGAAAAGTATTCATTACACTCATATACATAAACTACCCCTTGGAGATCAATGCTCAGTGTGGGGTAGGATGGGGTGGGGGGGGTGGGCTTGTTGAGGTTGGGTAGGAGCTGCAAGCTTATCCATGTTATCTGCTATCTGAGTTTCCCAGTTCATCTGGGGATATTTTACACTAACACCTTGGTAGGAGGAAGGACAGGAGTGAAATTGGTGAGGTTAATAACTAGGTTATTTTATTTGAATGGAATTTACAAAAGTAAAGATGTTTGGACAATGCCACTTGATGCAGATATTGTAGGGCCCTCAAGGAAGTTAAGCCTTTACGTTGTTTTAACCTAGTAAGAACTACAATTTGTTTATGAGGAACATGAATCCTTTTACGTGTAGGCAAATGGAAACAGACTCTTGTTAGCCAGGCATGGTAGACTCTGGTTTTTAAGAGTATTTACTAAAAACGAAATGGATTCTTGAGACTTTGATAGCTGAAATAAATAATGAGTTTCTGAAACAAAGTTTAATAGAAGAATAACACAACTTTCACTGAATAATAATTGGAGTTGAGGTATAGCTCAGTGGCACAGCAATTGCCTGACATGACTAAGGGGCATGAGTATGAGATCCAGCACTGCAATACTTATGATGAAGATGATGATGGTGATGATAATAATGTTGGTACCATTAAAATTTATTTGTGAATAGTTTTATTTAGCCCACCCTTGGTACCCTTTGAGACATTCCCTGAGAAATGAACACAAGCAATTGATGACCAGGCCAGGGAACTTCCTGGAATGTTCCCTTCTCCATGTTGACCCCATTATGGTGGGTTTTACAAAAGCTACAGAACATTATGCCTTAAAGCGACCCCTCCAGGGATTCTAGTTCAAAGCCTGCCAAGTATATGCAAGGAAACAACATTGCGCGGGGGCGGGGACAAATGACCGCACCCCATGACACAGTCACCGAGCTAATCGAGGTGTGGTGGCTCCAACTGGCGACCCAGCATCTTGTCTTCCTATGACAGTGCATTGAAATACTTAAGGGGTGGAAGCTGCTACGTTTGGGCGCAGACTCGGAAATTTGTGATAAAGAAGTTAATCTAAAAAGCACCCCAGAGACCATTCCTGGTTCCCTGTGGTCTTCTAAAGTAAACTGAAAGGAGGTGCCGCTGCCAAGGCCGCGAGACTCAACACTGATTTCCAGTTTACAGTAGTTTTTAATTCACGGGCTTACTGCGGTGTTTCTGAGATGATCATTTTATTGTTATGTATCCCAATTCGAACATTATGTTCTTTTCAAAACTGCTTCTTCACTTTGAGCAATTCAGATGGGCGTGGAGGATAAGTAAGAAGAACAAATCTAAGATTTGAGGTTCTTCCCATTTAAACACACTCTCAGGACAGGACAGGTTTTTGTTGTTGTTTCGTTCTATTTTATTCATGCTAACAAACACTTTCACAGCATGGTTTGTTTAAGGACTCCAGTTAATCACTGTCAACAGAACCCACTTTGTTTCTGGTCTACTCCTTGGGCAGAAAGCGATGCCCAGACATTTGATTCTACCCCCTCCATAAGTGGTTCTCTCATAAAAGGATCAATTGTGACATATTTTTTAAAGACAGGCTCTCATATAGCATTGGAAGTCTCTGTATCTCAGGATACCTTGAATGCCTGATCCTCCTGCCTCTGTCTCCTGACTGCTGTGTGTGCCATGCCTGGTTTATCATGGGCTGGGGCTGTAACCCAGGGATTGGTCCATGCTAGGCAAACACTTTATGAGTGAGGTACACCCCAAGCCCCAGTTCATGGTTTTGAGGGATTCTTTATTTATTATGTACTCCAGAAGAGGGCACCAGATCTCTTACAGATGGTTGTGAGCCACCCTGTGGTTGCTGAGAATTGAACTCAAGACCCCTGGAAGAGCAGCCAGTGCTCTTAACCGCTGAGCCATCTCTCCAGCCCTTGAGGGGATTCTTTTAATATTAGTTATTTCTTAAAGAGGTTCACCTGCTTTGGAGTTGGACAGAAGTAGGGTTGAAAGGTAGATTTGTAGTATCCCACTGGCTGGATGATATGGAGAAGATATCTACCATTGGTGAGCACACATTATTTTAGATGTGTAAAGGTTGTTGGTAATAGCAGCAAATGCTGACCGAGAACTTACATGCCAGAAAGACATACAAATGGCACTCCCTGGTCACAGAGAGGGCAGCAGAGCCCGGTTTATTCTGTCACCCAGTATCTGCCTCTTTGGACGTGTGTGATGCTTCATAAAGACATGGGTGTGATCTGTGTTTCAAAGACCTAGCATGAAAGACCCCCAGAAATATCTATTGAACACCATGAAATTGCTCATATTTGATCAACTTTACTGTCTACTGGCCATTTTGTATGGTTCAATTTAATGGTTCCCATATTATGATAATGGTGAGGAAGGAGATGATATGATGATGACATGTCATTATTAATAAATACGTTTCCAGACTAAACTAATGTTTTGTACAAAACTAGTAAGGGATGGAAACCTGATACATGTTTCAAATAAGGCTTTATTTTAAAACGAGTCTTGGAGAGTAGAACTTCTTGCACTGCTCTTGTGACAGTAGGTCGGTGTTGTGTAATGACCTGGATATGAGTGAAGTCCCTACAAACTTCCCCGCGGACACTGTGAAGCTTCGAATAGAGAAGACTGTGGTCCGAAGGATCCCCGCAGAGGCCTTCTACTACCTGGTGGACCTGCAGTACCTCTGGCTGACTTACAACTCAGTGGACAGCATAGAACCCGGCAGCTTTTATAACCTTAAGCAGCTGCACGAGCTGCGTTTAGATGGCAATTCTCTGACTGCTTTCCCTTGGGCATCTCTGCTGGACATGCCCCAGCTGAGGACACTGGACCTGCACAATAACAGATTAACCCGCGTGCCAAATGAGGTGGTCAGATATCTGAAGAACCTTACCTACTTGGATTTGTCAAGCAACCGACTAGCCACACTCCCACCAGATTTCCTGGACAGCTGGTCCCATTTAGCTGTGACACCTTCTAGAAGTCTGGATCTTCCTCCGAGAAGAATTATTCTTGGTAAGCTCACAAGCTTCTGGGCATCTTATGTGTAGGTACCTTGTTTTGCATGCTTTTAGAGGTGTGTGTGTGTGTGTGTGTGTGTGTGTGTAAAACCAAGGATTGTACTTTCTCATTGGGACTGACAGCCTGCAAATAACAGCATAGGAGCTTATTATTAATTGCAAAAGTTTGGTCTTTAGCTTAGACTTGACCCCAACAAGCTCTTATAACTCAAATTAACTTGCTTCTCTTAATCCGCTTTCTGCCGTGTGGCTCGGTTACCTCTGTTCTGCACCATATGTCTGACTTCTTGAGAGTCTCACAGGAGCCTGACTAATGTAATCCTCATGCCTAGATTGCTCATTTCTTTCTCTTCCTCTCTCTCCCCAGAAGCCCTGCCTATCCTCTCCTGCCTAGTCATTGGCTGTTCAGTTACCATACTAATCAGAAGGTGCCTTTAGCAGACACACATCTTTACACTGTACAGAAACATTCCACAACATTTCCCCCTTTTGTCTAATTAGAAAGGGAAGCATTTAATTCTAACACAGTAAAACTATATATAATAAGAACAATTTTCAAGTATTGTCTAAATAAAAAGGAAAGGTTTTAACATAAGATATTAAAACTATATACAATAAGGACTATTACAAGTTAAGAATTACATTCATAATATTCCATACATATGTATTTGGCAAATTTGGAGAAAGTACTGTATTATCTGTCCTATCTTAGTGAGTCTAAATTTTTATACTTAAATTATTTTCCACCATAACTTGTATTACCATTCTAAAAATATGTTTTTAGACCTTAAAGTATCTCCCCAGATAAACAACTTAAGCTTGTATGCCTCTCAACCTTACAAACACTACAACTCTTTTCTACATTTCTCTTTTGAGTCTTATAACAATGAAAATGGTATAACTATCTAGTCTTCAAACCCAATCAGAGACCTGAGAAGGATATAATATTACCTGAGTAAACAGGAAGTGCAGAGCAAACAATTTCCAAAGCTATAGAAATGACAGAAACAACTGGCTATGTGGACAGTCACCCAAGGTTCCTCTGCAATGTTGGGGCATCCACCTTTGGCCTGCAGGCCTAAAATATCTGACAGACTTTTTGTAAAGCAGGACTTTTGAAGATCTGTCCTACTTTCTCTTGGCAAAATCAGCAGTTTCCTTCATTTGTGTCCTGATTGTCCAATTTGGGCAGCATGTTGTCAGCAGTCCAAGAAAGGAAAGTTTCTTGTCCAAGTGGTTAGCTTTGCCACAATGAAAGCAAACTCCTCCATAGGGAGGCTCTTCAATGCCCATCATCTTTTTTGAAGTAGATTAGTGCTGCCTGGATCTACTGTGTATCTTACTGTTGGGAAAAGCCTTGTGTCATTAAAACATCTTAAATGCTATTCTGTAGCTCTCTGAAGTGTTTGAAGACCATTTATCTAAAATATATGTTTGACCTTGAAAATATACCTAACACGATACAAATTTGGTTGTAGTTAGATGACTAACTACTAACCTATATTTTTTAATTATCTTAAATAATTTATAATAATAGCTTTCAAGGACTAGAATTATATATTACATTATTAAATGAGTTGCATAGGTATAATACCTTAAACAAGAGTAGAAACACATATACAGTATAACAAAAACAACCTTAAATTTGTATCAATATATAAAACCCATACCAATGTAAAATATTTAAGACATGTAGTTGCTTTTTTAGTTTGAAAGTAGATTCTATAATCTATTATTTTATCCTAACATCTCTATATCCCCTTTTCTTTTTGGAATCAGACCCCTGTTACAAGTAGTTTTTCCGCCCGCTGCTGGTCTTGTCCCGCCGCCGCGCCAGTCCCAAATAATACACAGAGAGATGCTATATTAGATATAATGCTGTTGGCCAGTTACTTGTTTCTTATCGGCTATCTCTGTCTTTAGTATTAACCCATTTCTATTAATCTAAGTATTCCACGTGGTCTCATCTTACCGGAGAGAGGGGCTGGCATTGTGCTCTCCCCAGTCTCTACATGCTGACTCCTCCCTACTACTTCCTCGAATCCTCCTTGTCTCCTAGTCCCTCCTATCTTCCTTTGCTATTGGCCAACAGTGCTTTATTCACTAACCAGTATGAGAAACATATTTACAGAATGACATCTCCCATCAGATCCCTGAATCTAATCTCTTTTTCTCAGCTTTCTCCTTGACCATGACCAACAGCAACTTGTAACCAACTCCCTTAAATGGTGATAAACATCCACTGAATGAGCAAAAACCACCCACCCTACCTCTTGGGAATATGCGAGTTGTGTTCTTAAAATTACTTCCTGTTGTCTGGGAGTGACAATGTCTTTAGGGGACCCTGAGAAAATTGAGGTAATGATTAAGTCTTGGGAGAGCTAGCTATTGCCCAGTCCAGTGTGATGGGAAAGTGCAAGGCTTACTTGAAGTCCTGACCTAGTAGTCTATGAGGTTGGACCATCTTAGCTAATCACCTTGAAATTGTCCTGTGCAGTTTGTAGTCCAAAGCAGATGTTTGGCTTGTCAGCTTAGCGGCATTACCACAATCCAAGTGGATTCCTCATTGTGGACCCCATCATCTTCTTAGAGACCTCAAAGGTCACTGGGTCAGGAATGGTCACAGATCACTGCAGAAAACGAACATTTTAAATGTTATATGCAGCAGATCTCAGGAAGCTAATAGAACCAAAATCTATTAAATATACCTGGGGTATACAAGCTTAATTCCTAATTAACTGCTCCAGACTCAAGCTGGAAATCACAAACAGGAAGCTAGATGAAACCTATTTCTAGAATTAGTATTCTATATGACCATTAATATCACAACAGAAAGTTTAAATATATATATAGATACATATATATATATATAACAATAATCTTATAAATTTAGAGATAATATTTATACCTTCAGAAAAGTTTTAAAGAGTCAAAATAAAAAGGGCCAGATGAAGCATTTATTAAATTATTCTTTTATCAGTTAAACTCAGGAGTCAGATGTTGAGGTAAAAACTTGATTGACCAGAGAAGCAGGGCAGAAGTGACCAGTGACCTCCTCTCTCTCGCCTTCCTTGAACCAAAAGGACCAAGCCTCTCTCTAAGCCCCTCCCTATGATTTCCTGTGTCTCTATTTGTCCTGGGCCCTCTCAAACATCTATGGCTAATTTTGATCAGCTAGTAGCTAGCTCCACCCTCTGATTCAAGGTAAACGTGATTGTCAGTCTCCAGAGTGTTAGTGTGATCAAAGTATCCCACAACAAAGGATCTAACCTAGGGCCTTATACTCACTAAGCCACATCCCCCAGCCTGAATTCAGTTATTCTACACCTAACTGCCTGTTTTTTCTATAAGATGCAATGACTGTGCATGTGAGTGTGTAGGGGACAGGGGGAAGAAGCCCTTCACAGACAGAGTGTCTGCTATCAAGCGAATGTACAACCTGGCTTGCTCATGGGATCATACCAGTCTACACACTGCCACTCTCTGTTTGATGCTCTGCTCAGCTTTCCCCGAGTCCTTCAGAAGTGGGCAGGACACCACTGCCTTCATTGAATCGGAAGAGAAATGGCAGGGAAGCTCGCTGTTGTCCTGGCCAGTGCTTGTTTGAGACCCTGTGCTGAGGCCCTTGTAGATGTATCTATGGACAACAGGGTGCCTTTTCTATCTTTATGAGAGACAGAGGACCACAGCCTTGATTAGTCAGTTTGACGTGCTAAAATGTTATACTTCTCACCCATCAAAACGGTATTGTCAGTCCTCAACCTATGAGCTTTGGCCAATGAAGAGGTCATTATTCCCAGAAAACTGAAAAGAATTTTTATATGTCCTCAGCTAGTGAAATGACATATTTGTGTTGAGAAGGAAGAGGCAGTGCATATGTTAAATTTATGCCACGTTCCATTACCAACAGTATCACATTCTCAAGCACTTATTGAACTAAATTGTAAACTAAATAAAAGGCATGTTTAAACTTTTTGAGAATCTTTCGATGCGAAAGTATTGAGATGGGACCAACATGGAGCTGGCATTGACTTCGTTTTGGTAAAAATGCATTTGGTCCAAATGAAACTGGGGTGTGAGAGTAAGAGGCAGGTAGGATGATGATAAACTCATGTTCTGTCCACTGCTTGTCTAGCTGTCAAGTATTTTTATTGAAGAATAAAAGTCTGTCTGGTGAGTTGGGGAAACGAGCCTTAGTTAAGCCTAACAGGTATGTATAGAGTCCCTATTACGTACCACAGGGTGTGGTTATTCACTTCAATCACTAACTTGATCCTTATAAGACAGGTTAATTGTTAAAATTCGAATGAGATTTTATTTTGCTTCTTGAAAGTTTCTTGGAAAATGAATTTTGGCCGTGACAGAATTATCTATTATGATATGGAGATGAAAATAAAAATGCAATGACTAATTAGCTGTTAATGTTAGTTACTTACTATGAAGAAGCAATTTATAGAATATTAATATTTTTCACTTGTGAATTAAATATGGCTGGGCACTCAGACATCCAACAGGGTTTTGAAATGCCCATATCTGTAGAACGTTCACCAAACAGCTTTACCTGTGGGATAGTTAATCTCTGTTTTCAAGTTGGTATAGAATCACTGTGGAAGCTAACTCTGAGCGTGTCTGGGAGGTGTTTCCAGCAAAGTTCAGCTGAGGAGGGAAGACCCACCCTGAAGGTGGTGACACTATCATGTGACCTGAGGCACCAAAGTGCAGAGAAGGGAGGGGGCAAACACCAGCATCCATCTCATTTATGTTTCTTTTCATTGTTCATTGTTTGCATTGCGACTATCCGCCTTACATTCCTGCCGCCTCCAACTGTGAGTCCAGGTAAACCTTTCTCTTCTTAAGTTGCTTTGACATAGCAGTACAAAAGGAACCAATGGAGATCAGTAGTGAGAGCAGGCGTGTTGCTATCATAAACTGGCTCACGGGCCCTGGGAACTGGTCTGCAGGGCTGCCTGGTGCTGTTGGAGCCCAGATGACTGT